CTTTAATCCAACTGAAATATTGTGGCATGCCCTGAAGCAAGCAATTCATATAAGAGTCTGAAAATATCAGAATTTTGCAAAGATTAATGTTCAAAATACCTCCAAGCTGATATGCAGCATTGAGCAACAGAAAGGTTTAATTAAGGTCTGTTGCTAAAAAGAGATGCAATCAGTTATCTTTTACAGCAAAGACAGTGATTGTTAGTTTAATGTGTTAATAATATGACACCGTATATTATTTTAAGCATTAGTTGTTTAAACACAATCAATTTTAATAGATAATAGAGATGACATTCTGATCACATTATAGATTACAATTAGTTTCAACAATATGGAAACTAATCAAGGAGAGAAGCAACCTAGAACTAAGGAGAAACTTCCTGACAGAACAATTAACCAGTGGAACAACCTGCCTCCAGAAGCAGTGAATGCTCCAACACCAGAAGTTTTTAAGAAGAGACTGGATAGCCATTTGTCTGAAATGGTATAGGGCAGGGGTAGGCAACCCAAAACATTCAAAGAGCCACTTGGACCCGTTTCCCACCAAAAACAAAACACCGGGAGCCGCATGTATGTGTGTGTGTGTGTGTGTGTGTGTGTGTGTGTGTGTGTGTGTGTGTGTATATATATATATATATATATATATATATATATATATATATATATATATATTATATATGTAGGTCTTTTGTTCGGGTTTTCTCCCGCGTAAAATTGGAAGTGTCTTGGCGACGTTTCGACGAAGTCCCATTCGTCATCTTCAGGCTGGTGTTTTCAGCTTCGTGCTTTGAGCAGCAATGTGTGGTCTTAGCTGTTTCTTCCTTTTAACTGCCAGTGGGGGTATGAACTGATTGGGTGGGAGCTTGGCTGTGTTCTGATTGGGTGGAGGTGTGTTCTGATGGTTAGGGGCTTGGCTGTGCTCTGATTGGCTGGGGGAGTGTTCTGTTTGGTTGTGCTCAGGTTAGTCTGAGTTGCAGAGGGGTTTAAGGTTTTGGGCTGCCTTGCTATTTTTTGGCTTTGTGTTCGTGGTCGTGCCTTCTCTTCATGGGGGTGTCAGTTTGCTTCATGTATGGATTGGAGGGGTTTAAAGTGGCTAATGATGCAGCTGTGGTCTGGCTTCTGGTTTGTGGTCGTGCCTCGTCATCGGTGTGGCTTTGGGTTTGTTTTTTGCGTGGATGTGTGGTGGTGACATCCTGTGTGGTTTTTGTGAGTGTGGGTCTGGTATCATTTTTTGTGTTAGGGAGTCGTTTGTCAATAAGGGCGGGTTTCCAAATGGCTGGTAGGCGGGAGGTATCATCTCGCTTGTTCATGCTGTGTGGGCGTTTTTCTATCTCGATGGCTTCTCTGATTATTCTGTTATTAAAATGTTCACTTTTGGCAATGGTTCTGGTATTTTTAAAGTCAATTTCATGTCCTGTGGCTTTAAGGTGTTGGACCAGGGAAGATGTTGGTTCCTCTTTTTTGACTGAGTTCTTATGTTCTTCAATGCGTGCACTTATTCTTCTGTTGGTTTGTCCGATGTATGTGGTGGGACAAGTGGTGCATGGGATTTCGTATACTCCTTGATTTTCTAATTCAATTTTATCTTTGGGGTTTCTAAGGATGGTGGATATTTTTCTGTTTGTGCAGAATGCTGTTTTGATGTTGTGTTTATGGAGGATCTTACTGATTCTGTCTGTGGTGCCTTTTATGTATGGGAGGAGGGCTTTGCCGTTTTCTTGTTCTTTGTCTTGGATTTTAGTGGGGGTTTCTTTTTGGATTAGGTTTGTAATCTTATTTCTATGGAATCCATTGGATGTTAGTACATTGGTGAGAGTGTGTAGTTCGGGTTTTAGGTGTTGTTCGTCAGCTAAGCGTTTTGTTCTGGAGATGAGTGTCTTGGCTACAGAGTTGATCTGTGCTGGGTGGTGGTGTGAGAGAGCGTGCAGATAGCGGTTTGTGTGTGTTTTCTTCTGGTAGATGGTGTGTCCTAGGGAGCCATTGGATTTCTTGTAGACTAAGACATCCAGGAAGGGAAGTTGGTTGTTAGCTTCTGTTTCCATGGTGAACTGTATTTTGGGGTGTAGGCTGTTGAGGTGTGTGAGGAAGTTGTCCAGTTTTTCTTTCCCATGTGGCCAGATTATGAAAGTGTCGTCTACGTATCTGAGCCAGAGTTTGGGTGAAATTGACTTTAAAAATACCAGAACCATTGCCAAAAGCGAACATTTTAATAACAGAATAATCAGAGAAGCCATCGAGATAGAAAAACGCCCACACAGCATGAACAAGCGAGATGATACCTCCCGCCTACCAGCCATTTGGAAACCCGCCCTTATTGACAAACGACTCCCTAACACAAAAAATGATACCAGACCCACACTCACAAAAACCACACAGGATGTCACCACCACACATCCACGCAAAAAACAAACCCAAAGCCACACCGATGATGAGGCACGACCACAAACCAGAAGCCAGACCACAGCTGCATCATTAGCCACTTTAAACCCCTCCAATCCATACATGAAGCAAACTGACACCCTCCATGAAGAGGAGGCACGACCACGAACGCGAAGCCAAAAAATAGCAAGGCAGCCCAAAATCTTAAACCCCTCTGCAACTCAGACTAACCTGAGCACAACCAAACAGAACACTCCCCCAGCCAATCAGAGCACAGCCAAGCCCCTAACCATTCAGAACACACCTCCACCCAATCAGAACACAGCCAAGCTCCCACCCAATCAGTTCATACCCCCACTGGCAGTTAAAAGGAAGAAACAGCTAAGACCACACATTGCTGCTCAAAGCACGAAGCTGAAAACACCAGCCTGAAGATGACGAATGGGACTTCATCGAAACGTCGCCAAGACACTTCCAATTTTACGCGGGGAAAAACCAAAGACCTACATACAAATACCCGCGAAAACCTCAGAAAACACACACACACACACACACACACACACACACACACACACACACATTAAAAATAAAAGTAAAAATATGACTCTTGGGAATATCCATACTATTAAAACAATGATCACCAAGAGAATGCTTTAAGAGAATAAAATTACATACACACAAAGGTAAAAAAAAGGATATATGCAGTGTTATCTTCATTTTAGATGTCAAAAGGGTCTCTTTCTCTCTGTCTCTCTCCCTCTATCCCTCTCTATCTGCCCTTGGTCTGCCACTCCTCTTCCCCCACTCTCTTTCTTTCTCTGTCTCTTTCCTCTCTCTCTCTCTCTCTCTCTCTCTCCCTCCCTCCCTCTCTCTCTTTCTCTCTCTCTTTCTCCCCCCCCTCCTATCTGCTGCTCACCTGGCAAGCTTCAAGCTGTTGTCCAGGTATAGGCAACCTCGTCTCTTTTATGACTCATGGACTTCAACTCCCAGAATTCCTGAGTCAGCCTAGCTGGGCTAGCTAGCTCTCTCCTGCCCTTCCTGCTTCCTGCTTCCTGCAGAGACGCAGCAAAGGGAGGAGCTCCGCCCAGTAAGCTTTTCAGCTCCTCGGAGAACACTGTGAGTGCACTCTCTTTTACACACACAGAGAGAGAGAGAGAGAGAGAGAGAGAGAGAAGCAGGGAAGCGCAATTGCCTCTCTCTGTCTCTGTCTCTCTCTGCAAAGGCAGAGGAGGCTGGGAGCCACCGGGGAAGGCTCAAAGAGCCGCATGCGGCTCCGGAGCCGCAGGTTGCCGACCTGTGGTATAGGGTTTCCTGCCTGAGCAGGGGGTTGTACTAGATGACCTCCAAGGTCCCTTCCAACATCATCATCATCATCATCATTTCATATTTATAACAACTCATATTCTTCTCTCTGTAGTTATTTAATAGAAACCAAAATTCCAGGCATGACTCTTCATTATTTCTGCCATGAACTAATTCATATTTTATACATTTGAATGGAATAGATAAAATATGAGTTTAATAGTAGTAGTAGTAGTAGTAGTAGTAGTAGTAGTAGTAGTAGTATTAGTAGTAGTAGTAAAGTTGGAAGGGATCTTGGAGGTCATCTAGTCCAACCCCCTGTTCAGGCAGGAAACTCTATACTATTTCAGACAAATGGCTGTCCAGTCTCTTCTTAAAAAATTATTGTTAACTGATTCTTATATACTTTCCTTTTTCATTTCAATTTGTCATGATTTTTTTTTTATATGAGAATCCAGTGCAAGGTTTCATATAAGTGGTGCTAATGGAAAAGGTATCAATATGTTTTTAAGAAAAGAGTTTCTCTACTTCCTTTATGACCGTGTTCCCCAGAGGTTGAGCTATGGCCCACTATGGAGGTTATGCAGATGAAGGGAATGTAATCCATATCTGAAAGATGCAAGATTGGAGAAATCTGATTTAGGAATTCTATCTCACATCAATTTATTTATTTATTTATTTATTTATGAGGCTTATATACCGCTTTAAGTGCAAGCACTCTCTAAGCGGTGTACACCAGTAAGCAATGTATATATATTTACATTGCCCCCAACAATCTGGGTCCTCATTTTACCTACCCCGGAAGGATGGAAGGCTGAGTCAACCTTGAGCCGGTGAGATTTGAACCGCTGACCTGCTGAACACAGTCAGCTAAAGTGGCCTGCAGTACTGCACTCTAACTGCTGCGCCACTTCGGCTAATTAGAATTAACTTTAATTCTTTATGTCTTTGAAAGCTGTGACAAACAGCTTTTTTTTGTAGTGTTCTTCACCCCAAGCCGCACAGATAGCAGATGAGCGCATGCCAAATCCACTAGCGGGCGCTCATGCTCATATGCAGAGCTTCATTTGTGTGAGCAGCAGACACACACACCTTTTGCCACTTGTGCAAATGGAGTTGCGTGCACTTGCACACACAGCTACCACTCATACAGAACCATCCCCCCCCCCCCCGCTCAGCCACCAAGCCAGAAAAGCTGGAGACCACTGTATTACAGGAAAGAAAAAATCTTCCTCATTCTAGTTGGCAAATATATGTGTCTTTTTTGTTGCTGTAAGACATTTCAGTTTAAGTTGTTCAATTTTTGTATTTTTGCATAGATCAGAATATGGCTGCACATCCCTGCTGTCATGCAACACATTATACCTTTTAGGACCTATGTCATCAGGTACTTTTTGCAGATATTTCTGATTCCTGGAATTTATTTATATAAAATTATAACCTCTTTGTTTATTGAAATTTACTAGCCACTGTATGGTATTGTTTGAACTTACCTTATAGAAGGTATCCAGAGCATGTCTACTCTGTCAGATGTGCACGATGGAAAGAATCAGTTGGAGATAAGCCCATGTAATTCACTGCTGTACCATGAAGGGCTTTATTAGATAACCAGCACCATAAAATATACTCAGAAGCATATTGGGAAGCCAGTTCAGCTTATATAAGCATACCTTGCTCTACCCATAATTACCCTCACTTGCATTCTGGATGCTTAGCTTTATTATTTAAGAAATCAATAATTACACTGGACATTTTTTTTAAAGTTTTGCTTCCTGAAAAACATTTGGTGATTATGATAGACGCTTTCAAACTGAACAGAAATAAAATTTTGGAATGAGAAGGTGAACTATCCCCTCTTGACCTCTGTATCAGTTGAATTTGTAATCATTTGGCATCAAGCTATAGCTGTAGAGATCAGCCTTATCCTTTGTAATCTAGTATCCACTACATGTATTGAGCTGCAATTGCAGGAAAATATTTTGGCAGTATAATCATGAAATGCTAGGTTGGAGAGGCTATTCCAGAATGTGAAATTTAGATTTTATTTCTGATTCTTGTATCTGAAAGCCATTGTGCAATAGATAGAGAAAATCTGGATTCAAGCACCCGTTGAACAGAAAATTAAATCCTGCTTGAACCTAAATAAAATCAAATTACTTCTACCACTCTAATTCTAAGGGGGGAAAATGGAATAATGGTATATATGGTAGATAACGTACAGATGTAAGAAATTAAAAATTATATAAAATTATTGTCAGAAGTCACATGGATTTTCACATGTTTTTGATAAACTATCTCAAATGCTTTCAGCTGAGTCTTATCTCAAATGAAATTACACTTAAACTTACTTTTATTTAACTTAAGAGTGGGCTGGTTTCCTATGACTTACAATTGGGCTATTAAGGTTTCTTAAAATTATATATTTTTGATAGAAAATATGATGACTGGCAAAGTTAATTTGACTTGTTTTGTTAATATTAATTTGATCTTCCTTGTATTTCTGTTTAGGTATTTATGCAAACTGTCGGACCAGGAGTTAAGACAAAGTGCAGCTCGTAATATGGCAGATCTAATGTGGAGCACAGTTAAAGAGCCATTAGATACTGCCTTGTGTTTTGATAAAGAGAGTCTTGATCTTGCTTTTAAATACTTTATGTCACCAACCTTAACCATGAGATTGGCTGGACTTAGTCAAATTACAGTAAGAAGCTTTTGAATATATATATATATAGACATATAGATATATAAGCAAATAAGTATATGTAAAACTATTCTGAGGCAATACAGGTACTCCTTAACTTATGACCACAATTGAGCCCAAAATTTTGTTGCTAAGCAAGACATTTGTTAAGTGAGTTTTCGCTTATTTTATGACTTTTCTTGCCACAGTTGTAAAATGAACACTGAAGTTGTTAAGTTAGTAACATTGTTGTTAAATGAATCTGACTTTCCCCATTGATTTCGCTTGTCAGAAGGTCACAAAAGGGGATCACATGACCCCAGGACATATTTATGACAGTACAATTGTCATAAAAATGTGTCAGATGCCAAACGTCTGACTTTTGATCATGTGAGCATGAGGATACTGCAGTGGTTGTAATTATGAAAAACAGTTATAAGTCACTTTTTCCAGTGTCATTGTAACTTAGAACGGTCACTAAACAAACTATTTGTAAGTTGAGGATTATCTGTATTTTTCTTTCCTTCAAAAGTTATAATTTTACTGCTTAAGTAGGATTTGCCCTCCACACACAGCAGAATAAGATGGTAGGTTATTGAAATGAGAGAATGGGTTGTACAACCTAGGACTCATATGGAGATATGACCTTCCAATAAACCCATCAAGGAATAGCTGAAAAGAAAAGAAATGAAATGAAGTATTCTAGAATGGCTAAGTCAAAGTCCAGATCTGAATCCCAATGAGACGCTGTGAGGTGATTTAAGGCAGCCTGTACATGAAAGAAACTCATCAAAGAGAATAATAACAGTGCTAGAAGGGACCTAGGAAGTCTTCTAGTTCAATACCCTGCCCAAGCACCTATATCATTCCAGACAAATGGCTGCCCAATCCCTTCTTAAAAACCTCTAGTAATGGAGCACCCACAACTTGTGAAAGCAAGCCATTCCACTGATTAATTGTTCTCATTGTCAGGAAATTTTTCCTTAGTTCTAGGTTGGATCTCTCTTTGATAAGTTTCCATCCATTACTTCTTGTCTTGCCAGTTGAAAAATTCTACATGAAGGAGTGGGGAAAAGTTTCTTCCAGACAATATCATAGGCTTGTAGGCAGTTACAAGAAATGCCAACCTGAGCTGGTTTCTGCCAAAGGAGGCAATAGCAGATACTAGAGAAAATGATGTATTTAAACTATCATTGCTTAGAACTATTTGAATATATATATACCAGTGATGGCGAACTTTTTAGAGACTGAGTGCCCCAAAACCGCCCTGCCCACGCCCCACCCCGCCTGCCTGCAGGGCCACCCACTGCCTCCACTGCCTGCTACAGCAGATCGCCCAGGCAGCCCTGCAGTGCCATGGCAGCCATGCCTTCTGCCTGTGCCCCGCAGGAGCTTCTGCAGACAAAGGGGCATGAGGGCAGAGTCTTGTCCCAGCTGCCCAACTACTCCATGCAGGCCGAGCCTGGGGACGACTCTCCTCCAGGGGGGCTGCTGATGAGGGGGCTGTGATGGGAGGTGGGGCTGGGGCGACAGCACGCGTGCCCACAGAGAGGGCTCTGAATGCCGCCTCTGACACACGTGCCATAGGTTCGCCACCATTGATATATACTATACTTTGGCTCATGATAATGTGAACAAATTAAATTTCACACAATTCAATGGAATCAAAATGATCAAAGGGCATTTTTATCACACAAACCCACAAAAATGGCAATAAGGGGTATTTGGAAGTAAGATGAAATATCGTCATAAATACAGCAAAATTAAATTAAGGCAGATATTTGATGCAATACTCAAATTTCACAAAATTTGTGGGAAGAATCATAATGAAATAATTACTCTGTTTCTTCAGTATGTACTAAACTTATAGTTTTAAGGAGAGGGAGAGTAAATCTGGTTTTAAACAAAATTGGTAGTAAAATGTATGTGGTTTTGTAACTGAATTCAGATATTGTCATAACCCATGCAGTTTAATCAAGTTTTAAAAAACATTTTGCAAAACAGTTTAAAACCATATATCATGAGCCAAATTTCAGAGACTCTGTTTGCATGCAGGAAGCTACAGCCACATAATCCATTCTTTTACATGTTCACAGGCATTTTTGTTTATAAAATAAATGGATATTTTAATAGAGGATAAAATACAAATGGTTGTAATGATCAAGGTAAAAACTTGCAATTATTAATGAAATTTAATATGAAAGTATCAGTGTAGCAGTTAGTATATCAGAATGTTCAGTTCTTTGTGTATTTTAATTATAAAAGGAAAATAACTTTTTCAGAAGATGTTAATGAAGAATCTATCTTGATTAACTTGCTGTTCTTTATTGTCTAAAATGTATTTCTTTAATATTTTTATTATAGAAATTGAGCTACTTTGATTAGTCAATTTTTGAATGATGTCAAATGTCAATTGTATCCTTTTGGCATTTATAAATTTAAAGTGTTTTTTCCTACTTGTAGAATCAACTTCATACTTTCAATGATGTGTGTAACAATGAATCCTTGGTTTCAGATACAGAAACGTGAGTATCTTTTAACTTTGGAATATTTTCATTTAACTTAGCTCCAATTACATTTCAGTCAACATTAAAATTTCATTAGAATTCTGTGTGAACTGTGATTTTGAAGTCATTTCATGCCAAATGCAGAAAGGAAGATTATTTTACAGTTCTATATGCACATTGTATTTTTAACACATGTTAATTAAAAAATCTCAAATCCTCTCTAGAAGGTTGAGCTCTCTCTCCAATCTTTCAAATATAAATCCTTTCCCATAAAAAATTGTTGATTTTCACCAACTGAAAATGGAATATATCCCAGACGCTGATAGGAGAGGGCTTACGTAGCACTCAGACTAAAGAAATTGCATGTGTCTGATAAAACGTTAATGGAAGTTCTGCAATTACCTTCTTATGTTTTCTCCCTCTTATATAGATCCATTGCTAAAGAACTTGCAGATTGGCTAATCAATAACAATGTAGTGGAACATATTTTTGGACCAAATTTGCATATTGAGGTATGTTTCATATAAAGCAGGTTTGTGTCTCTTTATCACAAAGTTTAAGTGTTAATGGTTTAATGTTGATTTAATATTTTCCAGATCATTAAACAGTGCCAAGTGATTCTTAATTTTCTTGCTGCTGAAGGCCGGCTTAGTACTCAGCATATAGACTGCATATGGGCTGCAGCACAGGTATGCCCTTACTTAAGAAGGTGTGCCAAAAAGTGGTCTCTGGCAAAATACTACTATGCTAATAAAATTAAAATATGGAAAGGCTTGGGTTTAGATGGAATGGAAAATGCATTTATTCAATATGGCAGGTATACAATAAATCCCTTCTTTTAAACCTGAAAGATTTTTAGAGCTGCAAAAGCCTTGTGTTTGCAGCTTGTTGCCATAGCACTAAATTATGATTTTAATTGTATCTGAATTAGATGTGTTTCTTAAATATAAGCGTACATGCTTATGTGTATTATTGTAGATACTATTTATTGTTTTGGGATTTTTGTCATAGAATGGAATGGAATGGAACAGAGCTAGAAGGGACCTTAGAGGTCTTCTAATCCAGGCCCCCACTCTAGCAGGCCAACCTATACCATCTCAGTCTAAGTAATTATTTAGCCTCTTCTTAAAAATCTCCAGTGATGGAGCGCCCACGATTTCTGGAAGCAAGCTGTTCCACTTGTTAATTGTCCTCACTGTCAGAAAGTTTCTCCTTATTTCTAGGTTGCTTCTCTCTTTGTTCAGTTTCCAACCATTGTTTCTTGTCCTGCTCTCTGGTGCTTCGATGAATAATGTGACCCCCTCTTCTTTGTGGCAGCCCTTTAAGTGCTGGAATACTGCTATCATGTCTCCCCTATTTCTTCTTTTCTTCAGACTAGCCAGACTCAAAGCCTGCAGCTATTCTTCTTACGTTTTAGTCTCCAGGCCTTTGATCATTTTAGTTGCTCTTCTCTGTATTTTTTCCAAACTCTCAACATCTTTTTTGTGATATGGTGACCAAAATTGGCTGTATATTCCAGGTGTGGTCTTGCTAGGGTTTTATAAAGCGGTACTAATATTTTGCGTGAGCTTGATTCTATGCCTCTATTTATACAACCCAGGATTGTATTAGCTTTTTTGGCTGCTGCTGCAAACTGCTGGCTCATAGTCAAGTGATTGTCCACTAGGACTCCAAGGTCCCTCTCACAGTTACTGTTTTTAAGCCAGGTCTTGCCCAGTACCTTTGATTTTTCCTGCCTAAATGTAAAACTTTGCTTTTCTCCATATTAAAATTCATTTTGTTGGATAGGGCCCATTGTTCAAGTTTGTCAAGATCTTTTTGGATCCTGAGTTTGTCTTCTGGGGTGTTGGCTACTCCTGCCAGTTTGGTGTATCTGCAAATTTGATGTGTTCCCCTTCAATTCCCTCATGAACAAGCTACTTTGAATTAAGACATATAGAGATCAAATGGTATCAAATCTAGTGTTCAGGCAATAGGTCTCTCCCCTCTGATGTGTTGAGTTTGTTTTCTTTGGCATGCGTGACAATTTAATTTAATTTCTCTGCTTGTTTGAAGCCACCAAGAGTTGCTTGGAATTGGGCAGCCTCTAAATCAGTGGTTCTCAACCTGTGGGTCAGGACCCCATTTGGGGTCGAACGACCATTTCACGGGGGTCGCCAAACAACACAGTCTGCCATTTTTCCCCCCTTTTCCTTAGCTGTGCTACTCCCTTTTATTCTATTGGCTTTTGAAAGCCAATAGAATAGACTCTCTTGAATAGAGTCTAATTCTATTGGCTTTCAAAAGCCAATAGGAATTGTCCAGGCTGTCTCTGCCCTGCTGAGCCCGCCAAAAGTCCCATTCTACAAACGGTGCTGCACCAGTTGAGTAGTCCTCGACTTACGACCAGTTGGGGGTCGCGGCACTAAAAAGGTTGAGAACCACTGCTCTAAATTTAAATGAGTAAACTTCAAACAAGAAAGGAATTTTCTGACGAAGCATGAAAAAGCAGCAGTTGGATATTAACTACTTATTATTCAACATATATGCTCCTAGAAACTTTGAAGCATTTTTCATATCAAAGCAGTTTAAATATAATACAGGTAATCCTCAATTTATAACCATTCATTTAGCAACCTCTTGACATTGCATTGGTACCGAGAAAAAGCGACTTGACTATTTTTCACACTTACAACCTCTGCAGCATCCCAGTGATCACATGATCAAATTTCAAATGCTTGACTACTGGCATGTAATTATAATAGTTGCAGTGTTTGGGGATCATGTGATCACCTTATGCAACCTTCTGACAAGCAAAGTCAATGGGGAAACCAGATTCACCTTAACAATCATGTTACTAACTTAACTGCAGTGATTCACCTAGTAACTATGGCAAGAAAGGTCATAAAATGGGGAAAGCTCTGTCTCATTTAGGAACAGAAATTTTGGATCAATTGTGGTAAGTCAAAGACCACCTGTATAGCATACTGGGGTTCATTTATTATTTAATAAAAGTTTTACCTTCATTAATATTAGATGTCATGGCATTCAGTGAATTGGTACTACAAAGATTAGTATCCAAAAAATGGAAAGCAATCTCCCAAGTATATAAAAATGTTTCACTTTGTGTTCCCTTTTTATATTATAAGATAAAAGTAAACTCTCTTTTGACTTGAGTTTGAATCCACGTGACAATGTCTAATTTTTCAGTAGATGTTAAACAAATCCTTGTAAATAGTAGTTAAAGCTTGTATTTTTGAAGTTGTGATTAGTAGTTAAAGCTTGTATACATGAAGTTGTGATTACTACTAAACATAGTAGTGGACTATGTTTAGTAGTCTGGACTACTGCATAGTCCACTATGCTGGTTGCCATGGTCTGGACTACTACAACGCGCTCTACATGGGGCTACCCTTGAAAAGTATTCAGAGACTACAGTTGGTCCAGAATGCTTCCGCGCGAGTGATAGTGGGTGCTCCTCGATATACCCACGTTACACCTATCCTCCGTGAGCTGCACTGGTTGCCTATTGGTCTCCGGGTCCAATTCAAGGTGTTGGTTATTACCTTTAAAGCCCTATATGGCTCAGGGCCAGGCTATTTGCGAGACCGCCTACTACCTCATAGTTCCCTTCGTCCGGTTAGATCCCACAGGCTGTGCCTCCTTCAGGTCCCGTCGGCCAAGCAGTGCCATTTGGCGGGGCTGCGGAGGAGGGCTTTCTTTGTGATGGCGCCCACGTCTTGGAACCAGCTCCCCCCGGAGATTAGGACTGCTCCCACCCTGTTGGTTTTCCGTAAGCTGCTTAAGACCTGGATTTTCCGGCAGGCCTGGGGTTTATAAAATCTGACCCCTGGATGACTTCTTGTACTGTTTGTTTTGTTATGTTTTATGTGTTTTATTGTTAGCCGCCCAGAGTCCTCCGGGAGTGGGGCGGCTTATAAATTTTAAAAATAAATAAATCGTACAAGTAGTTTCAATTTATGACCAAAATGGAGCCCAACATTTCAATTGCTAAGCAAGACAGTTGTTAAATGAGTTGCGCCACATTTTATGACTTTTTTGCCACAGTTGTTAAGCAAATAACTGCAGTTATTAATCGAATCATGCGTTTGTTAAGCGAATCTGGCTTCCTCCATTGACTTTGCTTGTCATAAATCAGCTAGAAGGTTACAAATGGTGATCACATGACTCTGGGATACTGCATCTGTTATAAATACATGCTTGTTGCCAAGTGTCTGAATTTTGATCACATGATCATGGCGATGCTGCGACTGTCATAAGTGTGAAAAACAGTCACAAGTCACTCTTCAGTGCCATTGCAACTTCGAGTAGTCATTAAATGAGTAGTTATGGGTGCAAATGCTTATCTTTCACCAACTTTTTGCCTAAAGATCCCAACCACTTTAAAAACAAGCAAAAATATAACATACCAAAGTCATTACATGGTGATGAGTTAATATTGAGAAAATCATGATTTTGTTTTTATTTTAAACAATTCAATAATAAATATCATTTTTTCATGCTAATCAATGAGCATGTGGCCAGCATTGTAAATTACTTTTCTGAATTAGATATTTCATTGCTAAATTAATTTAAGTTTAGATTTACTTTCTCCATTTATTTAAAAATGTTTCACTTCTCTAATTGCCCTTTATGATTTGATATTATTTTGTAGTTTCTATTTTCGTTATCACAATTTTGCAAAATATTTTAGGAGAGACAGCATGGTAATAAGGAAAACTAAAAGTATGACAGGGTATTCATAAAATGCAGGAATGTGTTTTGAACCTGATACTTATGTATTCTGAAAGTTCAGTCAAACCCTGTCTCTTCTCCATCAGAAGTAAAGATACTTACTTTTCAGATGCTGTCATGGTCTCTGCTGCATGGTCTCTGCACCTGTTCCTTACTGCAGCATCCATTATCCCACCACTCTACTCATTCCATTGTCCCACCCTTCCCTGCCTTCCCCCAGTTGCTGCTCCAACTGTGGCATATAACACAGATCTGCCCACTCCTCATCTTCCTTTTCCTGTCCTTCAGACATTGTCTCCAAGGAAACTTGTTTTTATTGTCCCCTCAAAACACTTCTGCTCGGAACAACTGCATTTTGGTCAGTATCTGGAACACAACAGCCTTATTATTTCTTTCCTTATCTGGGTAAAATATTATGTTTCAGTTTGGGCATAACCCACCCCAAATTTCTGTTCCATGTAAAGGAATGATTTGTGCATGAATTGTTTTTCTCATTCTTAAAATATATAAACTACAACAAGTTGTTTATAAAAGCTAATTGTTAGGAGGGAAAAAGCCATTTCTCTTAATAAGTTGTCTTTCTCTTTTTTTTTAAAGCTGAAGCATTGTAGCCGCTATATACATGACTTGTTTCCTTCATTGATCAAGAACCTGGATCCTGTGCCACTCAGACATCTTCTTAATTTAGTTTCCATCCTCCATCCAAGTGCACATACTGAACAGGTAGAAATAAATGAATTTAAAGCAATCTGTTTTCTGTGGCTAATTTTTTTTCTATATATGTCTTTTTAAAAATTAACCAAAATTACAATAGTTGGCATTGCTGATAGAATAAATTGGATGCCCTTGCTCTGAAGAGAGGGAGAGGAAATTCATTTATGTGCATAGGTGTACTTAGATTAAAATGATCTCTTGTCATTTTTTTCTGTAATAAAAAAAATTATATTAGGAAGATTTCATTTGAGCCCAAGAGATAATTTGCATTTGAGTTGCATTTGTGAATTTATGAATAACAGCATACACATTTACAATTTATGAATAACAGAATGTACATTTTTGACATTATAATTTATTATTCCTTTACAGACTTTATATTTGGCATCCATGCTCATTAAAGCATTGTGGAATAACGCTCTAGCAGCTAAGGCCCAACTATCAAAACAGAGTTCTTTTGCATCTTTACTTAGTACAAACTTACCCATGGGAAATAAGAAAGGTGAGTACACATTTGTTTCCTGGGCATCATAAATGAATAAGTAATAGATTTAAAGTTTAATGGATGAGTTTATTATAGAGACTAATATATTTTCTAAACAGAAAACAGGTTCTTTTAGTTAACCATAAGTTTCTTATTTCATTTTTGTTTATAAGAGTTTCAGGTAGAAAATAAAGAACACTCTCTAGAAAAGTTAGTTAATTCTTAATTGGAGTACCAGAACCTGGTACTCCTTGACTTATGACTCTAATTGGGACCAGAATCTCTGTTGTTATGACCTTTTTACTGCAGTTGAGTCACACACCATGAAATGAATTGCACAGTCGTTAAATCATATGGTTGTTAAGTTAATCTGGTTTGCTGGGAAGGTCACAAATGATGATTGTATGACCTGGGATGCTGCAGTTGCCATAATGCATGCTGATTGCCAAGTGTCCAAATTTTAATCACATGACCCTAAAGATGCTGCAATGATTTTAAGTGTGAGGACTGGTTGTAAATCACTTTTTTTTCAGCACTGTTGTAATTTGAATAGATGGATAATCATAAGTTGAAGACTATCTCTATGTTACTATTGGCAGTATATAATCAGCTCTATTTCCACTTTTTTCACCTTTTAGAGGAAGAAGAGCTTCGAAGAGCAGCTCCATCACCGTGTAAGTTATTGCAGAAAAGCATTATGACAGAATCATCTTATTAAGGAACCTTTATATAATTTTTCATTTTATCCATCTTTCATTTAGATGGCAGATGGACTAAGTTACATTTTAAGCAGTGGCTGCATTCTCTTTCTAGTCCTTGATCTTTCACATACATAATTCTATAATTGTTTCTTACTTTCTGTTATCCTTAGCAAGAACACCAAGTCAACTTGCACTTATGCTGTTGATATTACTAGCTGCTGGACTAGTTTCAGGGCTAATCAAAAGTTTATAGCAAGAACTACAACAACATTTTGCTGACACTACAGAGGATTAATACAAAGGCCCCCCCAACCTTTTTTGGCACCAGGGACCATGTTTCGTAGAAGAAAATTTTTTTCCACGGACTGGGGGGAGGAGGAGGAACGCACAACCTAGATCCCTCGCATAAGCGCAGTTTACAGTAGGGTTCACGTTCCTATGAGAATCTAAAGCCTGAAGAGCTGAGGGAGGGAGGGAGGGAGGGAGGGAGGGAGATAGATAGATAGATAGATAGATAGATAGATAGATAGATAGATAGATAGATAGATAGATAGATAGATAGATAGATAGAAGATAAGATAGATAAGATAGATATGAAATTTAGTTGCTTGGTGGAGCTGAGGCGGTGATGCTAATGCTGGGGAGAAGCTGCAAATACAAATGAAGCTTCTCCTGCTCACCTCCAGCTATGCAGCCCAATTCCTAATAGGTCACTGAGCAGTACTGGTCTGTGGCCTGAGGGTTGGGGATTCCTGGTTTAATACAACTGAACCTATATTAAAATTAACATTTTCTGAACATACTTTTTTTTCTGAAATAGGGTCGCCTGCAGCAAGCCCTCAAAGCAGTGACAATAGCGATACTCATCAGAGTGGAGGAAGTGACATTGAAATGGAGGAACAACTGATTAGTAGAAATAAGCATGTCCAACAGCGACTTTCAGATACAGAGGTACAATAATAATTTTTTCGATGATGAAAAGTTCAAAAGGCTAATTAAAGTAATAAAGATTATTAAAGAATTTGATAATATGAAATATGTATTTTTGTTCAAATTATATAGCTGAGTTTATACATTGCACTGAATCATTATTTGATTTCTTCTCCATATTCAGTCTGTTGGGTAAAGCAAGCCATTTTAGTTTATAAATCATACTATATTTATTAACAAATTAGTAAACCAAACTATTTAGATATTCTTGAAATTTATCAATATTTCAGGCTAACAATTATATTATTCAAATGAAAAGTGCATTTAGATTTGAAATTGGCTACCTGTGTTTTGAAAGCTTCATTTGAGTCCTTCTCTCAGCACTCTCACCATCTTCAGGTTGGCAGCAGCCATTTCAGAAAATATGGTCTTCCAAAATGCTGTTCTAGGATGCCGGACATAATTTGGGTTTTTAACCAAAATGTATCTTGCCATCCTTAAGTTCTTTAAATCATTGTGTGTTTTATGTATCACTGATTTATATGCTGTTGTTTCCTTTAAGATGGAAAATGCATAATCTCTGAGCAACATGTGACCTTTCCTGATTATCTAATGATTCAGTATATAGATTTAGTATCTTTTAATTTATTTTTTTTAGGAATCAATGCAGGGAAGTTCTGATGAAACTGCAAATAGTGGTGAAGATGGTAGCAGTGGGCCTGGTAGCAGCAGTGGTCACAGTGATGGATCAAGCAATGAGGCAAACTCTAGCCATGCAAGCCAATCTGCAGGAAGCCCAGGCAGTGAAGTGCAGTCAGAAGACATAGCAGATATTGAAGCTCTCAAGGAAGAGGAAGAGGAAGAAGATGAAGACCAGAGTCACAATTCCCCAAAAACTAGTCGGAATGTAGATTTGCGAAACCGAAAAATAGAATCTCAGTCTGGCATTTGCTTGGGTGATGCACAGGAAACAACAGATAGGAATGGTGTAAGCAATGGATCTGGGAATAGCCATGTTTTTAATAGTGAAAATGTTCCATCAGTTGATAATAGAATTAGAATGCTAGATCCTTGCTCACACTCAGAGAATACTGATCATGACATAACTGGTGAAATGAGTACTGCTCATATATCACAGGGCTCTCAAGATTCCTGTATCACACACACAGGGGACTTTCTTGGGGAAGCAATTGGAAATGAATTATTTAACTGTCGACAGTTTATTGGGCCACAACACCATCACCACCACCACCATCACCACCACCACCATCACCATCATCACGAAGGGTAAGTTATTTTTGGTGTCTACATTTTTTGCAAAAGCAAAGTTTGAATTTGCAGCTGAATAGTATATCTTGAAATACTTAATTCTTTGACATGAATATATTAAGCAAAATAATCACATTTAAATTTCTTTTGATTGCTTTTATAATTCTTTTACTGATTAAAGGGAATAAAAATTCAAGAAATGATCATTCATTCAAAATTCTGGATCAGTAAAGCTTTGAAATAAAACAGAATTTGTTTAGTATGCTGAAATTCACTTTGCTGATATATCTGTCCGCATGTGAACATAAGCAGTCTTTGGGGCAATATTAAAATGTGAAATAAGTAATTTATGCAGTCTCAAGCACCTTTCACTTTTAATTGTGCTAAGTAATTCTGAAACTTCATACATATTTCTTGTCTTATGTATATATATATTTTCCTTAAGGAATATTTAACAATTAGTGTGATTACATTTCTTCAGTTGAATCTTTTTAAAAGTTACATTTGTTATTACAGATGAACAAACTTATTTTTCACTTTTAGATGGAAATCTTATCTGAGCATCATCTGCTTTGGGGTAGAGGAAGGAGATATGTGCTGTTGATACAGTGTATTGTTTTATTGCATCCAGGCATGATTTATTATGTTTGCAAAAAGCAATAATATATTACTCAAAAATAGTTATTTCTTTTTATAAATTTTTGCACTGTTTGTAGTATACGTTTTAACAAATTCTACTGTGATTTGTAGTTCTTAGAGCTAAAAAGTAGTTGGATTTTCATGCTGTAGTCTTAGCAAATCCTATCTTTTTAGCTATGAATGAGAAATTATTTCATTATTTTTTATTTTATTAAATTTATATACTGTCCATCTAGCTTTTAGAGTGACTATCCAAATTAGAGTTCTTCAAAGTAGCCTGAGTTTAAAAGTTTTTGAACTTTTGAGTAGCCATTTCTGAGAACAGTACACCTTGCATTCAAGAATTTTGCTTCAAGATTGGGACAAAATGGGACAATTAATTTCATGTTATCTTCAGTGTTTTGACTTAAGAGTAATGTTTATGCAAAAGAAACTCTTATTCCCCAGATTTCTTCCTTGGATGACAAAGGAAAGTAGGATATGGTAGTTCATTTAAAACTCCACAGAAATGGCTGTCTAAAGCTCTGCTTAATCACCTTTTAGTCCAATTTTTTTCACAAGTACTATTGCCAAAGATGTTCCTGTTTTGTACCCAGTTACATAATTGTAATATCTATAATGTTAAAACTAATCATTATTTTCAGCCCATTGTTACAATCAATTAAGATCTGTTAAACATTGTCATTAACAAATTTTGATAAGATTCCTCTCTACTAGTACTTCCAAGTCCCTAGTAAAAATATTAAAGAGCACAACAACTTAATCCAGAACTTAATCTTGCAGCAACTTTATACCCTCAAGTTTGAGGCACCTTTGATGAGTATGCTGAGAGCATACTTAACTAGCTTGTGAATTAGAAAGCAATAGACTATTTTGTCAAATAATTTATTATAATTGGTAGAGGGGACATACATAAAGTAAAAGATCTTAGAAAGATCTTATATATTTCTTAATCACAGTATGAAATGATAGTATTAATTAATGGCTAACTTGCATTTATTTATGCCACACCACAATCAAATGAGTTTAAAACAGGGATGTCAAACTGCTGGCCCGCGGGCCGGTATCATCATACCAAAGCTGCATCCGCCCCTTTGCCAGCAGTGCAAAAAGAGTTGCAATATGTAACGATACATCATGGGATGTGGCAAATTTGACACCCGTGGTTTAGAAGCTTACGTAATATGTAATATAGCAGAAATTAAAACATCTGCAAAATAATTAAATGATGACAAATAACATCATCTCCCATGACTAAAAGAACAACATAAGCAAGCATAAAACAAACAAGCAAAAAAAAAATGATAAAAAGTGGTGTAGTATTTAAATTTAATGTAATGTTCTCCCAAACAACTCTGTCCTCTTTTCGTGTGTGGATTTAGGGTGAGAATTGGAAGCAGGACTATGCTTGATCAGGCTGCAGGGAACCTGTTTCATATTACTGTTTCTAAAATAGTAATATGAAAAACCAAAAACCAGAACTGATGACCTGATAGCCACTTCAAAAATGGCTGGAAGAACAGCTCTATAGAAGGGATTGCTACAGTAGTTGCATTCACATATATTACTGTTATCAAGAAAAAGATTTTTTTTCTTCTGGCTAATAAGAATTTCCTTCCTTTACTTATGTAAAATTAATATTATTCTATAATTTGCATATAAAAAAAGCTGTAGTTAGCATATACTTGCTTTTATGTTATAGACACATGGTTGATGATATGTTAAGTGCTGATGATGTCAGTTGTAGCAGCAGTCAAGTCAGTGCAAAATCGGAAAAAAATATGGCAGATTTTGATGGGGAAGAATCAGGATGTGAAGAAGAGCTGGTACAGATTAACTCACATGCTGAACTAACTTCTCATCTTCAGCAGCACCTTCCAAATCTTGCTTCCATTTATCATGAGCATCTCAGCCAAGGTAAGAAATAATTAAGTCAAGGATAATACTCAATCGATCTCTGAAAATATAAACAAAACTATAAAATACTGCATTGATGGAAATAGTGTCATAAAATTACTAACCTTCCTACTAATCATGATCTTCATGTTACAGATTTTACAGGCTTGATTAGTTTAACTAGGGAAAAAAACAATGAACATTGTCACATGAAACATTTGCTGCATATTTTTTATAAAAATTACCTAATATTTCAAAATTCATACTGCTAGTAAAAGAACAACAACTTTATTGTCACTTTGAATGTACACCAATCGGCTTACATCAAAATGAAATTTCGTTGCATACAGCTCTCAAAGGGCCACCACCTCCAATATACACTCCTTGTTCGTGGCCAGCTCAAGTTTCAGATCAACCATTTTAATCTCTAGGGAGCAAACAATGGCAAACAGGACAGATGGAAACGGAGCCCCATGTGGATTAGCCCTCAAATTAGCTTGTATTCCTGCACGACAACCTTGGCTCCTTTCCTTTTTCTGAACCTGACCCTTCCACCTTTTCCTTTAAAGAGGCCTTGCTTCTTTTCGCCCCTGGAGCACGCTGCCACCATCACCAACTCCTCCAAAAGCCTCTCTCTCTCTTCCTCTGGGCTTGCCGACAGCCTCATCCAGTTCCTTCGCTCCATAAGCCCCGGGATATGAAACTAAATATGAAACTAAAACATGTGATACTTGTACAGAATATTGTGGGCTATTAAATTGAGCAGGTTATATAAATGATACAACTTCAGTGGTTTTTTTTTTAAAAAAAGGTTAATTGACTATTATATACAGTCAGCTAGAAGATATATTTCAAAGTATGTGTTATAATCTATAACATTCTATACAATTTGGGAACAGTCTCTCAGCCCATATTATCTCTTATGAACCTTAGAATGTCTGGCAAAACAAGATCTGTCTGCTATCAGAGGGACTTTTGTTTTAATGCTATTGATTCTCTCAGGTTTTAAAACTTTTGTCTGGGGAACCCAAACATTTATTATAAACCAGTACTTCTGATAGCAGATAAAAAAAGTTTTATTCAATCAGGCCTTCAGAAAATAAGCTTGCTTATTAATGAGTGGATATTATTGAATTTATTTCTATAAATAAATTATATAATTGTATTTTATAGAATTTATAATTGTATTTTATTTTTTAATTTTACTTGCATTAAAACTTAATTGAACGCAATTCATAAACAGAAAGGTAAAGTATAACAATATTAAAATCTATAAAGAGCTATATAACTTTACCTGATCTACCCAATATGTTTCCCAAGAATAGGCATATCCTTTATTGGAATTACAAAAAAGTGCTTTTTCAGCTCTATTATTTCAGTTGTAGAGGATAGTCTCTAGAGAGGCATTCTCAGGCAGAAACTTGGTTTGTGCATGTGTTTTAATCTAATATAGAATTTTATAAACTACTTATGTTAAGAACCAAGAACGAAACATAGAGTTACTTCTCAGTAGTTTCTTTATTACTGCTCAGTTGCAGACAGAATCTTGCCAGACTAAAGCAACTACCTGCATAACTATAGATATACTCTGATCTGATAGGGAGGGGCCATCTTAACCCCTCTCCCTTCCTATTAGACTTCCCAAATTTCTTTGCCTCTTTGCCCTCTGGGAAGCAGCTCCTCCCTCATGGGACTCTTAGACTACATTCTACACAATGTCTTTTATTATTTATGTAAAAGAATGTAAAAGTAAAAGTAACCTGTGTTAAAATTTTAAAGAAGATAAATGTGTTATAGATTTACCTTTTAAATACTATAATAACATCAGTCCAAATACAAATTCTTCAAAAAGTATAAGAAATGTATTTGGCTTCCAGTAGTAGTACTTTGACTATATTCCAGCCTATTGCTAAATTTTCATTGGATAAGTTACATACTCAAAATTACAACGTTCTATATACAATTAAACTTTGAACAATTCAGGAATCACTGCAATACCAACACCAAAACCTAAGGAGGCTGCATCCCAATAGCAAGCTTCTACTGTAAAGTAAATATAGCATAACACATTTAAAAATATGTATCCATATGTAATATGTGTGTAAATATGTAAAATTACAAGAAAAACATGTCACTCAATCATCTTCTTGGACCTTATCTAAAGGCTGGAGTCGTGTCAACACTGCAGCTGCATAGTTATTACTTTGTTTGGAACTTCTGGGTGTTTTCATTATGCTTGTTTTGATACATGCAGCCTCCTAATTGGGGAGGTATTAGGTATGATTCTGATTAAACTGAAAATAATAAAAAAGATGGTTTATCATACATCCTGTGTTATGATTAAAGCTGTATGTAGGAGAGGATTAGCCAAGTATATGCCTTACACATGCACAGAAAAAAGCCCTCTGGTTTGGATTGCAGTGGTATCCCATCCAGTGATCTTTGTGGATAATAATTGCATATGAAATAATAGGATGGAGTTTCTTTGCATACAAGAAAAATTTGGATCATTCATGAGTCCATTTGTTTATTTTTTCTAAAAATGAGTTGTGCATAATATCGATTGTTTAAAAACTATACAACTTAGCCAAGAAAGAAAAACAGGAACATTTCATATAATGTTTGTACCATAGTGATTTATAATAAATTTAAAGAGGTGAATATTCCCAATTTATTATAGTATTTTTAATAAAGTTAACTGCACTTGCCTGTATTTGGCCCCCCAACATCCTGATATGTTTGTAGGGTTATATATTAACATTTATTTACAGGTATTTATGGACAGACTCCACTCATGTCAGGATATACATTCTATATTTTTAATAACACCTGTCTTTTGCTCAGGGCCAGCAGTTCATAAGCACCAGTACAACAGCAACGCAGTGACAGATATTAACTTGGATAATGTTTGTAAGAAGGGAAATACCCTTTTGTGGGATCTGGTCCAGGATGAAGATGCAGTAAGTTAAATATCACACAAGAATATTTTCCAAAGAAAAAGTAATAATAATTGTCAATAACTCTTCTCTTACTTGACCTAGATACATCTTTCTGAAGGTTTAATAAATGAAGCAGAGAAGCTTTTATGTTCACTAGTATGTTGGTTTACTGATAGACAAATTCGTATGAGGTTCATCGAAGGCTGTCTTGAAAATTTAGCAAATAACAGGTAAATAAACCACCCAGAGTTACTCTATGAGGGCATGGGCAATTTCCAGATATGAAACATAAGTAAATATAAATAAATAATTAGGCTTAAACTGCAGGTATTAGTTCTTCACTAATACTTTTTTCTTTAAATATAACTATATGATAATGTTAATATAAAGGCTATAAATTAAAGATCATCATGATGCAAGGTGTTGATTTATATCTAATTTTCTTTCACTCCTTAGATCAGTTGTAGTTTCTCTTCGTCTTCTTCCAAAGTTATTCGGTACCTTTCAACAATTTGGGAGCAGTTATGATACACATTGGATTACAATGTAAGTACAAACACCTAGGCATAGCAAAAGAAGTTGAATATGATTCCTTATTAGGAATCAAACATAGCATTTTTAAGTCTTATTCTCTTCTGACATTTTACTGTATTTTATATTGTTTTAATATTTCATTCCTTATAGCTGTTCTTTCCAATATTTTGCCATTTTAAAAACAGTTCACATTTCCTTTGTTTTACTCTAATGAAGAAATCCATAGTTAGCCATACATATGGGTTTCAAATAATCTAAATGCTTTGTTTTCCTTGAACTGTTGCTTCTCTTTGATGTTACATTATGCATAGGTCATTTAGTTATCTTCTTTAGTCCATTTTGACCTCTGCAACGGGATGTCTTTTTTATGCATTGAAAAGATCATATCAGATGGCATGAGAAAAAGCTGAGTTATTAGACCTGAAATTATCTTTGTACAGAGGTTTGCTGTGGTATCTCAATCCTAAGTAGAAGATATTAAACTTTGAATATATTGTCCTTTGAATCACATACATTTATTTTCCAGAAAAAGTTTAACAAAATGTTAATTAAAGAGGCAAAGGAACATGTAATAAGAATATGAAGTATAGTAGCAGGATTTCTAAGATTTTTTAAATCCATTTCATTTTATTTTGAACATTTAGTAATTTCAAACTATTTGCTGATTCATTTAATTACAAATAGAGTGTCAAGAAATCTTCAAGGACTAGTCCAGGCAGTTCCCAGGAGTCAACCCTGACCTAATAAAACCCTGAAATAATTATTGTGATATAAATAATTAGGTCTCAAGGAAATAATAATAGAAAGTTTGAAGCCAGCTTGAATCTCTAGCAATTCTGTGTGGCACAATATTCATTTATTCCACATTTATTTAATTACATCCACAAGATCTTTTTGAATAATAAAAGTGTTAAAACCAGTGTTGATAATAGAAGAATAAGCTGTGATGAGGAACGTTATGGATTTTTGTAAGTTCACCAGTTTTGATGCCAAATATCTCTTGATGCATCTTTTTCTTACATTAAGAGATCAAATAATATTTACTTTACATTCTTTTACTTTTAATTATATTTTCAGTATGATGTCTTGATAAGAATTATATTTACAACTACATTACAAACTCTGTTTCATTTGACTGATAACCTGCCATAGTGTGATTTTTAAATGCCTTGGAAAGGTTTTTTTTTTTCTGAATTGTATGCAGCATCTATCTATTTATGTGGTCAAAGTCAGCAACAACTTGATGAACACATAACCAGTATGGAGCATAAGTAGTCTCTATATATGTATGCATATGTAAATGTATGCATTCTATAGTGTATAAGAAACAGTTTGGCTTAATGGTTAAGATGCTGACCTAGAAACCACGGGACTGTGAGTTTTAGTCTCACCTTAAATATAAAAACCTGCTGGGTGAATTTGGGCCAGTCATACTCTCTTGGCCCAACCCACCTCACAAGATTGTTGTGGGGAAAATAGGAGGAAGAAGTATTATATATGTTTGTGGGGGAAATAGGAGGAAGGAGTATCATATAAGTTTGCCATCTTGAGTTACTTACAAAGTAATAAAGGCAGGAGAAAAATCTAATAAATAGCTTAACATGTATATGTGTGCTGTTCTCCCTTCCATGTGGATACCCTCTTGCGGGGGAGGGGCTTGTGCATTCTGTTAAGGTTGAGAATTATGCTGGAGGTACAGTATACCGCCAGAAAGTGCACTGTTCTACTTTGAAATTATCTATATCCAATTTAGAGATAAGAAAGGGGCTAAATATGCTAAGCCAATATGATCCTCAATTGTTCAATTGATCTTCAGAACCTCCCATTCATAAATGCTGCAGGGTTCTTTCCCCCAAACCCCTCCTTGAACAAAACCTCTGCTCAGTCCAACTTAAGCTCACCATCCATTAGTGCTTTTAATACAACTAATAATGATTGACAGTCAGTGTTCCCTAGATCCTAGAAGGTTGCCAACCTTTACCCTTGTTCTTTTACCCAGCAGACATTTTGCTTTTTAAATCACTTTTTTTTGCCATCTTAACTGCTACCCTCCCTTTCTCTTGTGGGATATAGCTTAGTCTCAGGTTCTACTTATTAATTAAGCAAAAAGAAAATGTTTTGGTGCTTGCATGGACTGTATGCCAGATTCTAAAGAAAATATTGACTCCTGCATGCTACCATAAGAAAAAAACCTGCCATATGGATGTAATGAGTAATGAATGGAACAATTGCCAGGCCAAATACATCATACAGAGCAACCTTTAAGAAACATTATGAATCATCTAAGAAATCTTATTAAATGTTTTGTGTGTGTGTGTGTGTGTGTGTGTGTGACTTATACAATGGGTTTTTTTGTATAATTCCCATTAAATTATATGAATTCTTACATTGAAACAGGTGGGCTGAAAAAGAACTTAATATGATGAAGCTTTTCTTTGATAATTTGATACACTACATTCAAGCAGTCAGAGAAAGACGATATAAACACACATTGTAAGTATGATTCTGGAGGATCTTGTCCTTTTTTGTCCATTCGTGATTTAATATTTTGAACTACCATTGTTCTCCTTGGCCTTGCTAAATTCCATTTGGACTTGACCACAGTAATTACTTGATTAGTAGAAAATGTCAGTATCTGATTTATTGATGCCTATCCACTTCCCCATTTTGGGGGGGGAAACGCTAGCTCTTTTGGTAAGTGGAAAAAGGAATTAAAAAGAATTCTGATGCAAAATAGAATTTGACATTTTAAAAGGGCATTGACCAAATAAAATTACACTGAGACAGTGTATAGCTCCAACATCCATTAATATTTCCCTCTGCTATAAAATCATAACTAGTTTATACCACATTTTATGCTGAGTGCTGGATGTTGATTGAAATTGTTTATGTTCAGTGATGTTTATATTAGAATAGAAGAAAGGTAAAAGATAGTTTGGAAATTAGAATGAAAGAATAAAGGTTTTGTTATTTCGATATTAGATACACAGTAGATTCCATGTTGCCTTTTATAATATGAGATACAAATTCAGTAGATATATACTATATATATGTTCATCACAACCAAAAAATAAAACATCTACTTACAATAAAAATATCAAAACCAAAACACCTGGTACTGTAGTTAAAGTTTCCCATGTAGCCCCCACTTTCATCTCACCATTCTCACCTTATCCCAGCAAATAGGGAGATACAATAATAGTATATCAATCCTAAATTGATAAAAGGTTATTTCAGATTAATGTAGCCAGCACATATGTTCTCCGGTTTTATATAACAAAGTTTGCACCAATAAGGAAGCACATAATAATATTTGATGTATACACTGTAAGGCCATGTTCACCTCCAGTGTTTTTTTGACCCCACTGAACCCTCAGTGCAGAAATTCCGCAGCAAAAATCAATACTCAACATTATGATTTTTGTTTATTTAACAAAATAAGAATGAAACAGATTAATATTTTATATTGATGCTGGCCTATGTATAGTAAAAATGTTTTATTTTATATTTTACTTTACAAAATATCCCCCAAATGAATAATAGTTTATCTGTTTTGTTCACATTTGTACATTGTCACTATATATTACCATGTACCCTGCAATACATGAAAGCTGGGGAAACTAAAGTATTTCATCCAATTGGAAAAATATTGCTGGTCCAGACATGTTTAGTTTTAAATTTGATTCAAATGATGATTTGAAAATCAGTTTTACAACTGACAAATTAAAATTCTCTTTTTTGATTTAGAATTTTTAATTCCTCTACCTTTTTTGTCACTGAATAGATGTCTGTGGAATCTACAGGAATCAAGCTTGAATTATTTTATTTTTTTCAACATTTGTAATAATCATTTGTCATCTGATAATGAGGTTAAGGCAGCCCTCAGAAAAGACAATGAGATGTATTAGTCTAATTTAATTTAAAAAAAGATTAAGCTGTCTTAAAGTTGACTAATTTTTTTAATAATTTCAATGATAGATACAGCCATAGCGCAGAGGTTCAGGTGCGCCTTCAGTTTCTGACATGTGTCTTTTCCACTCTGGGATCACCAGATCATTTCAGTAAGTTCTCACTATATCTTAATTTTTAAAAATGTAATTTTCTGCTTTTTTCTTAAAGATTTATTTCTTTCTTTTTTTAAATGTTTTTATTCATAATACAATTAAAACAACAATGGACAAACATGACATTCCAGAATAAATTTTCCTATCAGTTCCTATCATGGTACAAAAGTTTAATACATCGTTCTTAACCTCTATATAAGCTTCATCTTCTATACAATACAATTATATATACAATTATATGTAGAGTTATATATATCTTTTAATTCTACCATTAACTTGAAGTCCGAGCAGTTCTCCTTAATTCATACCAATGGTAAAATTTGCCCCAGATTTCGAAGTATTCGTGTTCTGTCTTGTCTTTCACAATCATTGTAAGCCTGTCCATCTCAGCACATGATAAAATTTTATGCAGGATCTCTTCTTCCGTTGGAGTTCCCTTATTCCTCCAATTTTGAGCAAAAACCAGTCTGGAAGCCGTTAAAATGTGTAGCATTAAATAAAGTACGCCTTTGTCATGCTTTTGCGTAGTTAAACCTAATAGAAAGAGTTCTGGTTTTGGTTCTACCACTTGCTCTAATATTTCTTCCAACCATACTTTAATCCTGTTCCAAAAATCATGAGCTCGCGTGTATTCCCACCACATATGATAGTAAGTTCCACTTGTCAAATTACATTTCCAACATTTAGGGGAGACATTGGTACACATTTTAGCCAATCTTGTGGGTGGGAGATGCCATCTATAAAACATTTTGTAAAGGTTCTCTTTGTAAGAGGTGGCCAAAGTAAGCTTCTTGTTTCTTGCCCATAGTTCTTGCCAGATGTGCAGATCAAAATTAAGACCAAAGTCCTTGCTCCAATTCAACATAGTCACTTTTACTTGTTCCTTGTACATTGCCTGATCTAACAAATAGTAGTATAATTTTTTAATCATTTTATCCTCTGACCCCAATATTATTTTATCCAATTCTATTGGTTCTAATTTAATGCCTAACTCTTTTTTGTCTTTCCGATATCTCGCCTGCAGTTGCAGGTATGCCCACCATTCTAATTCTATCCCTTCATCCTGGAGGGTTTTTCTGGATTTCAATTCCCCTCTTTCATCTAAGATATTTTTATATGTTATGGTCTTGTCTAATTGGGTAAATTTTGGGTGTACATATATTTCTAACGGTGAGATCCAACTAGGTACTTGGGTATAATTTGGTTGCCAAATTTTAGTCCATACATCAATAAGAGCTGGCCTAATATAGTGTCTTCGAAAATATTTATGTACTTTATATTTATGATCCCATAATATGGCATGCCATCCTATCTGTAGGTCATGGCCCTCCAGACATAGTAGTCTCCTGTTTTTTAGTAATATCCAATCTCTTACCCATACTAATGCTGTAGCCTGGTAATATTTCTCCAAGTCTGGAAGACCAAAAAAGATTTATTTCTTAAAGAAATAATTAAAACAGGGAATTCACAACTCTTATTGCAACCACGAGCTTTAAGTACTAGTAATCCATGAGTTACAACCGGCTGCTTAGCAATGATTTGGAATTACAACAGACACTCCCAAAATGTAATTACAACCTGATTCCAAAGTTCCAGTGCTCCATGCTGCAGTTGGGCATTCAGCAACCAGCCCACAATTATGATAGATAGATAGATAGATAGATAGATAGAGAGAGAGAGAGAGAGAGAGAGAGAGAGAGAGAGAGAGAGAGAGAGAGAGAGAGAGAGAGAGAGAGAGAGAGAGAGAAAGAAAGAAAGAAAGAAAGAAATCAAAGTTATAGGGTAAAGGGAATCTTACTGGACAGCAATGTGTGCAAAGAGAATCTGGTTTCATTGGGAAAAAAATGTGATGCAGCTGCAAACAAAGCAAATTCCATCTAATTTGCATTAAGAAATATTAATACGAAGATCAAAATAAGTATTATACAATGATCAAGAGATCATTGTTCTTTCTTTTCTGCATTGTTCCACATCTAGAATATAGTATCCAGTTCTGGCCATTATGTTTTAGGAAGGGCAGTGAGAAACTGAAGCATGTCCAGAGAATAGCAATCACGATAATATGCTGGGAAAAGAGAACCTATGATGAGGTGTTAGATATGTTTAGCCCACAGCTGAGACAACTGCAAAGAAATATGATAAAAAGTTTTAAAATTATGTGAACACCTGTCATATAAAAGAATTATTCAGAATTGTTCCAAGAGATAGTATAAAGAAACAGTAGCTTTAAATTAAAAAGAAATTGGTATTTTGTTAGAATGTAGGAAAGAATTTCTAATACTAAGAAGCTGTTGAGGAGCTTTCAGTAGGGGACTTTCATTCAGTGAAGGTGTTTAAAGCATGGGGCCCTAACTCCTGGTCCTTGGAATAGCACCAGGCTGTGGCATGCCAGAAACTGGTGACGCAAACAAGCAAAGCCCTATCTGCAGACTGCAGGCAGTACATGAAACCATACCCCCTCCAGTCCACAGAAAAACCTCTCTCCACGGAACCGGTCCCTGGTGCTCAAAAGGTTGGGGGCCTCTGGTTTAAAGAGCCTGGAAGGCATATTTTGGGGATGCTGTAATAATGGCTTTCTGCATCTTGAAGGTTATTTACCAATTAGGTACCAATTATTTCTGCAGACTTATGGAGCTCAGAGAATTTTGTACTGTGGTACAGGTTTTCTGGATGAGATGACTATGTTTGCATCAGATTCTGAGTTTTGCTGTAAAATGAAAAGGTAGGAAAAGGCGTAAACACAGTCATTCCTGACACTATCAATTACCTTCTCTTATTCATTGACCTCAGATAGGTATTTGATTTTCCAGAGGATCTGTAGACAGCAAGGCAAGCCAGATAACTGGAGAGTAAGTGTTGGCTTGAGGATCGCCCATACTACTTGCACCTATTCTGTGGTTCCAAAGGCATCATATCTTCTTTGCTGACATCTAATTTTCAAGAGACCAGCCATTTCCATAGCCATCTACTATGTGATATTTGCATAACTTTTTAGTCGGGAAAAGCCTTTGTATTCATATTGGTGCAGCCCTACATGAAATGTTCCATCCCTCATTTTGTCTGTGTTATAGGATTGAAATCTGAGCATTTGTTTAGAACAGGGCTGTTTAGAACCCAGTGGTACGGGTACCACCTGTGGTACATTGACACCTGGCAGGTGGTACGCGACCATCGTAGAAAAGTAGCAGGGGAGGGGAATGAGCTGAACCGGTGGCAGCACCACACAAGCCTGAGTGAGAGATGGCTGGAGCTGCAGGACTGTCAGGGCTCAGTGGAAGCACCAGGATCAGCGCCAGGCTTCAGCTGGAGCTGGGCGCTGATCCTGGTGCTTCTGCTGAGCCCAGAAGAAGCGCCGATCAGCTGGAATGTTGCAGCATCTCCAGGGTCTATTTAGATGCTTGGCAGCTGATTCATATTTATGATGGTCACAGTGTCCCAGCGTCATGTGAAATGACCAAAACCTGCTGCAACCACCCAGCAGACGGGGGAATAAAAACCAAACACCCCCCACCCCACCTCCACTGCCAATCCCCAACAGAAATGCTCACAATAATGAAAACTTCGAACAGGAGGAAGAGTGCCGCTGGGTGGGCAGGCAGGTGTCTTGCTCGGCTATGGCTTGGGGAGGCACTTTTTTCAGTGCCATTGTAACTTTGAACAGTCAGTAAGTGAACTGTTGTAAGTTGAGGACTACCTGTACTTTATCACTTTTTTCCTTTTTTGGAGGGGGGGTCATCAAGTTTTTGACACCTTGCTAGACGACTGGTGTTACTCGGATATTGCCATATCCTAAAAGTGGTACAATGGGTGAAAAGCTTGAAAAGCCCTGGTTTAGAATACAAAGTTTTGCCCAACTATGTATTTTCTTAATGGCTGCCCTTTGTGGCTAATTCAGTCTAGCTGGAAAGGGTTGACCAAGTTTGTGAGGTTATCATTATGGGATATGAAATGGTAATTTCTCTGAACGAGAGGACAGTGCAATGCCTGTGCTTTTTAACTCACAATATTGATGCTTAATATCTGTTGCTTAGCGGTAATATCCTGCTTGCAAAATATTTAAGAGGTTAGCAGCCATGCAGCTGTAGAAATCTTATTAAATACTGGGTTCTCTTCTCTCCCTCTTCCTCTCCTTTTTTATACTTTTATTACAAATAATTGAAGGCAGCAAGCACACCAAATACTCATCCCTTCTTCTATTTTACCCACAACAACCACCTTGAGTGAGTGGCTCAAGATCATCCAGCTGATTTTCATGGCTAAGGCAGGATTTGAATTCACATACTCCCAATTTCTAGCCTGGTGCCTTAGCCACTAGATCAGACTGGCTGTTTGTCACTGATGAGTGACCTCTTTGAGGAGTGTAACTCTTGAAACATTTTGATGACAGTGGGATTGATACTTGTTTGCTACTATATCGTGGATCAGCTAATGGGTCAGAAGCTCACAGTACAGTGTTAAAATGGTACTATTGCAGGACCATGTTAATATAGGGGCATAAAAGTGATAGGTCTCTTCTTTTGTTGCTCCCTAGCAGCTGGAATACAAGGCATGGCATCTGTGATTCTGAAGGTAATAATGGCCATCAGTACTGATAGACACTCATAGCTCAATCTTCTGTGAATTTTTCCAGTTCCCTTACAGTCTAAAATAGTGTAAGTCACACCTGAAGGGAGCAGATTCCAGATAGTCATCAAGTTACAACATAATGGAGCCTGCCTCTTATGGTTGCAAGTGATGATGGTCGATAAGCAAAGTGCCCATGTGATAGCATTACTTAATGACCCCCACTCCTGTTCCGGTGTTTCATTAAGTAGTGCATGGGATACCTCAGGTGGGCGAGGCCCTGGGATATCTAGGAAGGCCAAGACCCACCTGCCCTGAGCTCCCAAGGCCTCCTGTACCCGCAGGCATCCTGTGGTTTGCTTCCGATCCGTCAGGATCCTTGCAGCCTTGGGCCTGCTTCCCATCCTACAAGGTCTCCCACACTTCCACATACCCCCATCACCAATATTGCACTTAACTTTTGAAAGATCTCCGGAGCTCATATTGGAGAAAGATAGCATGCCAATCCACTTCACACCATCTATAGGCCATGTGGCTCTGCCCTGGAAGTGGGAAACATTTTGGATCAGGCACAGTGTTGTTGCAGGGCAGCCACTCCAAAATTGGCACCTGCTTCTGGGATGGAGCCATACAGCCTAGGGATTCTAAGGGGTGGAACAGCCTGTTCTCTTTCCCCAGACAAGGTCAAGTACACCAAATCTGTGAATCTGATGAACAGGACATATCACCATGACAATATATGTTTATAGAAATTCACTGATTAGAAAAATAAACCTAGGATTTTTATTGAACCTGTACTGTTATTGGTTTTTGTTGTTCTGGTTTTGTATTGCAGAGGAGAGCGAGATTAATCCAAATTATAACCATTGGAGGATTATTATAATCTGAATAAAAAGTGGATAGCAAATTTCATGAATAAAATATATTTGAATTTTTAGGGCTGAGTCTGGAACAAGTTGATGTATTATGGCACTGTTTAGTTGAAGATTCTGAATGTTATGATGATGCTCTACACTGGTTCTTAAATCAAGTAAGAAGTAAAGATCAACATGCAATGGGAATGGAAACCTACAAGCACCTTTTTTTAGAAAAGGTAAAGTGGATTTGATCTTTGCTACATAATCAGTTATCATTTCTGTTGAGTACAAGCTTCAAAATGATAATTCTTTTTTTTTCTTAGATGCCTCAGCTGAAGCCTGAAACAATTAGTATGACTGGATTAAACTTGTTTCAGCATTTATGTAATTTGGCTCGGTTGGCTACTAGCGCATATGATGGTGGTTCAAACTCAGAGGTATGCAAATGTACTGAGCGACTGTTTCATTTTTTGTAAAACTAACATATCTGTGGGGTGTTTGATGTTTTTTGAGTTTGGTTGTTTTCCTGCAGATGTTTCATTACCCAACCAGATAACCCCATCAGTGCTAAAAGGGAATGAGGTTTGTTTTCTGTTTATATATTAATGATTTGCCCTATCAATGTTAGTGGGAGTGTTCTTGTCCTCTATAGGACAATCAGGCAGAAGATTAACAGAGTGCATCCATGAACATTAACCAGCAGTCAGAAGACATGATGAAAACTCCTTGATTTCAGACACATGGACAGACTTAACCATAGCTTCTGCCGGGAACCTTTGTGTATCCTAGATCAAGCTAAGTCCAAAAAAGCTAAAGAATTCCTGGAAGCCATCAACAACATCTACCTGTTGAGATAAACAACATCTACATGCCATTTGAAAGATAATCAAGAAGCCAAAAAGAAAAATAAAGCACTATATTAAAAAAAGTGGATTTACCAAAAATCCCAGAAAATATACAAAACATCTTAAATGAAAAATGATTTGGAAAGGCACACAACTTTTTTTAAAAGGCCTCACAGCTGACAATGCATACTGTAGCACAATGCAAACTGCCGGCCCGTGGCCTGGATGTGTCATGCTGGCAATGGACATTACGAGTTTGACACCTCTGCTGTAGCAGAACAGAAGCCATGCGGTCAAAGGAACTGCCTCCAAAGCTCAGAGACGGGGATTATTGCAAGGCACAGATCTGGGGAATGCTACAATAATATTTCTACTGCTCTGAAGGTTCCTAAGAGCACAGTGGCCCCCATAATTCTCAAATGGAAAACATTTGGCACAACCTGGATTCTTCAAGAGCTGGTGACCTGGCCAAACTGAGCAATTGGAGGAGAAGGGCCTTAGTAAGAGAGGTGGCCAAGATACCGATGGTCCATCTGACTGAGCTCCAGAGATGCCATGTGGAGACACAGTTCCAGAAGCATAAGCATCACTGCAGCCCTACATCGATCTGGGTTTTATAGCAGAATGGCTAGACTGAATCTTCTCCTCAGTGTAAAGCACATGAAAGCCCTTTTGGAATTTGCAGAAAAGCACCTAAAGGACTCTCAGACTGTGAGCAAAAATATTCTCTGGTCTGATGAAACCAAGATTGAACTGTTTGGCCTCAGTTCTAAATGTTATGCCTGGAGAAAGCCAGGTACCACCCATCAACTGCCCAATATCATTCCAACAGTGGAGCATGGTGGTGGCAGCATCATGCTGTGGGGGTGTTTTTCAGCAGCAGGGACTGGAGACTGATCAGGGTTGAAAAGGTGAATGGAGCAAAGTACAGGGATATCCTCAATGAAAACCTGTTCCACAGCGCTCAGGACCTCAGACTGGGCCGAAGATTCACTTTCCAACATGACAACAATCCTAAGCACACAGTCACGACAACACAGGAGTGGCTTAGGGACATCTCTGTGAATGTCCTAGAGTGGCCTGGACAGAGCCCTGACTTGAACCGTATTGAACATCTCTGGAGGGACCGGAAAATGGCTGTCCATCAATGGTCGCCATCCCACCTGATTAAGCTTGAGACGATTTGCAAGGAAGAATAGCAGAAAATCCCACAATCCAGGTGTGCAAAGCTTGTCACATCATACCCCAAAAGACTCAAGGCTGTAATTGCTGCCAAAGGTACTTCAACAAAGTACTAAATGAAGAGGCTGAATACTTATGCCAGCATGTGATATTTCAGTTTTTTCTTTTTCATAAATTTACAGACATTTCTAAAATTCTGTTTTCACTTTGTCATTAAGGGGTACTGAGGGTAGATTAATGAGAAAAAAAAATAAACTTCAACAACTGTAGAATCAGGCTGCAGCATAACAAAATTGACAAAAGTGTCTGAGTACTTTCTGAATGCAGTGTTTATTCACCATATAGGTTGAATAAATAAGGGGAAAGGATACAGCCGTGTACTCTTTTACTCGCCAGGCCCTAATGCAACAGAGGAACATTTGTACCACCATGCTTTATAGTTATATCTGATTATTATGAAACATACTCTCTTTGGTTTTCACCAGACATATTACCTGGTACTATTTCCAAATTATTCCATTTTTGTCACATTTGTTCAGATTACATTGTTCCAGAAATCCTGGTCTTTATCTAGGTATTCATGAACAAATTTTGGGTCTTGACCTGGTATTCTTTCTGGACAGTTGAGATTTCCTCTTGGCACACCTTTCATATAGATCTAATTTGTGCGTCTTCTTTCTAATGGTAGAATGGACACTCAGGAGTGGTGAGAGCTATCATAAATGAATTTCACATAATGAAATTCTGGAGTTTATAGAGACTTCTTTCACCATATTGTGTGAATACTCTCTGACTGAATTTGCTGGGACGGTGTGACTTGAGCTAATTGGCAGTTGTTTGAAATCATCTCCACTTTTATATGATCTAGACAGTGCAATAATTAGCATCCAATTGTTCGGCAAATGTTTGACATTCCTTCCCAGACTTATAGGCCTGTATAATATTTTTGAAGCCTCCTAATGTTCTTTTGCTCTAGGCATGTGACCACCCACTTCAACATTTGCATCTGATGTGATCCAAAATTAAATTACACACTGGATTATAAAATGTAAATGGTGCATGTTATTTGTTATATTACATTCCTTTACCAATATTGTTGAAATGAAGATGAAGTATCCCTATATTGAAATATATTGAAAAAGTAAACTTATTTCAATGATGTGTACTTATTTTCTCATATCACTATGTACTTTCTTTTGGCATAGAATAAAATCCTTACCAGTGCTACTAATAAAGATGTGAGGAAGATATGATAGATAATTTTACTTGACTCTTGGACAGAAATAATCAATTGTCAGTAATACTAGTTTTTCTTTTTTTCTTTTTCTTTTTTTTTACAGTTGTGTGGTATGGACCAATTCTGGGGCATTGCTTTAAGAGCACAATCTGGAGATGTGAGCCGGGCAGCTATACAGTACATTAACTCCTATTATATTAATGGTATGAGAACTTGTTTGAAAATTCTGAGTTTAGAGTTACAAACAAAATAGTTTAAATCATTACTTTTTTTCTTATGGAAATAAAAAATAAATATTTTTTTTAATCTAGGTCATTTATTTTTAACTCTTTTAGGTAAAACAGGTCTGGAGAAAGAACAGGAATTTATTAGCAAGTGCATGGAAAGCCTAATGATAGCATCAAGTAATCTAGAGCAAGATTCTCATTCCAGTCTTACCATTATTGAACGAGGACTTCTCATGCTTAAAACACATTTAGAAGCTTTTCGGAGAAGGTAAACTGTTTCCTTTATTGTTTTATCAAAAAGTAGTATTTTAAGAAAAATGACTGAACATTGTTTTTGTGGTCTCAGTATTATTTTTAACTACTTATATTTAGGATTTTCAAAAGAAAATTCAGAAAATTTTGTTGCAAATGCAAAGTGGATTATTTTCAAGGACTAGGGGGTGGGGGTGGGATAAAAGATTGTAGGGAGAGAGAGATAATGTTGCCTGTGATATAAATCACTCTGGTTTTGAAACATCCTTTGGTTAGATAATGTTGCCTGTGATATAAATCATTCTGGTTTTGAAACATCCTTTGGTTTGGTATGTAAAGTTGAGTAATCTACTTTTAAGATAAGGCTGAAACATTGAGCTCATTAAATTATCTTTATAGTTCTTTAGATCTCGACAAAAATTCATAAACTTCACAAATCCTAAAATACTAAGAAATTCATAGTCACTTGTCTTTGTATATGAGCTCAGCCTATTAATTTCACTTTGAACAGGTAGATATGTACATTTCCATACATTTGCTTAGATACATTTGGTTTTTAAAGAAATAATTTGGCATTGATTTCCCCTTTTATAATACTTTTTCTTCAGGTTTGCGTATCATCTGAGGCAATGGCAAATAGAAGGCACTGGTATCAGTAGCCATTTAAAAGCATTGAGTGATAAACAATCACTACCTCTCAGAATTGTTTGTCAACCAGCTGGACTTCCTGACAAAGTATGTTTTAATTTGCTTTCACCCCTATGTTGCTTTAAATCTCTTATCTTATCTGAGAAATAAATTTAATGTACAATATGTTCTGTTCCAGATGACCATTGAAATGTACCCAAGTGATCAGGTAGCAGATCTAAGAGCTGAGGTTACACATTGGTATGAAAATTTGCAGAAAGAACAGTTGAATCAGCAAGCACATCTGCAAGAATTTGGTCAAATCAGTAGAAAAGGAGATTTCCCAGGTACATTTTAAAGTAGTTTTCTGATTAAAACTTGACTGATTTGCAATCCAATTTGAGTTGGGTGGTAGATTTCATTTTGTCTCTATTTTCATACCATCTTCATACAAAAAAAAAAGCTGTTGTGTTTTTCTCAAGTTAGTACATGAATGGTGAGGGAGTGACTAAAATAATAAAATATGTATTATTTCTATAGTTCTGTAAAATGATTGTCATATGTTTGATGGAGAGAGAAGGCAAAGTACTGAAAACAACTTTGTTTTCATTTGTAGGGGGTCTCATGGGTCCTGTAAGAATGATTTCTTCTGGACATGAACTAACAACTGACTATGATGAAAAAACACTTCATGAATTGGGATTTAAAGATATGCAGGTATTGATAAATATTCAGAGCTGATTATAAAACATACTATAGTGATTAAAAATGAGCAAATGAGCCTAAGTGGAACTAGAACTCACAGTTCCATGGTTTCTGGGCCAACATCTTAAACATTACAATTGGTACCTGCAACTCAATCACTAAGCAAAGTGATTGCTATGTAGGAAATCATATGACCACAACTGTGCTTTTCTTTTCCCCACTCTCCTGTGTTTTGGAGAGCTCACCCCAGTAGCTCTGGGAATAGCAGGCTCAAAACTAATCATTTTCATACTTTTGGCTTTTGTTTGCTTCCTAATCACCCCCCTGCCCTTTGGAAACCTCACCTTTACCCTGAGATAATTAACAAAAGGGAAATAATGCTTGTATTTACAGTAATTGGAGAAAAGTGATTATAAAAGAGTAAGCAGACCCAAAAGGGGAACACACATGGAAAGCAATGTGTTGCTATTGGCGGCTGTATGCTACACAGACAGCCCAGTAATTCCCATTGTGGGCAGGCTTAGTCTCTGTTAATTGCTCCCTTGCTAATCTTTCCACTATGCAAGAGGAGGAGGAGATGAAGCAAGGAGACATTGCCTAGTGAAATTGCTTTCCCCCCCCCCCCCGCCCTTACAGAGTATAATATTGGGGAGGAAGGAATTACAAGAGAGTAAATATGCACAATGAGCAATACACATTGAAAGCAATGTGCAGGTACCAGTAGCTGTGTGCACATTACACAAACAGCCTGATATATTCCCCATTGTGTGCATATTTATTCTCTTGTAATCTCCTTTCTCCAGTTTCTCTGCTGGGCAAGGGTAGGAAAGAAAATCAAAACAACAGGTAAGGTATGGAACAATTTATACTGATTGTAACTGTGATCACATGCCTGACTTTAGGACACTGTGAAGGTCATAAATGGGGCATTGGTCATAAAGTTATTTTTTCAATGCTGTCATACCTGGAGTCAATAGGTAGGTGAAGACTACCTATAAATAAAATATATCTCGTCAAAAAGCTTTACCTTATTTTAGCAGAAAGTTCTGTTAAAGGTGCAGAAAGGGTGTATTTGTTGGTCAGCTGGAAAATGTGAAACATGGGAAGATAAAGTATTGGAAATGCCGTAAAACCTATTTAAAATTAACATAGTCCTTGCTTACCAGTCACTTGTTCAGTGACCATTCAAAGTTATGATAACACTGAAAAAGAAGAATTACAACTAGTCCTCAAAAATTGTGGTCATTGCTGTATCTCCCATGATCAAATGATTGCAATTTGCATGCTTGGCACCTGGCATGCATTTATGATAGTTGCAGCATCCTACAGTCCCATGATTGCTATTTGTGAACTTTACTGCTAGCTTCTGACAAGCAAAGTCAGTGGGGAAGCCAGGAAGTTGCAAGTCGCAGTCACATGACACCACATTAGTTTTCTCAGTATGGATGACTTGCTGATTTATCTGAAATGATAATATTCCATTGTCTTGTCTCTTCTATCCACATGATACTCATACAACTTACAGCATCTAGCTAATTTATCCATTGCCAGCAAGAATTTTTGTACTTTGTCAGAGGACTGACTTGTACCTTTCCTTCTCCCTACTACATGAACAACTTTCTCATGGCCCTAATCAGTGTGTTGAAGGCATACTTTTGGTACCAATATACAGATACCTTTATAATAATAATTTCCTTAATTTTTAAAAAATAAATTTATCTTCACTTGTAATTTCAAGATGGTCTTTGTGTCCTTGGGTGCTCCAAGGAGAGAGCGAAAAGGGGAAGGAGTTCAGCTTCCAGCATCCTGCTTGCCAGCACCTCAGAAGGACAACATTCCAATGCTCTTACTTCTGCAAGAGCCTCATCTTACTACCCTGTTTGATTTGCTAGAAATGCTTGCCTCCTTTAAGCCTCCACCCGCAGAAGTAGCTATGGAAGATAGTGAGGTAACTTTCATCAAGGCTCTTATGCACAAATTGTGTTTTATGTAATATATAACCATGCATGCACAAACATGGCAGGGGTCTGCATCTGTCAGGCAATAGGCACTGTTGCATAATCTCAGATGAAATGGGTACCAAACATAAAATAAAAATTGAACAACCACAGAATGTATTTCAAAAGATAATTAAAAATTATCCAAATTTCTTGTCATTGAAAAATACAATCTGCAGTATTTAGGTATATATTGCAGAAGGCTATAGTGGACAAGTGTGTGTGTGTATGTGAGGTGGGGGTTTAATTTCAAAAGATGTTAGATGCTATACAATGGCTCACCAAATACTGTTATGTGTATAACTAACATAATTGTTCATTTTTGCTGTTAAATTTAAGAGATTCATGAAAACTTTCAGTATCGATGAGTAAAATTGGCGTTTTTTTTTGTTAGTTTCTTTTCCCATCTGAAGTTTAGTTTTATATTATCCTACATGGAGCTATATAGTGGTTATAAATAATGTAAAATAACTCGGGGGGGGAATTATTTGTGCTGCAGAAACAAAAACTGGTTAATCTTACAATATTTTGCATGCTAAATTCAGATATGTTTTTAATTTTTTTTTTTTTTGTCAGGCACTTCGATAATTAAAAGCCTAGAAGTCATACTGGCAGCCCTCTTGATACTGCTTTCCCATGTTTGAAATGTCCTGGTGTAATTGTTCACCATGATCATTAAGGAAAAGATCCAAATAAGAATTCAAAAAATGAATATCAGATTTCCCCAAATGTTTTTGCAGATATTTTTGAATGATTATCATATAACTTTTTCAACTTAACTTTCATGAGATTTGTCATATTTTATCAGTTCAACGACTACAAAAATATCTTAATCTTAGAATTACTAATCTAATGAAATTTATTTCTCAAGTACACATTCCAGTTCCTGTTTTATCCATCTCTTTAATGCATTTTTTCATCAGTCTAAGTTTGATATGCAAAGGAGGAAGAATTTTTTTTTTCAGGGTTCACAGGTGGACTATTCATCTCATTTTTTGTCTGGAAATGTGAGGTGTGTTTTGGACATTCTTTCTGAATGTAATGATTTTTTTCTGTTCTTAACTGTCACACGACAACTATGAGAGGCTCAGTTCTCATCTTGGTCACCCATTTTATAATCAAAATAAAGTTCAAACAAAGGTATGACAAGAAGCTTCATTTCTGAGAGTTAAATTTTAAGTTACCATACATAAAGGAAAAGTATAACGATGATTGTCACTGTTTGGGGGTATGATATCAGTATGTACATAAGCAAAAAGCTATTACAATCAATTTAATATTTAACTTGAATATAGAGAACATACACTTAAACTGTTTTCACTTTCCGTCATGGCACCAGGTTGCCATGAACTGCTCTCCAGGCAGAGGTTGTGCTCTTATCTGACATATTCAGACATGATTCAACCTACACAACGTGCTGTTTTGTGCTGTCATACCTTCTACCTTTGATTGGAAGTTATTTGTGCTCAAGAACAACAGTAATAACTCGATTTTGATTGATACAAATATAATACTATAGTTAAAATACTATATTGTGTTGTAATTTAACCAATTGAAAGAATAAAGAAAACAAGTTCACAAGAAAATTAAGCCTGATAGAAAAAAACTGATTCTCTTTTTGAATTCAGCATGAAAATTTTTATTAGAACATCTATTACAATCTATGTGACAAAATTATTGTTCTTGTAATTTATTTAATGTCTGTTTTTATATATGCATGATATATTTTTATCTGTGTCTTCAGAGTGCAAAATGTGAAGAACTCCACCTTCATGCAGAAAATCTATCAAGGCGAGTTTGGGAGTTGTTAATGCTACTGCCTACATGTCCTAATATGCTTCAGGCATTTCAAAATATTTTAGATGATCAGGTGAGCAAAAAGTCATCTCTTAAATATTTGCAGTTGTTGATACATGAAGTTGGAAGTGCTGCATATAGTTTAAATTTGGCATCACAGTTTGGAGATTGGAGATTTAAATATCTATTACTATTCATATCTCTTGAGAAGGAGAGAAACAACTATTACGTCATTTGGAAGGCTGTATGCGTGGCACCACAGAGGGGTCTATGACAATTCACCATGGCCAACTTGTCACAACCAACTCACCAGAGACAACTCACTGTGGGACAACTCGCCATGGCCAACTCACCACAGGACAACTTGTTGCTGGACAAAAATTACACTAGTAACAAAGAAATGGTGAAATAGAATCACTAAAGAAAGGATGCAAATGGAGGGACAGAATGAAATGTGATCGATAAAAATTAAAAAAATTAAAAATTATTTTTTATTTATCTTAAATAATTAAATAGAATTGTTAAATTGTTTCGCAGAGAGTTGTCCCATGGTGAGTTGGCTGTGGCAAGTTGTCCCATTCCTCCACAGAGAGTCTGCCCTCTTTATACAGATATCAAGAAGCAAGGGAAAGGAAGTTGCTGGGAAAAATTGAGGCAGGCGGGCCAGTGAGAAATGCTATTCTGGGGCTTTCTGAGGCCACTATAGCATGGAATGTGATAACTTGCCACAGCCAACTTGCCATGGTCAACCTGCCATAGCCAATTCACCATGGCCAACTCCCAGTGAGAGAACTTGCCATGGGCAACCAGTCACAGAATTAGCATGGAATGGGACATCTCGCCGCAGCCAACTCTCCATGGCCAATTTGCCACAGCCAATTCACTATGCTCGCTGCATGACAGCTTGCTGCATGATAATTCAACAATTCAATTTAATTATTTAAAATAATTTTAAAAATATTTTAATTTTTGTCATTTACATTTCATTTTGTCACTCCTTTGGCATCATTTTTTTAGTTATTCCATTCCACTATTTCTTTGATATTACTGTAACTCTTATCCAGCGGTGAATCGTCTCATGGTGAGTTAGCCATGGTGAATTGTCCCATGGTGAGTTGGCTGCAGTTAGGTGGTCGTGGTGAGTTGTCATAGACCCAATGAGGCCTTTTAGATTGGTATGCCCAGATGGACCAGATGGGTTTCAAAGGGGTCTTGGGATCTTTCCTATGGATTTGGGGGACAGTTTGGCTTTAGTTGTTGATTGGAATCAGGAGGTGGCTAAGACCTGCACCGGAGTGCTCCTATGTGGCTTCTCCTTGTTCACTGATCCTGGGACATACCTTTGTTCTCTAAGGAGGTCTAGGAGATAAAGCACCAGAAAATATGCCATTAGAGGAAGACAATGAGTCTAAATGAGCAGGAATAAAACCACGTATTTCGGTTTACAACATAGTAATAAGAATAGTGAAAAATGTCATCATAGTTGGCCAATGGCCCCGTTTAAGATGACTTGTTCCCTGCTGGGGAGGGAGAGCTACAGGAGCATCTTGCTATCTGGTAGATAAATTCATTCAGATTTGAACTCAAAATGGACAGGTCCATGGTAGGTGTCTGGGGCAGATTATTGTAAGGTTATTTGGAATGTGTTTGTGGCTGTGACTAATGTGGAAATCCTCCACTGAACTATGAGCTCATCCCCCTGGTTGTTTCTTTGTTAATGTAAGTTAATGTAATGCCCAGAGTCACCTATAGGTGAGATGGATGGCAATCAAGTCTAATAAATAAATAAGTAAAATAAATAAATAATTCCAGGTCTCTTTTGGTTGTTCAAGACCATTGTCATGCATATCTTCCAGCAGCTTTTTAAATTATAGCAAGTGGTCACATTTCATTAAAGCTACAAAAGTATAAATGAAGGTATATTGCTGATAATGGCAAATGACTTTATATATCTGGAATAATTTTGTGGAATGGACAATCCAATTTCATTTTAATCAGTTAAGCATAAACTAAAATATAGATAGTAAATAACGGAAACTTCAAAAACTGTAATCTATTCAGCATTTCCTGTTTTCTTTTAATATAGCTCTAACTGAAGGAGTCTCTAATGAACCATAGATTAAAACAGATTTTTAACCATACATTCAACATGAATCAAATTATATTCAACAGAGGGTATAATTAAGACATGATTGTATATAAATACAAGTGCATATTCAAGCTTATAGTTGATCCTCTCTTACAGACTTTGTCTAATCTGTTTTATTTTTTAAAGAGTAATGATGGATTCAGTTGGAAAGATCTTTTAAGAATAAAAAGTGCCCATAAACTTCTGTATGCCCTTGAAATAATTGAAGCGCTTGGAAAACCCAATAGAAGAATAAGGCGGGAATCCACGGTAGTATTTTATTTTTCAAAATTTTGTTTCATATAAATTCATAAAATTCCTTTTATAACTTACCCTTCATGATCATTATGTTTTTCTCATTGATTTTAGGGAAGTTACAGTGATCTTTATCCAGATTCTGATGATTCAAGTGAAGATCAAATAGAAAACAGTAAAAACACTTGGAGTTGCAAGGTTTGAAATTATTATATAAAAATGCTATTCTGGTGGTATGTGCCTTTGTTCACATGTGTCTGTACTTTTACTTTTTGATTTTAATTAGAAAATGAGATATTGACAAACAACTACAGGTTGCATTTTTGAATAAATCCTTTCATAAAGTAAAAAAGGAATTGTTCTTTATACAATAATAAATTGCTCATTTTTAATTTAAATTTTAACAAATTTGTAATGGTTGTAGACCATAGGAGCATGGGGCACAGTCAAGTAAAAACAAAATATATCAAAGTTTTAAAAAATATGAAAAGCTGAAATATATAAAATGTATTAAAATAAAGTAAATAAAAAAGTCTAAACAAATCTTAAATAAGGAATAGGAACATTAAATGGCTGTAGGGAAGCATAAAGGATTGTTTGTGGAAGACTATATCAAATTACAGAGCGCTCTAGTATGGCAAACACTGAGGGAAGGGCATGACATCGTGTCAGACTAAAGGCCTCTGGTATTTAGGTGGTTCAAGCTTAGTTAAGTATGCCGTAGGGGAGGTAGAGTATCTGTTGGACTCACTAGCAGTAAAGTTGGTGTCCTGGTGCTCTGTCTTGCTGTTTAACGAGGGTTTTGTATAATATCCCATACTGAATAGAAGACCTGGAGAGAAACCCAAGCATAAGATTCTAGTTGCCATTGCCTGTTTCCATATGGATTGACAGTCGTCACTCATAATTAATTAGTCAAGGGTGAAAAAAGGATAGTCTGAGTTGAATATGATCACTTTAGCTTCCATTTTCATGAGGCCTTTCTCTAATTGAAGGGTGTCATTAAAGACACATTTTGGGATTTGAAGGGCTGATCTTAGAAATTTGGATTATAAAAGTTCTAACAATGGAAAATAGGAGAAGGAGCCTAACTGAGCAAAATAAAGTTGTGTTATTGGCTTGGCTTTGAATAATTTGAGTGCTGCCATGATATTGTGGCTACTTCTTGTTGATTAAAGATATAAGAATGGCAGATAAACTCCTTCATGCATATTCAGCAAACATAGTGCTCATGGGCTTTCCTACTGCCCCCAGGAATTTTAAACAGGACATTTATAATCTTGTGGCCATCTATGCTCCAAGAGTGGCTCTTGGATCTTTTGCCAAATGCTATGATTTTAGTTTTGTGATAATTGAGTACCCAGTTGAGCAGAATTATGTTAGTGTTCTTGCTGTTCTTTGAAGCCAATGGGTGTTCCAGAAAGTATTGCTGCAGTATCTTGATAGAGTAAAACAGAGATGTATCCTCCATCAAATTTGAGGGAGTAAAAATCCATGTTGTAGAGATGGCCACCATACAATTGATATAGAATAAGAATGTAGCCAATATGCAGCTTACTTGATGCCTTTCTCAGTTTTACTGCACTGGTAAGATGGCCTTGGGGGTTACAGCTTATATTGAATGAGGTTCCTTCAGATACTATACATATTAAATGAAGTAAAGTTTGGTAAATTGAGAGTCTTCAGTTTTTCCCACAAATTAGCTCAGGATATGGAATCAAATGTTGCTTTGAAATCTATAAAAAGAGCATAAAGAGAGGTTGTGTTGCAGAAAGTATTATTCAGTATTATTCAGTGAGATGGTGGATTGGATTTCCCTAAAGCCACTCCTTTGCAAATGTTTGCTTTTTCCATCTATTCCTGGAATTTCTATTGTAGGTGTCTTTGCTGATTGTCTTGAAGGAGGCTCATTGGTCTATAATTAGCAGGGTCATTTTTTTTCTTTTTTGTATATAGGGACAATAATTGCCATCTCCCATTTCTTGGGGACTCTGCTGTGGGTTTTGATAAAGATAAACAGTAAGGCCAGAGTACAGGCAAAGAATTATTCAATTAGCAGTGGGAGGTTTTTGTACAATAGCATATTTGTACTTGCTTGCTTGCTTACTTATTTTCCTTGCTGATCCTTCTATAATTTGATTACAGTTTGTGGCTTCTGGAGGTCTTCAACAGCTCTTGGAAATATTTAATTCTGGAATTTTAGAACCTAAAGATCAGGAATCATGGACAGTTGTAAGTGACAAGTTGTAACTGACTCATCTTAATGAGATACACAACTTCTCTAATGAATCTGTAGTTTTGTTTTAAAGTGTTTTTTATTTAAAAAAATGAAGTTAAAGCTGCTTATTGATTCTTATTTGTAGTGGTTACTCGATTGTCTGGCTTGCTTGCTGAAGTTGATATGCCAATTTGCAGTGGATCCTTCAGATTTGGATTTAGCTTATCATGATGTTTTTGCCTGGTCTGGAGTAGCAGAGAATCACAGGAAAAGAACTTGGCCAGGAAAATCACGGAAAACAGCAGGAGATCATACAAAAGGCCTTCACATACCCCGTTTAACAGAGGTGAAAAACTTCTCTTTAAAAGCAATAAAAACGAAGCCTTTAGAGAAAATCTTATCTGGCAGGTGTGACACTGTAAATGTAGGTTTACATAGAGACTTAATTGGAAAACCCATTGTCAGAGGGGAAAAAATGTTAGTAAATATAATGAATGGTTAATTGGAATAATGCATTCTTACTAAGTTACTATATATTTCAAGTTACTATATATTACCATTCCACATATCTTTGATAACTGGAAATTATGGAAATTGAAGTCCTATATATCTGAAAATCATTAAGATGAGTAAAGGATATTTATTTTCTGGGCACATATGATGTACCTTATAAATTAACAATATAGAAATTGGATTTGAGAACAGCATAATTTTGTATATAAACCGCTTTGATTGCAATACGTTCAGCTTTTTCCATTGATATTTTAATTTTAGCATACAAGTATATAGAGTGATACCTCATAAGCAAGGTTGATTCTGGATATTCTTAATGGCAACTTGCTAAATTGAAATGGCAGATAGAAATACAAAGCATAGAGCCTTAAGGAAGCATTTTTCTTAAATAATATTTTAAATATATTGAGTCAGGTCATTGATTTCCAAGACATTTTGGAAGATAAACTATACCTACATCTAAAGTGTGAACTTTTTATTTAATTGAATTATAAATTCCTAGTTGTTATTTTTTGTGTGTACTAGTATTCATGCTGAACTTGCTTTAGGCCATTCATTTCAAAGTCATTATACAAAGTTTATTATGAATATATGATAAAATGGTATTAATTAGATTCACCACACGGCACTCAGTACTATATTGAATTAAATTTACAGTTGTGCACATACATTTACATAACCCTTGAAGAATTATGGACCATTTTGTAAGTAAATGTGAGTGATTGCATAAAATATTTTTTTAAAAAAATTTGAGGTTGATTCAAATTAAAATACTAGGCATCACAGAATAGCACAATCATTAAACCATAGCAATAAAGGAAATTATAAAATGGTCCTAGTCTTAATTTTCCATATCCTTAGTTCTTAATATTGTGTATTTCCCGCTTTAGCATTAATGTTTGCTTGCATCTTTCATGACAGTTATGAATGACTGTTTAATTTTCTTTGGTAAAGGTGCCCACTCTCATTAAAAAGCCTCACGCCCTGTATAATATACTTTTGGTTGTCTAGCATGAACTGCATATTTTGAGATCTCCACAAAGTGACTCAATGATATTGAGATTAGAATAAATAAATATTGTTCTGTTGCAGCCATTGAAGGGTTGACTTGTCCTTATATTATGGATCATTGTCATATTGGAAAGTCATGCAAATTTTCCTCCAATATTTTCTGATAATATGCTGCATTAACTTTGCCATCAATTTTGATTAAATTCTTTGTGCTATTTTAACTCACATACCTCCATGCCTCCAAAACATGCTTTACAGCAGGGGTGTCAAACTGCCGGCCCGCAGGCCAGATGCATCATACTGAAACCGCATCCACCCCATTGCCAACAATGGGGAAAAAGTCGCGATACGTTGTATGACGTCACGTGACATGAGTTTGACATGCCTACTTTACAGTATGGGTTGTATTCTCTCTTCATAGGTCTTGTTGATTCTTCTCCAAACATAGCATTTATGTTTGTGACCATAAAAGTCTATTTTTATTTCATCACTCCAAATGATTTTGTCCAGACGTTTCAGGCTTCTCTAGGTGACGTTTGGTATATTGTAGGCAGGATATTTTGTGACCTTGGTGTAGCAATATAGTTTTCTGGTGATTCTACCATGCAGCCTATTTTTGTTGAAGTATCTTTTTATTGTACATGCTAAATCAGCCACACCCACTTTATTCCAGAGAAGCATATATTTCAGTAAAAGTTGCTTGGAGATTTCTTGTTGCATCCAGATAAATTTTTCTGAAAGCTATGTTTAACATCTGTCTTGGTCTACCTGATTGTATGGCTTAGTATTAATTATTTTCTACTTCTTGATCAGAATTTGAACATTATTAATTAGCATCATCAAATATTTGGATATCTTTTTATATGCCTCACCTGATTTATTAGGTTGAACTAATTTTGCTTGTAGATCCTTTGACCGTTCTTTTGCTTTTCCTGTACTTTAATAACCAGCAAAGCCGATACAGCCCTGGATGAAATGTACAAAGGTTTCTTCTTAAGAGCTAAGAAAATCATTGACTATATTCATACACTACTTACTAACAAAGCCCAGACATGAAAACTTACCTCCATTGTTATATCAACTTCAATATAATAAAGTGTGTCAATTTTATTATATACAGTATACAGACTTTTGGACCATTTTATTCATTTTTTGCTATGTTTTGTTTAATGACTGTGCTATTCTGTAATGCCCAATATTTAATTGGAAAAAAATTAATTTTTTTTTAAAAAAAGTTTTTTCTGATCGCTCATGTTTACTTACAAAATGGTACATCTTACAAATTCTGCATGGGATATGTAAACTTAAGAGCACAAATGTAATACAGTCCTAAATTAAATTAAAGTCATTAACAGATTATGTGAAATGAAAATCAAGCAGAAATTTTTTTAAATATCCCAGAGATTCTCCAGAAAAATCAGGGATTAAATCTACCGCTTTAGTTGTTCTCTTAAAAATTACAGTTCCCCAGATTTCATAATTGAAAGAGTAGCACTGGAAATAGCTTCCAATTGCAAGCTCTATTAAATAACTGAAGCAAACACTTGGGAAGTCCTAAATATGTTCTCAGCTACACAGAAGGAAAAAAATACCAGTCTGCCACTTGCTCGAAATGATCATATTAGTAAATAAACTGAAACTGTGATAAATGGGGGGAAAAGATTCTAGCTGGCATATTTTATCGAACTTTGTGTGTGTTTCAATATATGGTGTCTTGCTTATCATTAAAATGCTTGATTTATAAACAATACAGTTACTTTTTATTCATTTTTATACACACACAAACATACATACACATGTACACATATAACACATAGTTTTAAGGCAGCAGTTGCATTAACTGTTCTTTTTTGACTTCAATTTTTTTAAAGGTATTTCTTGTACTTGTCCAGGGAACCAGTTTGATTCAGCGACTTATGTGTGTTGCTTATACATATGACAACTTGGCGCCTAGGTACAATAACCTTTTTTTAATATCTTTGGTAAGATTTATAGTATATATATACATATATATATATATATTTGCATTAAGCAGTATATTGAATAATATTCCATTTTATCTAGAAATGTGTAGCTAAAAGTAGGCATAAGTAAAGTTGTTATATCCTTTCTTGTTAGTAGTGTTTTGATCTTACAAAAATGTTCAGATTATCTCTGTTAAGATCAAAACTGTGTATTTTGAATTCAAGATATTTTAAATTTGGATTTTCCTATAAGTCACTTTAATATTTTATAAAAGCAGACCATTATCCAGTTTTTAAAGCAGAGAAAATTGCACAATTGTAACTTAGGCGATTGCAACATTCTAATATCCAAATCTGGTTAAAAAACCTCTTTTGTGACCTAAGAAACTTAAGTGACTGAGACTTTATTAGATAACCCCAAGTGGTCTACTCAATCAACATAGTATTCAAATCAGGGGTCAAAGACTATTAGCTGATCTCCCCTATCTCATTATCAGTCAGGCTTATTGCAGCAGATTCTCAGTTCTATAGTTAAGTAAAACCTATTTTTTCAGGCTAAAGAAGAGAACAAATAAGTAATTGTTAATACCAGTCAATGTACTTAATATAGCTATTTTACTTCATACATTGTGATTAAATCAGGATGAATTAATTAGTTGTCTGCCAGGGCCAGGAAGCTATGTATAGTGTTATATCTCTGTTATCATCTAATTACACTGTTTGCGCCAAGAAGAAATACATATTATATAGCAAACTAGTAAAACCTTTTAAGAGATTAGAACAAAATTCTGCAGAATATTAAATCACTTTTTCTAAATAGTGAGAGTTAATAACTTTATCCATGTGTTTTTATTATTTGAAATAATATTTAATAAATTGTGTGATTTATTTTATTTATTTTATTCCTCTACAGGGTGTTGAAAGCTCAAGCTGATCATAGGTCAAGACATGAAGGTCAGTACATTGGTTAAAACATAAAAATTAAATTATATGGAGTCTTCAACACATATTTATTTACCTGAAATCCAGATATTGTAGGTATTAATAGAAGAGTATACAATCATGTGAACAACAAAGTACACTCTCTTTGAGTTCTATGGTTTTACATATCAGAACAAAGTAAAAATCATTTGGTCCTTAGCAGTTTTTAAAAGTAGGTAAATACAACCTCAGATGAACAACAACACATGACATATTTTACCATGTCATCATTTATTTTACAAAAAGAAAGCCAAAATGGAGAAGCCATGTATGAAAAACTAAGTGCATTCTTATTGCTTCCATAGGTATGAAGAAGCTAAGTAGCAGCCAGATGCTGCTAATCAAATGCCCTTTATCAGTTTATTATCAGCAAGTGTGACTCTTCTATAAAAGGCAGAGTTTTATGGTATTTAAAATACATTCAAGTGTGTGTTAACACAGTGTCAAAGAGTAAAGACTTCAGTAATGATCTTAGAAAGGCAATTGTTGCTGTCCATCAGTTTTGGAAGGGTTGTAAGGTCATTTCCAAACAATTAAAAGTCCATCATTCTACAGTGAGGAAGATTATTCACAAGTGGAAAGCATTCAAGACAGTTGCCAATCTTCCCAGGAGTGGAGGTTCCAGCAAATTCACCACAAAGTCAGACCGTACAATGCTCAGAGAAATTGCAAAAAATCAAAAGTTACATATCAGATTCTACAGGCCTCAGTTGTGTTAAATGTTAAAGTTCATGACAGAACAATTAGAAAAAGACTGAACAAGTTTGGTTTGTTTGAAAGGATTGCTAGGAGAAAGTCTCTTCTCTCTAAAAAGAACATGGCAGCACATATTAGGTTTGCAAAGTTGCATCTGAACAAAGCACACTTCTGGAACACTGTCCTTTGGATAGAGGAGACCAAAGTAGAGATGTTTGGCCATAATATACAGTGTCACATTTGGTGAAGACCAAACACGGCAAATCAGCAGAAATATATTAACTGTAAAGCATGGTGATGATGATTTGGGCTTCTTTTGCAGTCACAGGACCTGGGCACTTTGCATTCATTGAGTCAACCATAAAGTCCTTTGTACAGTTGAGGGGGGAAAGTATTTGATCCCCTGCTGATTTTGTACATAAAAAAGCAAATCAATTTATAACTTTTTTGAAATGCCTTTTTCTGGATTTTTTTGTTATACCAAAGTATTCTAGAGTCAAATGCGAAGCCATCTGTCCAACAGCTACAGCTTGGCCGACATTGGGTCATGCAACAGAACAATGATCTACAACAGAGTGGCTGAAAAGGGAAAGAATCAAGGTGTTGCAATGACACAATCAAAGTCCAGACCTCAACCCGATTGAAATTCTGTGGTGGAACCTTAAGAGAGCTGTGCATAAACAAATTCCCACAAATCTCAGTGGACTGAAACAAAGTTATAAAAAAGAGTGGGCCAAAATTACTCTTTGTCTCAGAATAATATAGTCACACAGAAAACAATTCAGTTAAAGTTATTTCGCTAAAGGTAGTTATACAAGCTATTGAATCATAAGGTGTACTTAGTTTTTCACATGGCTTCTCCATTTTGGCTTTCTTTTTGTAAAATAAATGATGACATGATGTAATATACCATTTGTTGTTGTTCATCTGAGGTTGGATTTACCTACTTTTAAGAATGATTTTTATTATGTCCTGATACATAAAACCATAGAATTCAAAGAGGATATACTTCTTTTTCCACATGACTGTATTTGTAGCTCAGAATTGAACTATAGGGTCCGTGGTGCTCTCTGAGCTTAGTTGTTTTCTCACAAATGTTTTATTACTGAACTAGATAACACCTCTGCTAGAAGGGATGGTGTTTGGTCTCTGTTTATATATAACTCTCTTTTAGCAATGATCTAGTTGGGTAATGAAATGACTGTGAGAAAACAACCAAGTTCAGAGCACTAAGGACCCCATATGTTAGATATATCTAATCCCCAGATAGTAGACAAAAGTGAATTATTAAGTTGTAGTCCAAAATATCTAAAAGGCCCATATTGAAAGAAGCTAATAGCTAATTATGTCTCATCACATGTTAACATGCTTCATATTGGCTTTAACTTATAAGCTTAAAGCTTATTTACTAGAAACTTCATTGAAGCAACTCCTCTGTCCGTTATTTTAACTGCAGATGGATTTACATTATAACTGAAAAATTAACAGTTTAATATTCAATTCCTTATTTTTGTTAGCAAAAAGTAATAACCCAATTAATTACAGCATCTTCAAGGTGTAATTTTAGAAGTTATGGAAGATATTTCAGGATTGTTTTAAATTTATTTCTGTCTCAGCATTTCTGAAGACAGTTTTATTATTTTCTAAACTTAATATTAATTTAGCAAGGATTTAATAGATAGACCCTTCATATATCATTTAAAAAACATCAAGGATCAGGATTATTACCACTTGATCTAGAGGTGAGTTTATACAAGTGACTTTCCATTTTGCCTTTTTCTTTAACAGATTTCTTCCAACATCTGTTTCTTTTAGAGGCATGATAGTATTTTTAAATATTATTAATTAATACATAGTTGTTAATATATAGCAAAGCAATTCCTTCTTTTGTAGGTTACATGTCATGATAATAATTGTTTACCTTATAGTTCATATGACTTTTAAATTTCAACTGTGTACTTTAAATATCATCCTTAGAGGGGAAAAGTCATTCAGGCAACATTAAAGACCCCCTCATAGTTGCTGTCATAAATGTACGTTTCACTAACAAAATTCTCCAGATTCATTCAAATCTTGTTGTCATGTCGACACAGTACAGGATAATGACTTGGAGCATGGTCTTGTTTAGTTATTTGGATTTCTTTTGATCCATGACTTCAAATGAAGTGAATAAGATGATATCTTCCTCCTGTAGCTGAATCCTTTGCCCCTTTTGGTTCTTTCAGGTGGGAAGTAATTTTCTGGGTGAGGAAGACTCTTAACACTTTGTTGTGAGAGGAGATGTTACTGGCAGCTTTGAAATAAGGGAGTGGGGGAGGGTGTTAATTGGCTCTTTCCATATCTAGAGTATTGAATAATTATCACTCAGTCTCCAGCTTTCCTTTTTTAGGCAAGGTTATTGAGACAGTAGATGAATAAACTACAAAGCATCTTAAAGAAAATGATTCCTGTCCAAAGTTCCCATTGTTGCAGCACTCTCACAGTCTTTTGATCAAAATTCAGCTGGCAGCCTTCCTGCCCTTAAGCTGCAGGAGCATTGCAGCTTCTTCCCACTGCAGTCTGGGAAACCTTGGCCAGCTAGTCCCACCAGTGTAGCACTCGCCCTGGTCTTCTCCATACTCCACCATGCCTGGAAGGGCTCAGATTGCTAGGCCCATAGGCAGGTAGGTCTCTTCCCTGCATTGCCACTCCTCCCAAGCCCCTATCCCCCACCCCTGAGGTATCCTGGTGCAGTCACTTAATAACAAATGGAGAGAATTGGAATTGCGGTGATTGACTGAGGCAGTCGTGTGAACATCTTGTTTAACAACTTATGATCAAAGTTCTGCGTTTAGTTGTGGTCAAAGATCAAGGACTACTACCTGTATTTTTCAGGCAATTTCTCATTCAAATATAATGGATCTTAATTTGAAAAAAAACACCAAATGGTATATATGTAATGTGTAATTAATGTTTTTGGTTCTTCTTTTAGTTACTCACTATTCAATGTGGTTGCTAGTGAGTTGGGCTCACTGTTGCTCTTTAGTAAAATCCAACCTAGCAGATAATGATAATTTACATGATTGGCTGAAGAAACTGACTCTTTTAATTCCTGAGGTAAGCCTCAAAAACAATTTCTAGTTTAGTATAAGAAATAATCCAAAAGAGATTAAATATATCTGTTGAAAGAGACCTTTTAGGAGTGAAGAAAAAGATTTCTTGTTACTTTAATATGAATTTATTACTAGTTTTAAATATTGTATTTTGTTTCCCTAATTCAAGAGGTTTTTTTTAAATGAACGGTTCAATCGTATTCCTATTTATTCAAAAGCAGTTCCTACTGTATACATTAAGACTATTGTTATCTTCTAGCTAACATGCATAAGATTTCAGCCAAAGTCATCACAATCTATCTGTTACAGAAAATAGCTGCCTCCTTCAATGTTTACAGTAACATCTGTAACTTCCAGCTATGAATTCTTTGGTGGGATTTTTATTTTCCAAAATGTTCTAGCATATTGTTTATGGTAAATTAAAATTATTGGTACAGAGACTTAGTTCACAGTATTGATAGCAAATAGGCATATTGAAAATAGTTTATAAATAATCTAAAAATAAAGAAAATAAGAAAAATTGTTTTATTTAAATTGTTTCCATTTAATTGTAATTCTTTTTTTTTTTTTTTTCAATTTTAGACTGCAGTCCGCCACGAATCTTGTAATGGTCTCTATAAATTATCACTGTCAGGGTTGGATGGAGGAGACTCCATAAATAGATCTTTCCTGCTACTAGCTGCCTCAACACTGCTTAAATTTCTTCCTGATGCCCAGGCACTGAAACCTATTAAGGTAAAAAAAAAAAAGTTACCTATTTCATATAGAGGATGCTATTTCTTCTGTTCTCCATCTGAGCTTGAAGCACTTAGAGGAAAGAAATACTCATGTGCATTTGTTGTTTGTTGACTTCAGTTTGGCATTTAACAAAATCATTCCCCAGCATCTAGTAGACACACTGGGCCTTTTAGGCTTAAACACTCCTTTGTGCAACTGGATTCTTGATTTTCTTACCAACAGGCCCCAATATGTGCAAGCTGGAACAAATATTTCTAGCACCATTTTCTTGAGCACAGGTTCTCAGGGCTGCGTCCTAAGTCCACTGCTGTTCACCCTGTTGACCCATGACTGTTGTGCTAGGTTTGCTACCAACCATATTATGAAGTTTGCAGATGATACAACATAGTGGGCCTTATTTATTATGACAATGAGGGTGCTTACCGCAAGGAGATTGAAGTTTTGATGAACTGGTGTAAGGAAAACAGTCTAATTTTAAACACTGGAAAAACCAAGAAAAGGCAGGCACAGCCACACTTCTCTGTGCATTAATGATTCACCTATGGAGATGGTCACCAGCATCAAATTCCTGGGTGTGCAGTTAACAAGTAGGCTGGCTTGGTCGCTCAACAGCGAGACACTGGTGAAGCAGGCACAGCAGCGCCTGCATTTTCTGCGTTGCATGAGAAAAACACATCTTCCTTTCCCTATCCTTACCACTTTCTACAGAGGGTCGATCGAGAGCATCGTGTTATATAGCATCACAGTCTGGTTTAGAAATATCACTGCTTCAGATAGGAAGGCAGTGCAGAGAGTGGTGAAGATGGCTGAAAAGATTATTGGCAATTCCCTCTCCTCCATCCAGGACATAGCACTTAAGTGTTGCTTGAGCAGGGTCCGTAAGATTGTCTGGGACATGACACATCCTCTTCACGACCTGTTTTCCTTGTTGCCTTCTGGGATGAGGCTTCGTGGTATCCAAAGCAGAACATCCTGATTCAGTCACAGTTTTGTTCCATACAGTATTTATCTTGTTTTTATTTGGCATTTGCACAGTGCCAGGATGACTGTGCTTTGCCTTTGCACATATTACTTGCCTTCCTGTTTGCTGGAACATCTGTCTCAGTCATTATACCAGTAAGGCATTTAGTGGGGGGGGGGGCACAAAACTAACTCCTCCTGACAGTCTCAGGGCGTATGATGCTTTTATGATCCATAAAAACATAAATGGGATAACGGGATTTTTTTTTCATAAAAACCATCAGTTACTCTTGCACACTTATTTATGTTTAATTGCAATTAATTTCCATTTCACAATTTATATAAACAAGAAAACAAAGCAAAATATTAAACAGAAATATTATCAGGGGAATGAATTTATAAATAATACTCCAGTTGAGAGTTTTGATAACAGAAAAAAAAGTTAGTTTTTCAGAAAAGTGAAATTGAAGGAGAAAGAGTATCCTTCCATCCTTGTACTGTCAATCTTTTTGGAAGTAAAACAGCATATAGTGTTCATTTCCTTTGCTTTCATGTTGATTTCCACATTGCTGATACAGTATGTTAATCAAGAGAATGTCAGCATCTACAAAATGTGTAAGTGGAAAAAAAAACCTCTTAGGCCTTATGCTCTTATGTAAGCTCAGATTCATTTTAGTAACTGCCCCTGGAAATATTGGAAGTTACAAATTGTCTTTGGTTATAAAATTTGATTTAAATATATAATTTTAAAAAACCCTAAAACAAAGTAGCCAATAATCTTCTTCATTTTATTCTGTTCCTTATAATGTTTTAGGAATTTTTTGAATTAGCAAGTTTCTTGATCAAATTTGGGGAGAAAAAAATATCTAACGCTCTTTTTTCTTCCTCTCCCCACCCCCCTCTCTTCCTCCCAGATTGAGGATTATGAAGAAGAACCTATTTTGCAGCCTGGCTGTAAAGAATATTTCTGGTTGCTGTGCAAACTAATAGATAATATACATGTAAAAGATGCTAGTCAGGTAAGCATAACTGATTTCATGTTAAAGATTTATTTTCCCATTTGTAAGTCTATATTAGAGACTATCAGATCTCACCTTGGCAAGCTGGCACAAGCCCAACAAAACTGGACTTCTGTGACTTTATAAAAATGGTTGTCAAAGCAGATTTACAACAAGATAATACATTGCCTTATTCTATAATGCTACTATTAACCAGTTAGCACTCAGCCTACCACCAAATCTAAGAGAGTACTTTTTAGGAATATTTAAAATATTTCAACATCAAAATGTTCCAACTTCAAAAACAGTAATTTTGAACATGCTGAGTTTGCTTTGAGAAGAAACAAAATTTTGTTTTTCTCCTTACTTTAGAACAAAAGGTAGAGTTCATATTTTGCATGTGTATTGTGTGGCATTTTACTTTACAGGCAGGTAATATAAAGATACGTATGTTTGGTGTCCTTCTGTTTATAAAACACAAAGGTGTACTTCACAGAAAAGTGTTGATGTCTTTGGCATTGTGTAAGCGTAGACTGCTTGTGCAGTGTTGGTTGAGCTGCTTTGTTGACTTTGGGGTATGTATTCATTTGATACAAACTGATACTCCTTGTAAAATCCTCAGCATTTTTTTAAATTTTGCAACCAGGATAATTCCTATATATAGTCAAACCACCAGCAAATACCTACTGTATATAATTGTTTTTGCTGGATTTGGGTCTGGCATGCAGGGTGAAGAAAAATGGATGTGAAATCTGTGGTTTGCCCTTGTTAAGTAAAAGGAGGGAGAGAGTTTATAGATAAAATGATGTACTTTTTTTTTAAAAAAGTGAATTCATTATGAAACTTCATAATAGAAGAAAATATAATTTGTGGTTATCTGCCATGTTCATTTATTTTCAAACTGGAAGAGATGCTAAATGGAAAAATGTTGAGATTGACTGTTTTATCCTGTTAATAATTTCAGTCAAAGATCAACCAAATATCTTGATATCATGATGAGTCAATGCTTCAGGATTTATTTAAAGATTTGAGAAATCTTTGATACAGTAAGAAGTAAGAGGGACCAGATTTTAATCTAAACAATTTCTTCATTGAGCGAGGGCAGAGCTATGTTTCAATATTACCTGTAGGAATTTGGTCTAATGGTTTTAAAAATGTTTCCACATTCATCCCTTTGGGCATTTTTTTCAAGTTGGTTGGATTATAGCAAGCAGCGTAAACTACCATCTTATTTTTATGGCACTACAGTGAAAAACTAGAAAGTAAGGAACTTATTGGTCATTGCAATCTCAGTTGTATCACATATGTGGATTTCTTGTCATGATTATCAATTCATTGTAAAGCTAAACTGAATGTCCTTTCTAGCTCCTTCTCTACCAGTAATGATTGTGTTTGATAATGAGATTTGGTTTTTGAAAGGAGACATATACTTATGTTAATTAATGCTAACCCTAAACTTAGAAGAAGGATAGGAGAAGAATTATAAAGACAAAATGACATATAATGTCATGACTCAAAGCCACCAGCACACATATACATGCACGCAGGCAGTTGCCCGGCAAAAAAAAAAATATCAAAGGAGAGTAAATTCTAAAAGAAGCATTTGGATATCTATGTAAAGATTGCTTTTAAAGGAAAAAGGTACAGGTAGTCTTCAATCACTAATCACTTATCTATTTGAAGTTACAATGACATTGAAAAGGCTGCTTTACAGCCTGTAAAGCATGTTGAACAGTCGCACGTCATTACACCACTACCTCTGAGATCATGTGACTGTGATCTGGGCACTTGGCAACCCATTTGCACTTAAAACTGCAAGTCTCCAGCAATTATGTGATCATCATTTGAAATTGTACTTGCCAACTTTCCTGTAGAGTCAAAGCTTTCTGCTTGGATTTTAGCAAGGAGGATTTTCAGCATAGAGTGGAAATCCACTCTTGCACAGCCTCAATCAGGCTTCCCAGGGCCTCCCCCACCCTCTTGAGGCAGCCTGTGCTCCTTACATTACTGTTATGTCTCTGTTCTGACACCTGCCCAAATCCAAGCATGCTAAACCTCCACCATGTTTGCAAAGGAATCTTGTCTCCGAGCAAAAAAAAGTTGGAGTGGTTGATTTTCTCAAAAGTCTGGCAGCAGTTGCTACGTGGTACCAACTTCTGCCAATCCCAGGAAAAGTATGTGCGCCTTTGGCTTGGACAGCAGGAAAGGCTCATTTGAGCAGGAGGAGCAAGAGTAACAAATCATGCTTCCTTCCCCTTTCTTTTTCTCTTGCACTCCAATTGGTTTCCCTCCCTCCTTCTCCACTTTCTCTGCTCTTTTTGTTCACTCTTGAACTCACTCTTCCTTTCCCTTTTACACATACTCACATCTTTCCATTTGTGTGCAATTTCCTAGAGGTGATTGGCTTTTGCTTGGTATCCTGAGTGTTAAAATTATCAAGCAGATTCCTAGAGAAGATTAGTTCCTCTAGGAATCTGCTTAATAGATTTAACTGAGAGAACTTTTGCAAACTTGTTCCAGCACAGTGGAAGTTTTGCATCTTTGGATTTTGACAGGCCAGAGATGCAGTGGTAATGTAAGAAACACCAGGTTACAGCAGAGGTGTGTGGGAGGCCCAGCACAGGCTGTGTGCAAGTGTCTCTGGTGCTGAAAACTGGCACTTGCTTTGATTTCAGCAGAGATGGTTATTAGCTCCTGAGCCAGCATAGCTCCACAAGTCATAAAAGAGCCAAGGTTGCCTATCCCTGTCCTAGGGTCTCTCCTACCTACCTGAGATACTCCATATTCTACCTGGGATTCCATCCACTTAATGACCAAAAAGATCACATAACAATTGCAACCAGGAGTGCCAGAATTGCCGTCATTGAGCAAATCAGTCAAATGGGTGTTTTGCTTAACAACTGCTTCGCTCAACAACTAAGATGCTTGTCCCAATTGTGGTCATAAGTTGAGGACTACCTGTAAGTATATATAGAACATCTGATCATAAAAATAAAGGTTGGAAGTCTGCATTAGGTAACACCAGGCAGATTGTTTTTATGTATATCACTTATTAAAATATATTCTAAAACTTCTCTCAGTACAATCAGTCTTTTAGTAATCGCTTTGCATTTACAATTTCATTTTGTTTCTTTTAACTTAGACAACTTTACTTGATTTAGATGCCTTAGCAAGACATTTGGCTGATTGTATTCGAAGGTAAGCTTTAATCTTGTTAATTTCTTTAGGATATTTAGTTTAAATAATTTTCATCAAAATATTATTTTTATAACAGAAAATTCTGTTTGTCTTTTTTACAGCAGAGAAATTCTTGATCATCAAGATGGCAATACTGAAGATGATGGCCTTACAGGTCTCCTGCGTTTAGCAACAAGTGTTATCAAACATAAACCACCTTTTAAGTTTTCCCGAGAAGGGCAGGTAAGATCTAAAGAACTAAACCAGGATTATGGTACTTGATCTTATATATACTTATTATTACATTTTCCATTAAGCGTGAATACTGTTGTAAGATATATGTGAATGTTTTCTTACTACTTATTTTTTAATATTTCTACTCGAAATTGCAGTTTGAAAGATCACATAAACTTTGTATTAGGAGAAAAATACTTGACTGTGAAGCAAATGGCAGCAGTTTCCATGATAAGCATAGTTTGAGCCTCAGGTACATATAGTTAATTTCGAAAATCCTAATTAATCAGTGATTATGACACTGATTCCACTCAGGGCAGCATTAATTTCTCAGGATCCTTGTATTGTCAGTGTACATAATTCATAGTGGCAAATGAATGTGAGAAATATGCAGTAATTTGATTTTATGAATTATTCAGAGGTTGTATATGATCAAGGTTTAGGGAGACAAAGACATTGGAAACAAAAAACTTTTGAAGATATTATGTCATTTGTTTGCAACTGCAGAAGTTAGGGCTTCTTCTTTCTATGAGCATGCCCAAATTTCCCCTTATTTCAGAATTGTTATTTTTTATATACATTTCAGGACCTTAATTGGATTAATAGAAAATTAGGTTGTTGTGATTAGTCTTTCTTTTTTCCATCTTTATTAAATGAATTAGGACCTTTCTATTTAGCCAAGTGTTTTTAGTTGGATATATAACTCTTGTAACACTAATTGTAAAGTTTAATTAGATTTTAATTTTTTTGTAGTTTATATTTGTTTCTGTGTCAGTTCACTATCTTGAATGGTTAAATATGGATACAAATTTAAATAACAAATAGCAGTTTCTATGAGTTTTCACAACCTTCTTTCTTTTCCCTCTTCTCCTTTAGAGGCAAACTTGAATTGTTTACACTCTATGAAGTAATAACTTAGTTAACCCTCTCCTTGTTGCTATCTCAGCTGCAAATTGTGGGGTAAACTTTTTGGCTGGAGTGTTAGCCACCTTTTAGCCAACTTAGATTTGGCTTACTTTGTTACCAGCTGGTGTTTTAGCATTTTCAGCCAAGTACCAATTGGTGTTGAACTATTATAGGACTTAGTGACAATTAGTGTTTCACAGTTTTCCAGTCTTTGGTGGGATAAGAAAAGTTGATTACAAACTCCTGTCTTGGTGGGGGGATAAGTGCCCACAGTGAATCTTCAGATTCTGATATTAATACTCTACCAAGTAAATGTTGACGTCAACTTTTATATTTCCTTTATTTTATAGGAATTCTTGAGAGATATTTTTAACCTTCTGTTCTTATTGCCAAGTCTAAAAGATCGACAACAGCCGAAATGCAAGTCACATTCTTCAAGGGCTGCTGCTTATGACTTATTGGTAGAAATGGTAAAAGGTTCTGTAGAAAACTACAGGCTCCTCCATAACTGGGTTATGGCACAACATATGCAGTGTAAGAATATTTTTTCAATTTTCTCAATATTCTGTAAGTAAGCAGATAATTTCAGTTTCTTTGTATTTTTTCTTTAAGTTAAAAATGTGTTAGGATGTTGATTAAATTTAGAAATGTATTAAGATACTGTATCCTTGTAAAAAGAGCAGCCCTATCAGGAGATGGGTGATATATAAATTTAATAAATAAAAACATCTGTGAATGTTTCTAATTAAAAAGTGTATTTGCAGGCACTTCGGCAGCAAGGAATATTTAAATGGTTAAGTTGCTGCCATCTATTGCCCCATCATGAGAGATCTCTAAGATTTTCTGACCATAATATTAGAAAATATTGATGTTCATTTTGATGGCTCTCATATTTCATGTTTATTTGCAATTAAGATTCATCATAAATATTTTAATGCACTTTAGTACATTCAGAATCATATTGCATTTAGTTTTGAATTGACAAAAGATGTTTTTCTCCATTCAAGTTGCTTTATTTTGATATGAAGCTGATGTATAATAGAATATGCTAAAGCAGATAGGAGTTACTGTGAACCATGAATGAAATGCAGCTAATATGAGTTCTACTTTAATTTCTCCAAATATCTTGGGTCATCATCCTTTTATCATTTCCCAGTGCCAAATGAAGAGAGAAAAATAGTTTATATCCATATTGCAATAGATCAAAGATGAGGATTTTCTTTTCTCTTATCATTAACAAATGTTTCCTCCCTAAGTATTGGGACATAGAAATTATACTCTGCATTTTATGTAGAAAAGTTATGCTTTTCATTCTTCTGGGCAGAAAAGAAAGAATTTGTTGGTAGTATTTATGGTGATGATGATCAGTGGTAATAATGGTAATAGTAATTATGATGGTAGTAATACAGATAATAATTTGATTCTGAACTAATAATTTGGTTCTCAACCAGTTGTTGAGAATCATTCTTATGATAACATATACATTTCAAAAGATTTTTTTTAATTTCCAGACTTAGAATAGAATAGAATAAAATAGAATAATATTGTCACTTTGAATGTACACTAATCGGCATACATTAAAATGAAATGTCGTTGCATACCGCTCTCAAAGGGTCACCACCTCCAATATATGCTACATATATATGACAAAAATAAATACAGAATTATGCATACACCCGCATATATGACACAGAGAAACTACACAGTCTAATTCAGATTATGCATATATGTGCATGGCGAGAAAAACAAATCTTGTTACTTTTACAGATAGCTCTGATATAATAAATATTCAGGTTTTCTATAGCAATGAGAAGGATACCTGAATGGGGCTTCCTCAAATCACAATCCCCACCTAGTAGACTGCAAAAGAAATTACTCCTTGAGCAAGATCCAGCTCTCTGTTATAGCATTAATGGCTATATAAATATTTATAGCAGCATTGTACTAGGCTGTGCTGTGCAAATTAAATAGTATAATGTTTGCTATCTAAGCTACACTGGTTTGTTTCTTTCCAGGAAAGAACTGGATTTTTTTTAATTTTATTTTTCCTTTTTTAGGAAACAAGCAGACTTTAGTTGTTTTTTTAAAACACACACCTTTATTGCTTTTGAGCTGGAAGTTGGGCTCCAGAGGTAGCGTATGAGTGATTTCTGTATCACTTCAGAGTGATACAGAACCCATCTGGTGGCTTGTCTGATTGTTATTCATGAATTCATGATCCCTTCAAAGAAGAGGGAGATGTTTTCATGAGAACATGACAAAATTTGGGGCCTGAGAAAGGATAATAGGGACTCAACTGGTTGCTGGTTTTATTCACCCAGAAGATTAAATAATTAATGATTTTAACATATATACTCAGAAATAAAATTACCATAATGTCACAATTTCAGCTTCTCACGCACCTTATAAATGGGATTATTGGCCACATGATGATGTTAGAGCTGAATGCAGATTTGTGGGATTAACCAACCTTGGAGCAACTTGTTACCTGGCATCGACTATTCAACAATTATATATGATTCCAGAAGCCAGACAAGCCATTTTTACTGCAAAGGTATGGTCTTCCACTTTGAACTTGATATGAATGTTAATATTTCAATTAATATCACTATAAAGCAGTAAATGTCAGTTTATTGAATGAAAGACAGTTTTAAGGAAAGCTTTCCCTGCAAAATAGCCATCTTGATAAAAAAGATTCTGGTAAAGCTGTCTGTCTACCTGAAAAATATTTATGGGCTAGATAAACATACAAAACCGAACATATAGTAAGACAATTTTTATGTTCACATACCTCCCCATTTTAAAATTGGATCATTTGAACACAGCACTATCAGAATGGTGCTGATTCCAGTGTTATTTAGTTAATATATGGAGGCAAGAATAAAAGTGGGTGTATATTTTATGAAAACGGATGTCTTGCTTGTTCTTTGAACAAAAGAAAAAATCATGTATTTTTAATTCCAGTTTTTAACTTTTAATTTCATTGAAACTCTAAGTTTCCCACCTTAAAATAAATAGTAAATCTCCTAATTGGGTTTTATTATAAATTAAGTGGAAAGCTATATCATAAGTTAAGTTTTAAACTTCAAAATTTTTTAAAACTTTTTTTGTTGTTTAAACTTTTAAAAAGGCCCTGAAGAGTTGGTTCTGCCAATGGGCCTGGGGACTTCAGAGTGATACAGAACCCATCTGGTGGCTTGTCTGATTGTTATCACCAACAGGGTGGGGGGGGGGTTGCTTATTTTATTGAGGTATTATACTTATAAACTGCACGGAGTCACTGAAAGTGAATTGGGCAGCGATATAAATTTGCTTAAATAAATAATTACACTTTCTAGAATGGTTTTAAGTAGGTTTCTTGTAAAATGCTGTAATCTTTTTTAACATTTGTAATAAAAGATTTTTTAAAAATTACTGTTTACTAACTTCATAAAATGAATTTCATGTGTTTTCTTTCCATTTCAAACTTTTCCTTCATATTATTTTTTAAAAAAGTATTCTGAGGACATGAAACACAAGACAACTCTTTTAGAACTTCAGAAAATGTTCACGCATTTAATGGTAAGTTTTAAAAATCTTTTCAAAGATACGTCCTTAAATTTATACCAGATAAAATGTCTTAATGACCTTAGTATTTAAACTGTTTTATTGACTTTCTGTAATCCAAGCATCAATGAGCTCTCCCTTGTGTCCACTATTTGGCAGATTTAAAAAAAAAAAAAATAGACAGGATTGGAAACCTCCATCCAGTTTCCATCTTTGCTTCTATATTGAATGTTCATAGGTGCTCATATCTGGACTGTTTTGTTATTTTCTGTTTTCTTTACATAAGTTGTCTTCTTGCAAGGTAGAAAAAGAAAGAAAGAAAGTTAAAGTTAAACCTTGTTGGACTGAAGTTATAGAATTCGAATGGCAATTGCTTTTGATTTTCTCTACCCCTTTGAAGATGGTAGAGGACAGGAAGACCTGGAGGAATGTTATCCATGGGGTCGCGATGGGTTGGGCACGACTTCGCAATTAACAACAACAACAACAACACCCCTTTATCCAAGCAGAATATTTGTGCAATTGTCCCTTTTCCAAGTACTGGAAGATTCCTTTTTTCCCCCATATGGAGGTATCCATTAGTATTGCAGCATAAGCATTGAGAAGAAAACCAGTTGTGCAGATTGGATGTGGTATATGCAGAATGCAGACTCAAAGAGAGAGAATTATGCTCTTTTAAAGAGGGATCTCACTTGGAATCGACATAACTAAGTCAGAACATCAGCAAATAGCCCGAGCCTCCAAAGATGAAGTGAGAAAAGCCAAGGCTCAAAATGAACTAAGGCTTGCGACCAAAGTCAAAACTAACAAAAAAAGCTTCTTTTAACATGTAAAAAACAAGAAAAAAGTGAAGGAAATGATTGGTCCATTAGTGGGTGAAAGTGGCAAGAAGGTGACAAGCAACAGGGAGAAAGCAGAACTATTTAACTCATTTTTTGCATCTGTCTTTACACAAAGGGAAAAAAACAGACCAACATATCAAAAATAGTGCCATAAAAAACAGAATAGAAACACAAGTTAAGATAGGCAAGAAAATGCCTAGACGAGTTCAAATTGCCAGGACCAGATGGATTACACCCCAAGGCTCTCAAGGAACTGGCAGATGTGATCTCAGAACCACTGAACCATATTTTTCAAAGATCCTGGAGCACAGGGGAACTACCAGAGGACTGGAAAAGAGCTGATGTAGTTCCCATCTACAAAAAAGGGGGAAAAATGGTCCCAGGAAATTACAGACCTATCAGCCTGACCTCAATACCTGGGAAGATCCTGGAAAAGATAATCAAACAATGAATCAGCGAACACCTAGAGGCAAACAAAGTCATTACTAAAAGCCAACATGGGTTTGTCAAAAATAGATCATCCCAGACAAATCTTATTACATTCTTTGACCAAGTGACAAAATGAATGGATCAGAGGAATGCTGTGGACATAATTTACTTGGACTTCAGTAAGGCATTTGATAAAGTAGATCACAACCTACTACTTGACAAGATAGAAAAATGTGGGGTAGACAGCACCATCACCAGATGGATCCGTAGTTGGCTGACCGACCATACTCAGTGTGTGGTCCTCAATGGAACCGCATCTGCATGGAGGGAAGTGTGTAGTGGGGTGCCCAGGGCTCTGTTCTGGGCCCAGTGCTTTTCAACATCATTATCAACAATTTGGATGAGAGGATAGATGGGAAACTCATCAAATTTGCAGATGACCCCACTACACACTTCCCTCCATGCAGATGCGGTTCCATTGAGGACCACACACTGAGTATGGACGGCCAGCCAGCTACGGATCCATCTGGTGGTGGTGCTGTCTACCCCACATTTTTCTATCTTGTCATGTAGTAGGTTGTGATCTACTTTATCAAATGCCTTACTGAAGTCCAAGTAAATTATGTCCACAGCATTCCTCTGATCCAAGGTCCCTTCCAACTTTACTATTATTATTATTATTATATTTCACAGAAGCTGAAATACTGTCCATCAAGACCTGGGCATTGAATGCTGCATTGACATGCAGCCTGGGCTCATGAAACACTCCAGGAAGAGAACAGGTGCTGGTCGCCTAGCAGCTCATTTCAGATCAGCCAGTCCCAATGGATCTTAAGCCACAATTGGGCTTGGTTGGTAGGCTAAATAACTGGCACTCCATGGCCTCTTGCACTGTGCAGAACTGTTGCCCAATTACCTGTGCTCACTCTTATGCTCTGTAGCAAGCTCTGCTTCTGAGGTGTCCCAGTCTCTGGCAGTTTGAAGGTAAAGATTGGTCAGAGAAGCTGGGCCAGGATCTTGGCACTGGGAAAGAGATTAGAGGAGGATTCTGATAACTCTTCTATGAGAGATCTTTGCTGGGCAAGGAGAAGGAAAGGCAGCTAGCAAGATCTTACTGTCAGGCAGAGAAAAGAAGGACTCTCTCTGCGAAGCAAAGAGGAAGAAAAGAGAAAGCAAATGAGAAAAATAAGAAAGAAAGAGAAGAAGTAGACTTGCAAGAAAAAAATGTAGACTAAACTTGTGCAGTTCTTAGTGGAATGGCTATACTTAGTGGAGTGGAATGGCTATACAAAGATGATCAGGGGACTGGAGGCTAAAACATAAGGAATGGTTGCTGGAATTGGGTATGTCTAGTTTAATGAAGAGAAGGATGAGGGAGGACATGATAGCAGTCTTCCAATATCTCAGGGGTTGCCACAAAGAAGAGGGAGTCAAGCTATTCTCCAAAGCACCTGAAGGCAGGACAAGAAGCAATGGATGGAAACTAACCAAAGAGAGACAACCTAGAACTAAGGAGAAACTTCCTGACAGTTAGAACAATTAACCAGTGGAACAGCCTGCCTCCAGAAGCTGTGAATGCTCCAACACTTGGAAGTCTTTAAGAAGAGATTGGACAGCCATCTGTCTGAAATGTTATAGGGCAGGGGTGCCAAACTGCCAGCCCACAGGCCAGACGTGTCACCAGGAAACTGCGCCCATCCCAGTGCTGGCAATGGGGAGGAAGAAGCTCCGATATATCACGTGACGTTGCGAGTTTGACATGTCTGGTATAGGGTTTCCTGCCTGAGCTGGGGGATGGACTAGATAACTTCCAAGGTCCCTTCCAACTTTATTATTATTATTGTTGTTGTTGTTATATCCTATAATGATTCTCATAAGCAAACAAGTATACTGGGTATATGATTTTCAATTTCTCACATAGATTCTACCATCAGTAGAAGTTGCTAAGCAATTAGAATAACCCATTCTATCTGTAGCTGATTGGTCTTCCAAATGCCAAAACTGTAAGCCAAGAGCATTCCTTGCGCTATGGCTATGAGCAGAACTATGTTAGTATCCTAATTACTTTATCAAACAGACTATAGACTGAACTTCCTGTTTCTTTTTATTTCTATGGCAAAAAAGGATCCATATCAGAAGCAGTTCATAAGCAGACTTAGTCATACTAACAAATTTTGATAAACACATGAATCACCTGTTGTATGTTCTTAACAACTAATAGCTTGTTTTCCTGGCTTCTAAACAAAGGAAAGCGAATGCAAAGCATATAATCCAAGGCCATTCTGCAAAACCTACACCATGGATAAACAGCCACTAAATACTGGTGAACAAAAGGACATGACAGAATTTTTTACAGATCTTATAACAAAAATTGAGGAAATGTCTCCAGAATTGGTAAGTCTAAAAAAATATTTTTTAATAAAATAAAATAATGAAATAATTTCCCCTATTTTGACTAAAATAAATTCATTCATCCACAGAAAAATACTGTGAAAAGCTTATTTGGAGGTATTATCACAAACAATGTTGTTTCTCTGGTGAGTTCATATTTCTACTGTCCATTGTTTCTTTTTTTAAGGGGGAAATGGGGAGTGCTATATTGGCTTTATATTTACAAATTCCTATTGATACTGTTGGTTTGGTCTGTTATGACTATTATTATTTAGGACTGTGAACATGTTAGCCAAACTGCTGAAGAATTCTATACAGTAAGATGTCAAGTAGCAGATATGAAGAATATTTATGTAAGTAGAACCATAGCAATAACATTGCAGATCTCTTGGCTATTTGAGATCTCTCAAATAGCATTATATCAAATTAAATTGTTATGCTCTTTAATGGTATTGCTTGTTTTGAATGGCGTCCAGAATCTCTGGATATGCTCTTTCCAGCACCTGGGAATATAAAATGTTATTTTCTTCCGAATCAGATCATTGTTTCATCTAGGCCAGTATTGTCAATGATGAGGGCCAAAGAACCCTAAAATTTCAAGCAGTAATTTTTCCTCTCTACTTTCAACCATTCTCAAGTTTCAAGCTATATCTGATTTTGCTTTTTAGGAAAAAAAACTGGATAGCAGTGGCAGACTTAGTTGTGTATGTTCGTATCAGTAGCTTTATGATATTTTTTGCCCCTAGAAACTTCATGTTTGGCTCCTTAAATTAATAATTTAATAGCACTTTAGTTAACACCTATTTAATAAATAAATTTTAATAATATATTATAAATTAAATTTATATGAACTTTCCTTATGTATTATATATAGGAATCTCTTGATGAAGTTACTATTAAAGATACCCTAGAAGGTGATAACATGTATACTTGTTCACACTGTGGAAAGAAAGTACGGGCCGAAAAAAGGTAAAACGGAGGAAAGAAAGCTTTGAGTTTATTCTGGTTTAATTTGCTAAACATTAAATACGTCATGTTTCTAAATACTGTGTTCTTATGCTCTAAATATATAATACTTTGAAAGTAGGTTAGGGCATTATTATTTGAGTCATTATAAAAGGAATATTTTCTTCTGTTTCTAGGGCATGTTTTAAGAAATTACCTCAAATCTTAAGCTTTAATACAATGAGATATACTTTTAACATGGTTACTATGATGAAAGAAAAGGTCAATACACACTTCTCATTTCCTTTACGTTTGGATATGACCCCTTATACTGAAGATTTTCTCATGGGAAAAAGTGACAGAAAAGAAGGTATTTGATTTTACTTCATCTTCATTTTTTTCTACTAAATCTGTTGACCCTTTTAACCAATTTGCATGACATTTTTGGTTAATATTGGGCAATTGTCATGGTAAGCAGAAGTTGTATTGATTAAAAACAGTTGCTGCTTTCTGAGCTTTTGACATAGATATTGGAAAGCTCGACCAATATCTCTCTCTTTGAAGTGTTCCATTAGTCGGAACCTTGACATCTCTCCTCTATGGGAAAAAGTTACATCTGGAGAAATGAGTAGCAGAGGCTAGAGGGCATCAGTGAATATTTCCATGTCCTTATTTTTCTGAAGAAAGCCCTCAGACCCTTGCCTCTTCCAAAAATCAAGTTTCTGAAAGAGCGCCTAGTTTTTGTGCCAATCAAGTAACTTTTCAGAAGGGCATGATTTTTCAAAGTGTGACTGGGTAGAGAGGAGACCAAGACTGTTTGGTATCTAAGAGGGTAGGGGAAGCAGACCCAAGGCCTGTGGGGTCCAGCCGGGTAGGAAGCAGACCCATGGTCTATAGAATCCACAGGGGCAGAAGCTGTGCAAGGGGTATCTCAGGGAGTAGGGAAGACCTTAGGTGGCCCAGTCAGGTCATGTGTAAACTAGGAAGATGCTGCATTTTGGGTCTATACCTGCACTGAGCCCTCCCCCACATCCTGTGGCATCCACACTCCACTTAACAATTGCAATAGGGAGAGCCAGGATTGCAGTCATTGGGTGAGATTGTCACGTGGGTTCTTCACTAAGTGACTGCACTGAATTAAAGCCAGTTACAATTATAATCGTAAATCAAGCACTACCTGTAATGGAATGGGACCTCATATACAAGTACTTGCACTCCATCAGTAAAGCCAGCAGTGTTTATTATATTCCTGCAATTTTTGCTCCTTCCCTTGTCATTCTTAACTCTTGGTGATACTGTTGTTAATGTGCACCTGTTCCGTGACAAGTTGCTAATTAGTATTAGCACCTGCTCCAGCAATGATTCTGCATATATATCGATAGAGATATTTAATCCTCACAGGGCTTTGACCATCAGCAGTTGCTGTTGCCGCTATACTTTATCAGAAGCAGCAGAGTGAGGAAAGTAGCCGGGGAACAGAGAATTATGAGCCCCTGTGCTAAACTACAAAGCAGATTTTTGAAAGCCTCTTATTTCCCACATGTTCTAACAATGATAGAGCTATTACACATTCATACATGTTCTTTCAGCTGTAATACTGATAATGGAGATGGAGCCCTACCTCAATTCAAGGAATGAATTATGAACCTTTTTGAAAGATAGTCTGGTTTGATTTTTCATTTTGCCATGCTGAAAAATGGGGGTTCTTTAGATCTATTGTTCCAAATAATATTTGTTAGAAAGGGTATGTATTTTGCTCATTGGTATCTTTATAAATAACCTATGGTCTGGGTCCGTGGAGGTAATATTTTGTCTTTTGTTTTCTCCCTTGTCTATTAGATTTTACCTGATTTTATTTTATCTTTTGATTTTTTAAATTAAAATCAATAAATGGGAAACTAACATGTTGCAATGTAAAGTACCACACAAGGCTCCAAGAATACCTTAGTTCTTAATAGGTCTAACAGCATTTTTTAGAAAATAGAAATGGTGGGTATCTGCTTCTTGTGAAACTATTCTTTTTAACCCACAAATAAGATAAGGCAATAAATCATATCTGGGAGATAAAAGGAAATGACAGATCTTGCAGATAGGCTGGAAAGTCCTCACTCAAAAATTGTGCCTTAATAACAGTATATTTAAAGTCTTTTTTCAAAATACATTGTAAAATAAGCCTTACCTTTTCTAGGGGCTGAGACAATAAGATATTAAGTTTTGTAAAATATTATTTTAGGTTTCAAGGACAATGGCACTAATTCAAAGGAGACCAAGAGTTATGAGTATGATTTGATAGGTGTAACTGTCCATACAGGAACTGCTGATGGGGGACATTATTACAGTTTTATCCGAGATATTGTTAATCCCCATGCTTACAAAAACAACAAGTGGTAAGTTATGAATGTTTAGTAAATACTTCATTAATGGTAGAGTATAAATTGTCATTGTTGTATCTCAGAAAATGAGAGGTTTGTTTTTGTTGCTGGATAAACTTATTATGTCTTTGCAAAATTAGTCACCAACATTACTTAATATTACAAGCATTTATTCTGTCCCAGCTTTAATAACATTGGCTGAATATTTCATCTTACTAGTAGTTAGGATTGTATTTACTTTGCTTGAATTTTCTTCTAATATTACAGCAAAATTAAGAACTTCACTGAATTTCACTTTCATTTATCTTCAGAGCAGTAAATATTTTAGTCTTGTATGAATCAACTTAACACTCAATGTTTTTGCATTTTTAGGTATCTGTTCAATGATGCTGAAGTAAAGCCATTTGATTCTGCTCAGTTGGCTTCTGAATGTTTTGGTGGAGAAATGACAGTGAGTTGTAATATTTTTTAATACTATTTAAAAGGAACATGTGTTGTTGCAGTTCATGTTAATGTTACCCTACCTTGCTATTTCACTGCACATTTATCCACTATAATCAGCAACTAGGTCAGAAAGCCTCTGGCTTGACAATAAGATGCCATCCTGGGGAACAAAAGAAAGAAGGGAAAGAAGGGAGGGGGAAAATGAAAAAAAAAATAAAGTTGCAAATTTGTTAAAAAATCTACCCAAGTAGGATGCAATGAAGCTTTCAAAATATCCTTGATCAAAGACTATGGAATACACACTTAAAATATAGTCATCTATTCATTGACTTTAATAGTAGATAATTATCTATTATTCAGTTAATTACATTTACATATATTACTGTTGCAACAACTTGTAATTATAATTGTATGCATGACAGTTTTACACAATAGACAATTACCATCCTATTGTATTCAGAACTAAATTGTAGAAAATTATACACAGCTATTCAAACAAATTAAATTTGTTATATATATAATGTGAAATAGTGTTGAAATTTGTACAGTTATCAGAAAGTAACATTACAAAGAAAATGTATTCCTTCTAAGATATTTTTTTTTCCAGACGAAAACCTATGACTCTGTCACCGATAAATTTATGGATTTCTCTTTTGAAAAGGTACCTAACTTTATATGTTAATTTAGACAATATCATCTTCCAATTGTCTTCCTCTTTTCTGATTTCAATGAAGTGTTGGCTTTTTGTTTTTCTTCTCTCAGACTCACAGTGCATACATGCTCTTCTATAAACGAATGGAACCAGAAGAAGAAAATGGCAAAGATTATACATTTGATGTTTCTTCTGAATTACTAGAAGTATGTGCTTCCTAGAATTATAAATCATTATACTTCAAACAACACAAATTTATAATGATTACAGACATTTCTAAAATTCTGTTTTCACTTTGTCATTATGGGATACTGAGTGTAGATTAACAAGAAAAAATGAATTTGAATAACTGTAGAATCAAGCTGCAACATAACAAAATTGACAAAAGTGAAGGGGATCTGAATACTTTCTGGATGCACTGTATATTATACCTTGGATTCTAAGATAAGCTAAGGCCTTTAGTGAGGGAGAATGAGACCCCTCATTTCATCAGTCTTCTGTCATCTGTCTATCATCTATCCATCCATCCATCCGCCGTGGTTAGAATGCAGTACTGCTCACTCCAGCAGTTTGATTCTGAACGGCTCAAGGTTGACTCAGCCTTCCATCCTTCCAAGGTTGGTAAAATGAGGATACAGATTATTGACTCTAAACTGCTTAGAAAGAGCTGTAAAGCATTATGAAGCAGTATATAAGGCTAATTACTATTGCTATTGCTATCTATCTGTCATTAATTAATTAATATGCTGCCCACCTCACTGTCAAATGACTCTGGGCAGCTTACAACAATATAAAAACATGATATAAAACAAAAAGATTAAAAGCATTCAGTGTTAACAATTATAAGGTTAAACATTTATTGATTTTATTGTAATTTCTTTGGTGATTGTTCTGAGTCTCTGAGCATATAAGTTTAATAAACTGTCATTGATTTCAGAGTAGTAGGAGTACTCCCAAATAGTTTGGAACAGGATATAGGGAACATTGTTTAGTTTACATACTTGGGATGCTTTTTATTATTTAAGTGAAGTTCCATGAGAGAGAACACCAGTAGCATTTTATATAATGACTAATTTTGAATTATGTTACAATTAAATAGCAAGGTTTACTTTTGATTTTATTTATTAAATTTGTTTGCTGCCCATCTCGCCACAAATCTTTATTCATTCAGTTAATCAATTTATATAGGTTAAGAAGTTCTTATATGAGCCATTTTTCATCCATCTCTGAATAGAGTAAATGGCTTTACCTGATTTTTTTTTTTCATTTTTTTTCATCAGTGGATATGGCATGATAACATGCAGTTCCTTCAGGATAAGAATATTTTTGAGCATACATATTTTGGGTAAGGTTTACATAAATTTATATTTTATTTAATAAATAAACTCCAGGTTTTTAAATCCAGTTTTTAAAAAATGGGTGTAAAAACAAGTATTTGTGCATGTGTTTGCCCTAGATTTATGTGGCAGTTGTGTAGTAGCATCCCCAGCACATTACCAGATCCCAAAGCAGTTTCTCTGATGACAGCCAAGGTAGAGTATCTTACTGTCAGATTGCTTTTTTAAAAAAAGTGTTTTAGCACTTGTTCAGGATAGTCTGTAACTATCAATTATTGTCTTACAGTTAAGCACTTCTTTTGTCCTTGAAACATTTATCCATTCAAAAGAAAAGGTATGTGCCTGGATTTCCTATAACACAGTGTATATTTCTAACATTGATTAAGATAAACAAAAATCCTTTGCTTCACTGACTGAAATATAAAGCAAAAATTATAATGAAATTTCAGTCCTTTTCAAACCAGATTATTTCATTGTCTAAATCACGGTCCCAACCTTTTGCAGCTTGATGGCCTGATGGGGAGGGAGTGAAACTGGGCCGTGTAAGCGGCGGACTTACGCGAGTCAAGCTTGCACATGCATGCCGGCCAATCTGTTGCATGGCCCTGTTCTGAATAGGCCATGGCCCGGTAGTAGGTCGCGGCCTGGGGTTGGGGACCCCTGATCTAAATGAACTTTTGAGCTAATATAGGTAGACCTTGCTTAGCATCTTCTTTGTGTAGCAACCATTCAAAGTTATGAGGGTGTAGAAAAAATAACTTTGTGACCAAGACATATGTTTACACTTTTGTGTAGTTATGATGGCACTTATTGAAGGGAGCTTACAACTGGTTCTCAGAATTCTGGTTGTCATAGTGTCCATTGGTCATGTGATTGTGTTCTAGGGGCTTGGGTACCTAGCTCACGATTACAACACCACAGTAATCCATGATCACCATTTGTAACCTTCATTGGCAGTTTTCCACAAGCAAAGATTTCAAGTTATTCCCATAAGTCACTCAAATTACCTTTTCTTCTAAGGAGCCCCACTATGGAGTATGAGATCCCAGGCATCTTGTAATAGTGGCTCAGTGATTAGACTGCAGTATTGCAGGCTGACTCTGGCCACTGCCAGTAGTTCAGTCCTGACCAGCTCAAGGTTGACTCAGGCTTCCATCCTTCTGAAGTCAGTAAAATGAGGACCAGATTGTCAAGATCAATATGCTAACTCTGTAAACCATTTAGAGAGTGCTGTAAAGCACAGCGAAGCAGTATATAAGGCTAAGTGCTAGTACTAATTGCTAGTTCACAGTACATCCCCTGTATTCTCTGCATTGCCCACCCTTGGCCCCCACTGGCCCACCGAACGCAACACCCACTCTTCCAAAGTTCTGACACATCAGCCTGTTTGTCTAGTACTCTGATCACATGAAGTCTTCTCTTAATGGACCACATGATCGCTGGGTTACGATGACAACTGGGATGGTCAGGATTGACATGCTAAGCAATGTGGTCATATGACATCGTACTTTATGACTGCATTGTTTCGGCAATAGAGAGTCTGATCCAATTGCTGTTATAATCCAAGGACTACCTGGCCAGTCAGATAGTATGCATTGTCCTATGCTTTACTCATTCCCCCACTCCCCATTGCAGACTGGAATGATTGGAGAAGAAGGAATTACAAGAGAGTAATCACACAATGGGGAATACACATTGACAAGAATACATTGGTGCCAGCTGTTTACTTACAGCTCTTGGGGCTGCTAGCCGCAAGCATGCTAAGCAGACAGCCAGTGTATTTCCCATTGTATGCCTGTTTATTCTCTTGTAATCTTTTTTTCTTCAATCTCTCCTGTGCCTGGCCTTTGTTTTTCTCCTCCTCCTTCTCGCAGCCGCAACTACACTAGGTAAGCAGCATTGCCAGCACATTTTTTCTGATGTGTATTCCTCATTGTATGCCTGCTTACCGTCTTTAAATCTCTTCTCCAGTAAATATGAATACATACATTAATTCTGTTCTAGCTAATTATCTAGCACTGAGAAGAGCATTCCAAAAGTAAGGAAATTGGGGGAAAAGAAAGCTGAAGTAAAAATATAAGCCCAGTTGTGATTAAGTGATATATATTTAGTCATTTAGTTATTTATTTAAAACCTTTATATAACTGCCCACCTGATAACAAACTCTGGGATGTCCCCAATATTCCACTTAGCAACTGCCAGTCCCAATTTTATTGCTAAACAAGGACTACCTGTATGGACAATTTGATTTCCTTGGCCTAGGACAGGATATCTTAACTTTAACAAATTAACCGTTATGTAAATTAAGATCTTATTACAATAAATAAATGTGATATGTCATCTTTAAACCAGATGAATTGAATATGCAAGACAGAGACTTTTTTAAAGCTCAAACCAAATCATTCTGTCGGCCTATGGAACATATGAGGGGGCTGCTGAAACCATAACTGTATCATACTTACTGCTTTTAATGTTACATAACTGAGGAAAAAATTATGTGCTTCAGTTTGAATGTTTACTTCCTTTAGCCTACAATGCTTCAGTGGATTGAACTGTTAACTAAGCAATTTAACAACAGCCAAGCTGCTTGTGAGGTAAGGCATAAATGAAGAATTCAGTGAAATGTGCTAGTTAGCAAAGCCTGTCCTTTTTGTGTTTCCTAAGTTAGGAGGAATAAATTTATGGATTTGGTAAAGTGCTAAAGACATTATGCTGTATAAAATAAGAAAAAGTGTTTCATAAAACCATGATTGCCTAAAAAGAAGGGATTTTTTATTAACTCATAGGTAAGGCAACCATCTATAAGAATAATGTTGACCTTTGATAAGATTCCTATTATTTATGCAAGAGGAGTTCTGAAAAAGTGCACAAATGTTAGCATGATTTGTCATAATGTGCATCAACAGTTTTCCATTGTTAGAATACTTCAATAGTTATTTAGGTGTCATGAACCTAGAAGACAGGACAACGATCATCTTTGGCCTTCATTTTTTTCAAAAAGCTGTGAAAAGTTGTTTTTTTTCTCTTCCCAACTATGCAAATATTTACTGAATTACTTTTGGAGCGTTACTTAAGTTGTTTAACCAGTGATAATAAAATATGCTGTGAATATGTAGTAGAATAGGAAATGCTTTCATTGTTAAGGAATACATGCTAAAATGTTAAATACATGTTTTTTTCCCCAGTGGTTTCTTGATCGTATGGCTGATGACGACTGGTGGCCTATGCAGATTTTAATTAAATGCCCCAATCAGATTGTAAGACAGGTAAGATAAAGCATAGTATATGTCATTTAAAATGTTATTGCTTAAGATCAAGTTCTTAAATTCATAGATTGAATTTTAACCATCAAACCCAACATCTTAGGTTGCAGTGTCCTTGATATTATTGCACATATTTGAGGTGTACTTCACATTCTTTGAGGTCTTCAGCTCAAAAACAGTATGGCAGTTTTTAGAAGGATTTCTGGTAAACAGTATAACAAAGTCTAAGTGTACATGTGGACTTTGAAATTTAGTCTGCATACCAAAGTAGATTCCCAAAGATTTCTTTAGGTGCATTTTTACTTGAATGAGAGGCCCCATTTCACATTACAAATAGTTTATGCCTAATTTTTTAAAAAAACTGAACTTCTTTCCCAGTAGTGGTTTGCCATTCAGCCAGAGGAATTAACCCAAAGGCATTTTTATATATGGAAATACTGCTTCAGTTTAGATTGTTGCAAGTGGAATACTTTAGAAGTTACACTACACTCTTCTATGTAGTTCTAACAGTTTTTGTGCTGTTGCTGCAAGAAAAGCAAATATAGTCTTGGTCTGCATGAATTGAAGTATAGTGCCGAGGCCAAAGGAAGTAATACTTTTTCTCTATCTTGCTTTGGCCATGCCTAGAGTGTTCCATTCTGTTTGGGCACCACATTTTATAAACAATATTGAACAACTGGAATGTATGAAAAAGAGCAGTCAAGGTGATAAGGGGCTTAAAAAAATGTGAGAAATGGTTGGAAGTATTGGATTTATGTAGGCTGCAAGAACACACAATAGCTGTCTTTATCTGAAAAGCCATTGTGAAGAAGACAATGTGTTTTTCAGAGTTATTTCTGAAGACAATATAAAAACCAATGTGTTTAAATTAAATAGAAATAAATTATGTTTGTACATCAGGAGAAATAATTCTAATAAGAGCTGTTCCACAAAGACACTGACTATGTTAAAATGTAGTGGACTTGTGTTCAGTGGAAATGTTCTGAGAGACTTTGCATGGCTGTTTGTCAAGGTTGCTACAATAATAAATTCCTGCATTGAGCAAGAGGCTGGACAAGAGTATCTTGAAAGTCTTTTCTAATCTTTAAGGTTCTATGATTAAAAGATTTAAGATATATTCTGCATAAAATATATTAAGTGTGTAATACAAAGGCAAAATATCACTAATTCAATGATGAACTTTTCAATCAAATAATCCATGATCACTGTGTTTCTAAAGCTTTGTGAAAGCAAATATTTCTGTGACCTCAAAGTAACCTTAAAGCTTATGACTTTACAGATGTTTCAACGTTTGTGCATCCATGTGATTCAGCGGCTAAGGCCAGTCCATGCTCATCTCTACCTACAGCCAGGACTAGAAGACTGGTACATTTTCTTAAAAAAGTTCCATCTATTACAAATATTTATTTTGTAACATTAATTTATCATATGCCAGTATTATATAATTATATTGGGGAACATTTACATTGGTCTTTTATATCAGATAACATTTTCTGTTACTGTGATCAGAAAATAAACCCAGTACAGTAAATTATAAACAATTTTTTTTGAAGGATTATAGTATGCCTTTTCAGTGTTATTATTTTCAGAAGTCATGTAACTAAGAAGAGTTTATTCATGCAGATATAACCACAGTATGTAAAGTAAGCACTGTTAACCATTTCAGATGTACATTATGTACTTTGCATAATGTAGGAGGTTGGAACAACTTTTCAGATTTATTTTGGATCATTTTGCCTTCAGTGACTTCAATATGCACTGATGAACAATGAAATGTATTTTCAGTTCAGATGACATGGATGGTCCTGTGGAAGATATTGGTAGTCGCTCATGTGTGACTCGTTTTGTGAAGACTCTGTTGTCAATTATGGAACATGGTGTTAAACCTCACAGTAAACATCTCACAGAATACTTTGCCTTTCTTTATGAATTTGCCAAAATGGGAGAAGAGGAGGTGAGTGATTCTGCATGAATTCTGCTGTTATATTTACTATTCATTACTAAGCTTGAGTGCCATTAACATTTTTGTTATTTAATCTTTGCATTTCTGTGTTTATTACAAAAATCAATTTTGAGAGGAAGGCAGAATATAAACAGTTGTTACTTACATTTTTATATTCAATTATTTCCAGAGCCAGTTTTTGCTTTCTCTGCAAGCCATTTCAACAATGGTTCATTTCTATATGGGAACTAAAGGTCCTGAAAATGTAAGTCTGGAGTAATCTTTTATAGCCTAATTTCTCATTGGCACGTTAGTGGATCAGTCACAGTTTTTCAAGGAGATACTTCATGACTACTCTCATCTTTTCTCTGCAAAAAATGTCTTTAACAGATTTATCATGATCCTTGCTCTACTTCTGTTCTAAGTTTTTCCAAACAGATTATCTCTACAGTATTATTCCTAGTAGATCTTTAACCTACATTTTGATTATGAAGCTAGATTTGGGAATATATATTGCAGTTCTAAAGCTGAGCATGATTAAACACTCATAAACAGAGAGAGGGGGGAGGGAGGGAGGGAGGGGGGGGAGAGAGAGAAATATTATTTGTCCTTGCTCATTTAGTAAAATAAGTCCTTTTGCAGAGATCTGTAGTGTGTGTGAGAGAGACAGATGGAGATTATTACTACTATTATTATTATTTGCTTTTTTTGTCAGCCACAAGTTGAGGTACTATCAGAAGAAGAAGGAGAAGAGGAGGAGGAGGAGGAAGACATTCTTTCTTTAGCGGAAGAAAAATATAGGCCTGCTGCACTTGAAAAGATGATTGCTCTGATAGCTCTTCTGGTAGAACAGTCTCGATCAGAGAGGTAAGGAGTATTCACATATATCAGTTTTTTTATGTATTGCATATATTCATCTGTTTTTTATTAAAAGTTTTATAAACTTCAAAAGCTAACACAAAGTAATAAAGAGTAAAAGAAGCAAGAAAAGAAAGAAGAAAACCTGCAAAAACCTATTCTGGTTTTTAACACCTTTTATATTATTCGATAGCACCAGCCAATCTAGAAAACTTACAATCAAGGCCTGTATGTGATTGACTTATATCACATATATCTTATGTACTTGCATAATATATCTTATATATATTTACATATATCTTATGTACTTGCCTATAAGCCAAGAATTTCAGATGCCAAAATATATCCAAAATTGGGTTCAGCTTATTGATGAAAACATATAGTAATACTTCTTACAAGTATCTATATATCCTTTATTCACTCATGGATAAACCTGTTGTTAAGCTGGTGAGCTTATTCACAGGTGGCACACTTTTCATAGTATTTGGGTTTAAAATTTGAGGGTTCGTTGAAACATGGATGGGCTTATACATATATGTATATGTCCTTTGAGATACTGAGATAATACACATTGGACATATCTAACATTTTTCCTTTATTAGGTTTGTTTATACTAATGAAAAAGTAGAATACAGTCTAAAAGTGGTAGAGATTATTTGAACCAGTGCAAAATCAGAGAGTTTAATAATTGTATACATGCTAAGTAGGCAAGGCCTCAGATTACTAGTATGTCTTATGATTCATATGCAAAAGATCTCAGGTTCAATTCCTGCCATCTCCAAATAAAGTGGTGAAAGACGTCCATCAAAAATATCAGAAAACTACTGCCAGTCATTATTGATTAACGAAGTAAAAATCTGATCCATTAGTTGTGCCATCTGGCCATCTCCAGAATTAGTTTTTTCAATCAGATGGCCAAGGCACCTAGCTTGAAAAGCAAATGTTCGTTAGAAAGGGTTATAAAGGGCCATTCTTCATGATATCACCCAATTCACAGGAGTGATTCTGGAGTATTTGGGGTCCTATACAAAATATATTTAATGGTTTACTGTATATTATCAAGTATTCTTCCTCATTCAGAAGTATTCAGACCCCCTTCATTTTTGTCAATTTTGTTATGCTGCAGTCTGATTCTACAGTTGTTGAAGTTCATTTTTTTCTCTCATTAATCTACCCTCAGCACCCAATAATGACAAAGCGAAAACAGAATTTTAGAAATGTCTGTAAATTTATGAAAAAGAAAAAAACTGAAATATCACATGCTGGCATAAGCATTCAGACCCTTTACTTTGCACACCTGGAACGGGAGATTTTCTGCCATTCTTCCTTGTAAATGCAGATGGCGACTGTCAGTAGACAGCCATTTTCAGGTCCCTCTAGGGTTTGAGTCAGGGCTCTGGCTGGGTTACTCTAGTTCAAACAACTGACATTTAGCTCAAGTCACACCGCACCAGCAAATTCAGTCAGAGAGTATTCACACAATATGGTGAAAGAAGTCTCTATAAATTCCAGAATTTCATTATGTGAGTTTCCGATAGCTCTCACCACTACTGAGGTCAAAGTGTCCATTCTACCATTAGAAAGAAGACGCACAAATTAGATCTATATGAAAGGTGTGCCAGGAGGAAATCTCAACTGTCCAGAAAGAATACCAGGTCAAGACCCAAAATTTGTTCATGAACACCTAAATAAAGACCAGGATTTCTGGAACAATGTGATCTGAACAAATATGGCAAAGATGGAATAATTTGGAAATAGTACCAGATAGCATGTCTGTTGAAAACCAAAGGGAGCATGCTTCATAAGAATCAGATATAACTATAAAGCATGGTAGTACAAATGTTCCTCTGTTGCACTAGGACCTGGCCAGTAGAAGAGCACAAGATTGTATCCTTTCCCCTTATTTATTCAACCTATATGGTGAATAAATACTGCATTTGGAAAGTATTCAGACGCCCTTCACTTTTGTCAATTTTGTTATGCTGCAGCCTAATTCTACAATTGTTGAAGTTCATTTATTTTCTCATTGATCTGCACTCAGTACAACTTAATGACAAAGTGAAAACAGAATTTTAGAAATGTCTGTAAACTTATGAAAAAGAAAAAAACTGAAATATCACATGCTGGCATAAGTACTCAGTCCCTTTATTTAGTACTTTGTTGAAGCACCTTTGCCAGCAATTACAGCCTTGAGTGTTTTTGGGTATGATGTGACAAGCTTTGCACACCTGGATTGTGGGATTTTCTGCCATTCTTCCTTGCAAATCGTCTCAAGCTTAATCAGGTGGGATGGCAATCAGGTGCCTCCAGAGATGTTCAATACGGTTCAAGTCAGGGCTCTGTCCAGGCCACTCTAAGACATTCACAGAGATGTCCCTAAGCCACTTCTGTGTTGTCTTGACTGTGTGCTTAGGATTGTTGTCATATTGGAAAGTGAACCTTCGGCCCAGTCTGAGGTCTTGAGCGCTGTGGAACAGGTTTTCATTGAGGATATCCCTGCACATTGCTCCATTCACTTTTTCAACCCTGAACAGTCTCCCAGTCCCTGCTGCTGAAAAACACCCCCACAGCATGATGCTGCCACCACCTTGCTTCACTGCTGGGATGATACTAGGCAGGCGATGAGTGATGCCTGGTTTCCTCCAGGCATAACGTTTAGAACTGAGGTCAAACAGTTCAATATTGGTTTCATCAGACTAGGGAATCTTGTTCCTCACAGTCTGAGAGTCCTTCAGGTGCTTTCCTGCAAACTCCAAGAGGGCTTTCATGTGCTTAGCACTGAGGAGAGGATTCTGTCAGCCACTCTGCCATAAAACCCAGATTGATTGAGGGCTACAGTGATGCTTGTCCTTCTGGAACTCTGTCCCATCTCCATACGGCATTTCTGGAGCTCAGTCAGATGGACCATCGGTATCTTGGCCACCTCTCTTACTAAGGCCCTTCTCCAATTGCTCAGTTTGACCAGGTCACCAGCTCTTGGAAGAGTCCTGGTTATGACAGACTTCTTCCATTTGAGAAATATGGAATTTAATGTACTCTTAGGAACTTTCAATGCAGCATAAATATTATTGTCGCATTCCCTATATCTGTGTCTTGCAATAATCCTGTCTATGAGCTCTGCAGGCAGTTTCTTTGACCTCATAGCTTTTGCTCTGGTACAGTATGCATAGTCAGCTCTGAGGCCTTCTATAGAGAGGTCTCTGCCTTTCCAAATCATGTCCAATCAATTTAATTTACCACAGGTCAACTCCAGTCAAGGTGTAGAAACATGTCAGCGACTATTAAGAGAAATGAGAGGCACCTGAGCTAAATTTCAAGTGATGTTGCAAAGGGTCTGAATACTTAAGCCAATCTGATATTTCAGTTTTTTCTTTTTTATAAATTTACAGATATTTCTAAAATTCTGTTTTCACTTTGTCATTATGGGGTATTAAGTGTAGATCAATGAGAAAAAATGAATTCCAATAACTGTAGAATCAGGCTGCAGAATAACAAAATTGACAAAAATGAAGGGGGTCTGAATACTTTTTGAATGCACTGTATGTCAATACTATTTGACTAACAGTAGGACTGCTAATCATCTGTCAACATTCTAAATTGAAGCTGTCAGCCATATATAAAACATTCAAAGGGCAAAAACAGTTGCTTGATTGTAGCCTACATTTTGCATATTTTTGCCATTAAAATCAATTCACATTGATTTTGTTTCCTGATTTTGGTCCAGAACTATGAAAAGAAGAGCCCTATTTTTTTGTTTGTTCCTTGTTCCTAATTAATGGCTTCCTAGCAACCTGGCTGATTTCCTAAAGGTGTGGTTTTACATGGACTACTCCCATGAAAATTCAGGAAAGCAATTTTTGTTTTTACTAATTGGTTGATTAATGAAATAAATTGGTCCATTCTTTATATGTGTTTTAGGCACTTGACTTTATCCCAAAATGATATGGCAGCATTAACTGGAGGCAAGGTAATAACTGGACATGAAAAACAACAACTAATAGTTTTAAAAGATGTTCTTTTAAAATATCTGCTACAGTAACACATTGAATTTATTCCAGGGTTTTCCTTTCTTATTCCAACATATTCGAGATGGAATCAACATTAGGCAGACCTGCAATCTTATTTTCAGCCTTTGTCGATATAACAACAGACTTGCAGAACATGTAAGTTACTAGCTGTTATTAGTAATGTCCACTCCGAGAGCCTAAGTGGAATGTTTTCATTAGAGTTGCATATGATAAAAGGATTTCTTCCTCTCTTACAGATTGTATCCATGCTTTTCACATCTATAGCGAAGCTGACTCCTGAGGTAGGGTCTAAAAGTACAGTATTTTGCTACCATATATTAAATTGTTTGATTGTCATATTCAACATTCTTAAAGTTGTTATTTGTCCCCAATATAATGACCTTGCAGTGAAATATGATCCTGCATTATTTTATGGTCCCACTGTGCTATACCTGCACTTTCCTCTTTCACAATTCACATAACTGAGGCAATTATTCTTTACTGGACTAAGACATTAGATAAGCATGCTGCCACACAAGTAATTAAATCCATGGCTCTGGTCAAATAGAAAGGGGGACAGTACAAGCATTAAGGTTACACTCTACTTAGTCTTGATAGTCAGAACTGCATGATGGCTTTTTCATCAGATTGCCAGTTCAAAATTATCTGTTGCCTATGATTATCTTCAGTATACACAGGCATAACATCAACTGAAAAGATATCAATCTGATGATTCATGATCACAAATTGACTAAAGATCACTGACCAATATTTGAATTGGTTTAAAATGATTTGCTTTGTAAATCCAAAGATTAATCTTGACGTTAAGATTTATTGCTAATTCCAGAATCTGGGTTTAAGGTTTGGGATAAATGCCTCATCTGGACAGGTTAACTTCTTGGTAATGACCATGCTATACCTGCTTCTGACCCATATTCTTGGATATTTTGGGAGGTTTCCAGCTTTAAGATTTGTCTAAGACACACATAAAAATTCTATCTTATCTGTGGTGTAGTATAGATTTGTTGTTGTTGTTGTTGTTAATTGCAAAGTCGTGTCCGACCCATCGCGACCCCATGGACAACGTTCCTCCAGGTCTTCCTGTCCTCTACCATCTTCTGGAGTCCATTTAAGTTCATACCTACTGCTTCAGTGACTCCATCAAGCCATCTCATTCTCTGTCGTCCCATTCTTCTATTGCCCTCAATCTTTCCCAGCATTAGGCCCTTCTCCAGTGAGTCCTTCCTTCTCATTAGGTGGCCAAAGTATTTGAGTTTCAACTTCAGGATCTGGCCTTCTAAAGAGCAGTCGGGGTTGATCTCTTCTAGGACTGACCGGTTTGAACGCCTTGCAGTCCAAGGGACTCGCAGGAGTCTTCTCCAGCACCATAGTTCAAAGGCCTCAATTCTTTGGCGCTCAGCCTTTCTTATGGTCCAACTTTCACAGCCATACATTGCAACTGGGAAAACCATGGCCTGGACTATACGCACTTTTGTTGGCAGGGTGATGTCTCTGCTTTTTAGTATGCTGTCTAGTATGTAGTATAGATTATAAACAATAAATAGCTCTGGTGATGAGGCTGCTCATATTCTTCTGAGAGTTAAGAAGAGGGCTTTGTTTAAGTCTAACTTTTTGGATTGCATTTAATGATAATGACAGTAATATTCACATACGATGTTATCATTAAATGCAATCCAAAAAGTTAGACTTAATACACACTAGAACCAGGAATTTCACTTAGAACTATAAAGTTCTAAGTATATATGTGTATTTAGAATATGTGCTTTAAATGAGCATAAGTTAATCATTGAATAAAATCAGTTATGACTTGCATTTTTTTTTAAACAAACCCACTATTTATGGATTCCTTATATGATATACATAAGTTTTTTCTTCTTGTTTTCAACTTCAGGCAGCCAATCCTTTTTTCAAGTTGTTAACTATGCTTATGGAATTTGCTGGTGGACCTCCAGGAATGCCACCATTTGCATCATATATTCTTCAAAGGATATGGGAGGTAAAGGATGCCTACATTAAATACACTCAAAGATTTGTCTTATCTCCATAATATTGAGAAAAAATAACCAGTATAATGTCTATGCTGTAAAGATTATTAGACTTAATTTTTACACTCCTAGATTGTAGAAATAAAGAGTTATTGTCTGACAGAGAATAGTACCTTTGGCAGCCTTTTTTTGCTACACTTAGTAAATAAAACTAGTAAAACAGCGGTCCCCAACCTTTCTTGCTCCATGGACCAGTGGCGGGGAGAGAGATGGTTTTGCGCATGCAACCTTGATCTCATGTATGTGCAAAGGAAGCTTCGCATGCTCACCCACCACTTTACAACTCAGCTCCTTACGTGTTTGCGGACTGAGGGTTGGGGCCTGTGCAGTAAAAGATTCAGCCTGCCTGTTTACTAACTGAACTGTTGATATATAGATTGCTATTCAATAGTCTTATTCTTGTTTTATGTTTCATGATATTTGTCCATTTTCCCAATATTTGTAGGTGATTGAGTACAACCCATCTCAATGTCTGGATTGGCTAGCAGTGCAGACACCACGAAATAAGCTTGCCCACAGTTGGGTCCTGCAGAATATGGAGAACTGGGTAGAGCGCTTTCTTTTGGCTCATAACTATCCTAGAGTGAGAACCTGTAAGTTACTAAGCAGAAAATAATTGGCTTCTTCTTAATTTCCCATAAATAATTTCATTGTTTATGTGTGAAAATGTGGACATTTTATTTTATTTATTTCCTAGTATAGAAAACAACATTTAAAAGTTAATGAGTGAAATATTTCCAAATATTCATTTCAATATTCAGTAGTACCAGCAACAGTTTAGAAAGAAAGGAACTGAAGTTTCAGCACTGCTTGTTTTTGTGATCTCTCTGCCAATAAGTATATTTTTCTTTTATAAGTTATGTCATATGGTCAAATTTGTGAACAAATTTTAAACAAAAAACCACAAATTTTATTTCAAAGTGAATGTGCACAGCCAAAAAGTGTGGCTGCTTCATTTACCTGTATATTTATTGTTTTGCAGCTGCAGCCTATCTTCTGGTCTCTCTTATTCCAAGCAATTCATTCCGACAAATGTTCCGATCTACCCGCTCACTGCATATCCCTACTCGAGATCTTCCCCTTAGTCCAGATACTACAGTTGTTCTTCATCAAGTTTATAATGTGTTGCTTGGACTGCTCTCAAGAGCTAAGCTTTATGTTGATGCTGCTGTGCATGGAACTACAAAGCTGGTACCCTACTTCAGTTTTATGACTTACTGCTTGATCTCCAAAACAGAAAAACTAATGTTTTCTACTTATTTCATGGATTTGTGGAACCTCTTTCAGCCTAAACTTTCTGAGCCTGCTATTGCTACCAATCATAATAAGCAGGCCCTGCTCTCCTTCTGGTACAATGTCTGTGTTGACTGCCCTGAGAACGTGCGCCTTATTGTGCAGAATCCAGTGGTGACCAAGAACATTGCCTTCAATTACATCCTAGCAGATCATGATGACCAGGATGTGGTGCTTTTTAACCGTGGGATGCTACCTGCCTACTATGGCATTCTGCGGCTATGCTGCGAGCAATCCCCTGCATTTACCAGACAGTTGGCTTCTCATCAAAATATCCAGTGGGCATTTAAGAATCTCACACCACATGCCAGCCAATATCCTGGGGTAAGTCAAATTCATACATAGTGAAAGACAAGAGAAATAGATTTTTTAGAGAACAGCATTAAAAACATCAGTTTATGGAAGGACCATTTTTAGGGGGTAGATGGTAGGAGTATATCAGAAAAATAAATCTGTATCTCTTTGCCAGATCCAAAGAGATCAGTTGATAATAATAAAAAATATATTTGGCTCTAATTTGAACTCTGTCCCAGAAATTTCTCAGAAGACGGGCATAATGGAATTGCAACGGTGCTTTCATCCAGTCTACCAGCAGTTCTGTCATTTTCTGATGGCAGCTATGATACAATTATTTTTGTGCCATACATTTCCTTTTCTTTATTGTCCCACCATCTTGGTAGAATTATTGGTATTTGGGCAGTTGCTCTACAACTGAGATCACTGCCATTCTCCCTACCTAATGCATAAAATATGATTCCTGTGAAAGAGGTAAAATATATCTTGAGTTCAAGAAGCAAAACAATTTGCTCTTTTAATGGGAAGAATGGTATATAAATAAAATAGCTCTTTTATACTAAATATGTGAAAGAGAGGGAGAGATGAATAATAAATATATACTCTGTGTGTGTGAGAGAGAGAGAGGGGGGGACGATGGCTCAGCAGTTAAAGACCCTCAACTTTTCAGCTGGAGAGCTGACTGCCCAGGTTCGAGACCTGAGTTCCATGCAATGGGCTGATCTCTTTTACTTGCCCCAGCTCCTGCCCATCTAGCAGTTCAAAAGCATGCAAATGCAAGTAGATTAATAGGTACCACTTCAGTGGGAAGACAACAGCGTTCTGTGTGTCTTTGGCTTATAGCCATGCTGGCCACACATGACCATGGCAATTGTCTTTGGACATGCTTGGCTCCCTCGGCCAAGAAATGGAGATGAGCACCGAGCCCTAGAGTCAGACACGACTCACAGGGAAACCTTTATCTTTATATAAAATATATACTAAATCCAGTTTTCAGTAATAGGCCAGCATAGAATAAAACCTGGATTTAACAGACCCCATTTAGTAGATTCAGAATACAGTGGATCAGATTTTCACCCAGATGTGTCCCTGAATTACTAAACAAGTCATGATGCACAAAAGTAATCCAGATGAAGCAATTACATTTCTGCTAACTATATCTTTTATGTGATTTCATATTTAATGGGTCTTCGGGAACAATGGATATTTTCCCTGAACTGGTCCATTTAAATGAAAATTCACTGTGTTTATTTGTATTAGCTTGATCCATTTTTTCTTCAGTTTTAAACATAGTTCAAGTTGTAGAGCTGGAAAAGGAAATATAGAAAAAAGTAAAAGCCCAAGAACATGTGAAACAAGAGTGCATTTTTTTAAAAAAAAATGGCAGTACAATATGAATACCTTTGGCATGCTCATTAATTGTTTTTTTAAAGTTTTTACTTTACAAACAATAACTGGAATTTGGGGATTTTTTTTTCAGTAAGCCTCATGATATTTCTTCTCTTTATTTAGGCAGTGGAAGAACTGTTTAATCTCATGCAACTCTTTGTAGCTCAGAGGCCTGATATGAGAGAGGAAGAACTGGAAGACATTAAGCAATTTAAAAAAACTACTATAAGCTGTTACCTTCGCTGCTTAGATGGACGGTCATGCTGGACTACTTTAATAAGGTATTTCATGTTTGGAGTGTTGATCTAGAAGAAATGTTAAAGAGTTTATAGAGTGATTTTAGTGTTTTTCTGTGTATTTTATTATTGCAGTGTGCTTTGTTGTTGTTCAGTCACTAAGTCATGTCTGACTCTTCATGACCACATGGACCATAGCACACCAGGCCTCTGTGTCCTCCACTGTTTCTCGGAATTTTTATAGTCATTGCATCAATGACACTATCTAACCCTCTCATTTTCTGTCATCTCCTTCTCTTTTTGCCTTCAATCTTTTCCAACATCAAGGTCTTTTTCAATGAATCGTCTCTTATTAGGTGGCCCAAGTATTTGAGCTTCAGCTTCAATATCTGTCCTTCCAAAGAACAGTCAGGGTTGATTTCTTTTAGGATTGTCTGATTTGCAGTCCATGGAACAAGTCTTGTCTAGCACCATAATTTGAAAGCATCAGTTCTTTGGCACTCAATCTTTCCTTATAGTCCAACTCTCACAGCAATACATTACTACTGAGAAAACCATAGCTTTGTCTATACAGACCTTTGTCAGCAAGGTGATAACCTCTACTTTTTAATATGCTGTCCAGGTGTGTCATAGCTTTCCTTCCAAGGAACAAACATCTTTTAATTTCATGACTGCAGTCACTGTTGGCAGTGATCTTGGAGCCCAAGAAAATAAAATCTGTCACTGTTTCCATTTCTTCCCGTTCTATTTGCCAGAAAGTAATAGGACCGAATGCCATAATCTTCATTTTTTTTAATGTTGAGTTTCAAGCCAACTTTTACATTCTCCTCTTTCACCCTCATCAAGAGGCTCTTTAGTTCCTCTTCACTTTCTACCATTAGAACGCTATCATTTGCATATCTGAGGTTGTTGATATTTATCCTAGCAATCTTAATCCTGGCTTATGGTGCATCCAGCCCGTCATTTAATATCAATCAGAATAGAGCTGGAAGGGGCCATGGAGATATTCTAGTCCAACCCCCTGCTCAAGCAGGAGACCCTATACAATTTCAGACAGGTGGCTATCCAGTCTTCTCTTAAAAACCTCCAGTGATAAAGCATCTACAACTTCTGAAGGCAAGCTATTCCATTGGTTAATTGTCCTCAGTGTTAGGAAACTTCTCCTTAATTCCATGTTGTTTCTCTCCTTGATTAGTTTCCATCCATTATTTCAGTGATCACACCATCGTTGTTATCAGGTACATTAAGATCTTTCTTGTATAGTTCTTCTGTGTATTATTGGCACATCTTAATCTCTTCTGCTTCTGTTACGTCTCTACCATTTTTGCCCTTTATCGTGCCCATCTTTGCACAAAACATTCCCTTGGTCATCTTCAGTTTTCTTCAAGAGATCTCTAGTCTTTCTCATTCTATTGTTTTCCTCTTATTTCTTTGCATTATTCATTTAATAAGACCTTCTTATCTCTCCTTGCTATTCTCTGGAAATATCTGGGTATATCTTTCCATTTCTCCCTTGCCTTTCAATTTCCTTTTTTCCTCAGCTATTTGTAAAGCCTCATCAGACAGTCACTTCGCTTTCTTGCATTTCTTTTTCTTTGGGACATTTTTAGTTGCTGCCTCCTATACAATGTTTTGAACCTCTGTTTATAGTTCTTCAGACACTCTGTCTACCAAATCTAATCCCTTAAATCTATTCATCACTTCCAATATATATTCATAGGGGAATATGATTTAGGTCACACCTGAATAGCCTAGTGATTTTCTCTACTTTCTTCAATTTAAACCTGAATTTTCCAATAAGAGGCTCATAATCTGAGCCATAATTAGCTCTAGATCATGATTTTATTGACTGTATAGAGTTTCTCCATCTTTGGTTGCAAAGTACATAATCAGCCTAATTTCAGTATTAGCCATCTGGTAATATCCATGTGTAGGGTCATCGCTTGGGTTGTTGGAAAAGAGTTTGCTATGACCAGAATATTTTCTTGACAAAACTTGTTAGCCTTTCCCTTGCTTCATTTTGTACTCCAAGGCTAAATTTGCCTGTTAATTCTGGTTACCTTTTAACTTCCTACTTTAGCATTCCAATCCCCTGTGATGTAAAGGACTTATTTTTTTGGTATTACTGGTAGTTATAGAAGGTTTTATTAGGTTTTCATAGAACCGGTCAACTTCAGCCTCTGTGGGGTGTAATTGGGGTGTACACTTGGATTACTGTGATATTGAATGGTTTGTCTTGGATTCAAACTGAGATCATTCTGTCATTTTTGAGATTGTACCCCAGTACTGCATTTCCCATTCTTTTATTGACTATGGGGGCTACTCCATTTCCTCTAAGGGATTCTTTTCCATAAAAATAGACACAATGGTCATCTGAATTAAATTTGTCCATTCCCATCCCCTGATTCCCAAGAAGTCAGTGTTCATTCTTGCCATCTCATGTATAACCACATCTGCTTTACTTTGATTCATACACTCCAGGTCTTACATTCCTGGTTCCTATGCAATATTGTTCTTTACAGCATAGGACTTTCCTTTCACCATCAGACACATCCACAGCTGAGCGTCCTTTCACTTCACTTTTTCTGGAGCTACTTGTAACTGACCTGTGTCTTCTCCAGTAACATATTGGACACTTTCTGACCTACGGGGCTTATCTTCCGGCATTATATCTTTTAGCCTTTTGATACTGTCCATGGGGTTTTCTTGGCAAGGTTACTGGAGTGGGTTGCCATTTCCTTCTCCAGTAGACCACATTTTGTCAGAACTCTCCACTATGACCCGTTATCTTGGATGGCCCTGCATGACATAGCTTATAGCTTCATTGTACTGTGCATGCCTCCTCACCACGACAAGGCAGTGATCCATGAAGGGATGTAGTATGCTACAGCTGTAGGGAAAAAATAGCTAATTATTGGGGTTAAAAAGTTGTTACAATGTCTGCTATTGTTATTTTCTAAAATGAGATATTCTTGAGATTCCTATATGGAGTTTCTAATTGGGAAAGGAAATTTGGCAGCATCTTTATCTCTTGCCACAGGACTTACCAATGTCTTTATCATATCAGATGCATCAATCCCATTTCTTTAATTATTTGTGTTGTCAAGTAAATTTTTTTTGTTACCCACTTCAGTGTTTAGCTTTCTAAGTGGCAACGGTAGTTCAAATCTTCTCATCACCAAGTAAACATTGCAGAGATCTCACTGAAATATACAGAATTGTTTTTTTCTTGGACATGCCCTTTCTTCCATTATACATTTTCCTAGTAAGAATAAAAAAAGGATAGCGATAGTATAAGATCAGATTTGGAAATCAAAACAGTATTTTAATGTTGTGCATTCTGTTTAGGATGCAACCACTGTGCCTATAATAAGACAGATTTTAACTTCACAATTTTCTTTTTACTGTTTTGTTCCAAGTGCCTTCCGAATATTATTAGAAACTGATGAGGATCGGCTTCTTGTCATATTTAACAGAGGCTTAATCCTGATGACTGAGGTAGAAGTATTATTGTTATTATTTTAGCCTTTGGGGGGGGGATATTGCAAAATAAGGTAAATTAGAATAACTTGTATGTAGAGTGCTATTTTTATATGTTATTAATATGCTATATAATTTAATATATATATATATATATATATTGGCAGTCCTTCAATACACTGCACATGATGTACCATGAAGCCACAGCTTGCCATGTAACTGGAGATCTGGTAGAGCTTCTGTCCATATTTCTTTCCGTCCTCAAATCTACCCGGCCATATCTGCAAAGAAAAGGTTTGGATATTATTTATTAAATGTAAGTTTTTATTTTTAAAAATAAAATAGATGAGAACCAACATATTATTGTCACTATCAATCAGATATATATATGGTAGAGTTGTAAACTATATTAATTTAATTGTATATTTTCAGATGTGAAACAAGCACTTATCCAATGGCAGGAGCGGATAGAATTTGCCCATAAACTTTTAACTTTGCTAAATTCCTACAGTCCTCCGGAACTTAGAAATGCTTGTATAGGTAAAGTATATTAAACCTAATGCATTTTCTTTTATCTCAGATTATCCATCAATTACATTAAAGATAAATAAAGTAGATATTTTCCATTTCTGATGTAATTGTGGTCAATAGAGTTAAAGATTAAGGTTTAACTAAATGATTCGTTGATTGATTGATTATGTGCCATCAAATCATTGTCAATGTTGATAGTTTCCTTTTTTTATAATAATTTTTTACAATTATAATTATAATAAAAAACTAATACAAATAAAAATAATAAAAGAAAAAATAGAGTCCATCCATCTTGAGGCTAGTTGTCCTCTTCTCTTTCTTTCCACTTTCCTAGCACTGTTTTTTTCTCCTCAGATTTACTTATACTAATAGCTATGTTACTTCTCAAGAATAATAATTAGTTCATGCACAGGTCCATGTAGCTTTTTGCAGTAAGATGGAAGTAGTTTGCCATCTAGATCAGCGGTTCTCAACCTATGGGTCGCGACCCCATTTGGGGTCGAACGACCATTTTACGGGGGTCGCCAAACAACGCGATCCGCCATTTTCCCCCCTCAGGGGGCGGTGCTGCACATGCGCACCGCGCATGGGGGCAGTGCCGTGCATGTGCGCTGCGCATGGGGGCGCCACCGTGCATGCGCGCTGCGTCCACGTGACGGGGGTCACCGTCACACAAAGGTTGAGAACCGCTGATCTAGATGTTATTTTCAATTTCTCAATATTGTTTACAGACCTGGTAGCTCTGGTGGGCTCCCATTCAAGTACTAATAAGTCTGACCAAGTTTGGTTAAGCACTGCAGTACTTGGGGTTTGTCCAAAGTGAAGGCATAACTAGCATAATAATTAACTTTGTGTTCAATCAGTGGCAACATTTCTTGGTGAACTCTGACCAGAAGTATAAATTGGATAACAAAGGTAGTGATTAACAATTTGCCCCACTCACGGAAAGAGCTGGTGGCAGGAGGCATATGTTGAACCAGATGTTCTGATTAATTATGAAATGGTCTCTGAGTTGGCATCTAAAGATTCATTTAGAGCTGCTGAAGTCTGCATATTCTCATCACAACTAATCATTTGAGAAACTCTTGAACAACTTCTGGTTCAGTATAAGATGCAGTGGATAAAACTTAAAATTTATAGACTGATTATACTGTAAAACAAACAAGAATGCTATATTGGTTGCAATATTTTATTTTTGTAAATTGCTATAAAATACTTAAAGTGAATGATACTGAAGATTGGGTTGTCCGAATAACATTTTTATAAACCATAAACCAGATTTTAATATCATGCCTAAATTATAGCAAATAATTACTGGTCTGATCATATTTATGTTTTTCCTAGTTGTACAAAAGATTTATGCAAAGTTTATTAGAGTGTAAATTTCTTTTTAAGAGCATAACCCTGCTGCCATGAAGCACCACATAAGTCCAATAAATAAATAATTACATGTGATACTTTTTTTTTCTTTTGCAGATGTCCTCAAGGAACTGGTACTGTTAAGCCCTCATGATTTTCTGCACACTTTAGTTCCTTTTCTCCAGCACAACCATTGCACATACCATCATAGCAACATACCAAGTATGTATATTCAGATGACAAGGTTATTTATACTTGTGCATAAAAATACTAATTTACAATATAAGAAAATAGATTTACTTTGAGGCAGGAAGTAGTTTGAGAGGCGAGAATAAATTCAATTAACTGCAAAGAATATGACTAATCTAATTAACCCAAAATTCAATTATTCACAGATGTTTTAAATTTATTACTCTTAGACTGCTCTTGAAAAATACTCTTCTCCGTCAGAAAAATATATTTTAGGCAGCCTAGAGTGAACAGCATATTGTCAAGGCATTGTTTCTTGATGCCAAAATCAACATTCTATCTAAATAAATAAATAGAGAAAGAGAGGAAGAAAGCCTCCATATACACAGGTGGTCATCTGTTCTTTTTCCTAAACATCTGAGATTTGAAAGCAAGTTCAAATAATAGTGATTTGTTCTAATAGTAATCATTAGATTACTATTACTGTTACAAATTGAGGTTTTTTTTAAAATTACATATCCCTACTGAAACAGGAAGATAAATCTTTGTTACAGCCATTGAGGCTAAAAGATATTGCTTTTTGTTTGTTTGTTATTTATAAGACTAATATAGCTCCCATCTTACGTACCATAACCATGGACAACTTACACTGAGGGAAAAAATTAGTTGATCCTCTGCTGATTTTGTACATTGACAAAGAAAGGATCAATTCTATAATTTTAAGGTTAGGTTTATTTTAACAGTGAGAGACCGAATAATAACTACAAATCCAGAAAAACACGTTTCAAAAAAGTTTTAAATTGATTTGCATTTTAATGAGTGAAATAAGTATTTGATCCCCTATCAATCAGCAAGATTTCTGGCTCCCTGGTGTCTTTTATACAGGTAACAAGCTGAGATTAGGAGCACTCTCTTAAAGGCACTGCTCCTAATCTCAGATTGTTACCTATATAAAAGAAAAACATGTCCACAGAAGCAATCAATCAGATTCCAAACTCTCCACCATGGCCAAGACCAAAGAGCTGTCCAAGGATGTCAGGGACAAGATTGTAGACCTACACAAGGCTAGAATGGGCTACAAGACTATCACCAAGCAGCTTGGTGAAAAGGTGACAACAGTTGGTGTGATCGTTCGCAGATGGAAGAAACACAAAATAACTGTCAATCTCCCTCGGTCTGGGGTTGCATGCAAGATCTCACCTCTTGGAGTTTCAATGATCATGATACGATGAGGAATCAGCCCAGAACTACACGGGAGGATCTTGTCAATGATATCAAGGCAGTTGGGACCATAGTCACCAAGAAAGCAATTGATAACACACTACACAGTGAAGGACTGCAAGATCCCCCTGCTCAAGAAAGCACATGTACAGACCTGTCTGAAATTTGCCAGTGAACATCTGAATGATTCAGAGGAGAACTAGGTGAAAGTGTTGTTGTCAGATGAGACCAAAATCAAGCTCTTTGGCATCAACTCAACTCAACTCAACTCAACTCACTGTGTTAGGAGGAAGAGGAATGCTGCTTATGATCCTAAGAACACTATCCCCACTGTCAAACATGGAGGTGGAAACATTAAGTTTGTTTTTCTGCTAAGGGGACAGGACAACTTCACCACATCAAAGGGACGATGAACGGGCCTATCTACTGTCAAATTTTGTGTGAGAACCTCTTCCCTCAGCCAGGGCATTGAAAATGGGTCATGGATGGGTATTTCCAACATGACGATGACCCAAAATACACGGCCAAGGCAACAAAGGAGTGGCTCAAGGAGAAGCACATTAAGGTCCTGGAGTGGCCTAGCCAATCTCCAGACCGTAATCCCATAGAAAATCTGTAGAGGGAGGTGAAGATTCGAGCTGCCAAATGTCAGCCTCGAAACCTTAATGACTTGGAGAGGATTTGCAAAGAAGAGTGGGATAAAATCCCTCCTGAGATGTGTGCAAACGTGGGGGCCTACTACAAGAAATGTCTGACCTCTGTGCTTGCCAACATGTTTTGCGAAGGAGTCAAATACTTATTTCACACATTAAAATGCAAATCAATTTATAACTTTCTTTGAAATGCATTTTTCTGGATTTTTTGTTATTATTCTGTCTCTCACTGTTAAAATAAATGTACCATTAAAATTATAGACTGATAATTTCTTTGTCAGTAGGCAAATGTACAAAATCAGCAGGGGATCAAATATTTTTTCCTCTCACTGTAGAAACAACAAAAGGAGTAAAAAAAAAATGAAAACGCCCAGTCTTTCTCCCATCCCCAATCTCATATATTAACGAACAACTTCACTAGACTATAGCCTCATGCTTCCCCAATGCTTGTGAAAAAAGCCAAGTACAATACATTTCAGAAAGCTTGATGGGCAAGGACTTGCTGGGGAAAGAGTGCTTCAAAGGGCAGGGAGCACTATTCCCCTTATTTCCAACATCAGAATTTACGACCACATGTAGTCCTTGCTTAATGATGGCAACTGGGAATGCTCACGTTGGTGCTTTGGACATTCTGGTCCCAATTGCCATTATAATCTGAGAAATACCTGTAGTTTTTCCATTTTTAGTGGAAAGGGGAATAGGGATAGAATGAGACTGGAACTCAGAAGATAATATGTTGGTACATGGAATAGTGTTGCCGTAGGATGAAATGAGAGGTTGTGAGGGTGTAGCTGTTTTTATTGTCTTGTGAGCTGCCCCGGGTTATAGTTACAATATGGAAAGCTCTATCAATCTTTTAAAAATAAATAACACTTGATCTGGAGCTTTCTTTAGAATGGCCTAGGTGTGTGTCATTTGGAAAGATAAGTATTCTCAGCATCTGTTCACCCGTTTTATCGATCTTAAATGTTTCCATATCAAATACATTAAGTGGTTCCCACAAAAAAGGGAATCTTGCACTCAAATCCTTATTTGAATCCATGAAATTTATCCCAATTTGAATCATGTCCTATAGAAAATCTGTCCCAGCAGCTACACAAATTACATAGATGTGCTGTTTTCTCTGTCTACAGACAGATTTTTGGATCCAAAATATTTCTTGTGAAGTATTCTCTGCTATAGTGTCACACGGGTCTTCCTTTCCTGGAATAATTGTGGAGGCTTTGATGGCTGCTGGGATAACATCAACCAAGGGAGCTATTTAACTGTCATAGTTGCCCAAATGCACATTGCCTTGGAGAACTGCCTTACTATCACTGGACAGAGGGATTGGATTTTGTTGTGTGGTATCGATTATACTGCATGTGATAAAATGTGATAAAAATAGCAGTTATTGGACAATCTTTTACTACTTTTAAGTGATTTCAGTTCTGCTTTTTATCTTCATTTCTCTCTTCTTTCTCCTTTCTTGAGCCAATTGCTCGTATTAAAAATAATTCCATTAAGTGAATATATATAAATCCTCAACGTATAACCATTTGTTTAATGACTGTTCAAAATTCCAAAGGTACTGAAAAAAAGTGACTTATGCCTGGTCCTTGCACTTATGACTGCATCCTCAAAGTTACCTGATCAAACTTCAGTTGCTTGAAAAATTTGGGCACTTCACAGCAAAAATAAGGTCATAAAATTGGGCATGACTCGCTTAACAACCACCTTGCTTAACAGTGGGAATTCTAGTCCCAATTGTGGTTGTAAGTCAAGAGCTGCCTGTACTTTACTTACAGTTCAGATAATAGAAATTTCCATAAGACAGTTGAAGGGGAAAAAAAATCAAATGATAAAAAAAGACTGAAAAATAAAAAGCAGAAAAGGGTGGAGGGTAAGGAAATTTTCCACAATCCCACAACTATGAAGGACCTATATTATATATATATGTTAATAAGATACCAGCCACTACAGTTATCCTTTCCTAAGCATGTAGGTTTGTTTAGCCTAGCCTAGCCTAGAATGGACTGGGAGGCCCTGCTCATGGTAACCCATGCTCTTACAATCTCTCATTTAGACTACCATAACACACACTATACGAGGTTGCCCCTGAAAAGCATTTAGAAACTTCAATTGGTGCAGAATGCAACTGCATGGATAGTAAAGAATAGTGTTCTGCTCCCTATTCTAAACTAGCTAGAGAAGCTAAAAATAATAATAAAGTCTCTGGGTGCAAGTCATTGGTCTCTGTTATAGAAAGAATATAAAAAAGAAGAAGAAAAAAGGGCAGAGAAAGCCTGCAAGTTTAAAATTCTACTTGTGTGTCAGGCACAAAATAACATTATTTCAAAGCTTTAAAGAGGAAAAGAATAACTATTGTTTGGCTCTGGAATGACTCTTAGGTACCATAAAGTAGCAGGGCTCGTCCTCTAGGTCAGTGATGGCGAACCTTTTAAACACTAAGTGCCCAAAAACCACTGTGCCCGCCTCCACTCCACCTACACCCGCTCCATCTCCTGCCCTGCCCGCCCACAGGGCCACCTTCAGCTTGCCACAGCAGATCGCCCAGGCGGCCCTGCAGTGCCATGGCGGCCACACCCTCTGCCCATGCTCCACAGCATCATCTGTGAGTAACGGGGTGCGAGGATGGAGTCTTGTCCCTGCTGCCAGCTTCCATGTCCTTGGCTGTGCTGCTCCGCACGGGCCATGCCCGCAGGCGACTCTTTTCCGAGGGGGTTGCTAGTGAGGGTCTGCAGAGGGAGACAGGGCTGTGGCAATGGTGCACATGCCAACAGAGAGGCCTCTGCCTGCCGCTTCTGGCACACATGCCATAGGTTTGCCACCATTGCTCTAGGGTAAAAGGCTGGCAGTTGCCTTTTGTCTCCTCCCTGCCTTTTGCCATATGATCCTCAGTCATGCCTTTTTCAGAATAAATGTTGATTGTTTCAGCCTGTCTGACATGAGGAGCTGTGAAGGGACTCCTTATAGCAGTGGCAATTACATTTTCATGGAGGATAGCAGTATTAGCAGCAGTCAAACATAAAAAGTAGATCATGAAGTTAATACAACAGTGGCTAGTTGGTTTTCTGAGCAACAAAAAGTAATGGATAAACTATATACCATTTCCTTTTTTTAACTTGTAAGTTTACTATTCTGTCTACATTTTCTGTTCGTTTATCTACCTAAAGAACAAATATTTTTTTATCTTTTATTTTTTGGAAGAGAATTGGGATGGCTACTCTTTGCAAAGATAGTAGTAGTAGTAGTAGTAGTAGTAGTAGTAGTAGTAGTAGTAGTAGTAGTAGTAGTAAAGTTGGAAGGGACCTTGGAGGTCATCTAGTCCAACCCCCTGCTCAAGCAGGAAACCCTACACCATTTCGGACAAATGGCTGTCCAGTCTCTTCTTAAAAACTTCCAGTGTTGGAGCATTTACTGCTTCTGGAGGCAGGCTGTTCCACTGATTAGTTGTTCTCACTGTCAGGAAGTTTCTCCTTAGTTCTAGGTTGCTTCTCTCCTTGAAATGTACACATTTGGTTAATGCCTCTACTTTTTCGTTTCCACTGCAGTGTCTCTTGGTCCTTATTTCCCATGCCGTGAAAATCTGAAATTGATAGGAGGCAAAAGTAATATCCGCCCACCTCGCCCTGAACTTAATATGTGCCTTTTGCCTACAATGGTAGAAGCTAACAAGGTATTTATTTTATTTATTTACCAAACTTATATGCCATCCATCCTGATAAAGTGACACTAAGCAACTTACAATTACTTATTTAAAATGCACTACAAATCATTAAAACAATAAATAAGGATCTTGAATTTAAAATTCAATTACAACAAAATATGTATCAGGAAAGTAAATGTTTCCTTTATGTAACACTTGATAAGCCTTGATTGATGAGTTTTAAGAATAATTGTGATGTGGTTGTTGGTGATGAGAACTGCACTTCTGAATGTATTTGGTTTAATTATCATTCATTGGCTTAATTTATCACAGATGTAACAAAATTCCAATGGCAGTTTTATTATGATAGTTTTCATAAGAGAGAAAGAAGAAAAATGCCTCTATCTGTTGCTTACATTTTTGATCCCAAAAAATCCCTACAAATACTTTGGATCCCAGATATATTCAGTGTTAAATTGAGAATGAGAAAGTGGCAAATAAGGAAAAAGGGCATTCTTTTTAACATCTTAGGTGTCCTACACATTTGTGTAAGTTTTAATAATTCCTAAAATTCCCAAGTTTTGTAGTAAATAATTCCTGAACCAAGTTCTGTAGTTTTTTTAGCAAGAATTTATCATAGTCCTTTGAAAACTGTTCATTTTTTTCACACTTAGATATTATATTTTTCATGTTTTTATTTTGTAAACATAACTTTCTTTAAATCTTTAGGGTAAAGATGAGGTTTATGACCGTATGCTACTAGATTACTTTTTTTCATACCATCAGTTCATCCATCTCTTATGCCGAGTTGCCATCAACTGTGAGAAATTCACAGAAACTTTAGTGAAAATGAGTAAGTATGAATTTGTGCCATGCCCAAAAGATTCCTTTTTGAGTTAACAAGCACATTAGTTGACAAAACCTGTTATTTAGTGCACAGGCTACTGCTTAGCACTTTGTGTATGTGGAAGAGTAAATTGCAACATCAGAATTAATAAGCATTAATTTTTAAATTCATTGAAGGTAAATTAAATATTTTCTCTTTTATAAAAATTATGTGAAGAGTTACTTTATTCAGTTTCCCAACTGATTTGCTAAAATAGCAAGTTGGGGTTAAATGAATTAATATCTTTCTTTTTAGCAGAAGCCTACTTGTAAATTCAAAGATAAAGAATTTTATTTAAATTGTTGCCACATTGCCATTTAACTGTAGAATAAATAAGAAAGGCAGGGTAACTATACATTTATCTAAGAGTAAAACATGATAAACATAGTGAATTTGAGTAAATATATGCAGGATTTTTATATTGAAATTATTATTAAACATAACATGATTTTTGATTGGAAATTGGAGCAAGATCATTTGGGTAGTGACTATAGATTTGGTTTATTTTACAGTTAAACTGTAGTTTATGCCTTTTAAAATCAATTATTTATTTAACAATTCTCATGGCAGTTTGTATTGCTCATGATACCTAGTTCTCTTTTTAAATGTTAAGAGATAAGCAACTGTATTTCTGGCATATCTATATCTTTATAACCTTAAGAACTTAATTGCATTTTTATTTTTAGGTGTTCTTGTTGCATATGAAGGCTTACCTCTTCATCTAGCTTTGTTTCCCAAACTTTGGACTGAGCTTTGCCAAAGTCAGGTAAAATTAATTTATGTCTAAATGGAATGTTTTTATCTGAACAGTGTGCGTTTGATCATCATTTAATGACAGATGATGAATGGCATTTTCATACAGGCTTTCTCCTGCTGCAGACTTAGACTTTTTTCTAAAAGTTGCTGAGATTCTAATAACTCCAAATGTACAAGTTTATTGAGAGCAGCACAACAGGTTGATTTTAATCAATTTATTATTTTATTAATAAAGGAGAGGCTGAAAAATACTGAGGAATTGTTACAGTGTGGTGCTGTATTTACTCTCCTAGAAAATTCTGAAAAGTTCTATTCCAATGAATGACTTACATGTAACATCTCTAACAAATTGAAATCACATATCCACAGTGATTCAGATGGAATACTAATGGTGAAGCTCTGATTGCCTTTCTCTTTTCAGTCTTCCATGTCAAAGAATTGCATCAAGCTCCTGTGTGAAGATCCTGTGTTTGCAGAATATATTAAATGCATCCTAATGGATGAGAGAACATTTCTTAACAACAACATTGTTTACACTTTCTTAACGCATTTCCTTCTCAAGGTATGAAAAATTGTTACGCCTTGGTCAGAGCTTCAGATATTTTCATATCAAAATGCTGTCTCATTGTCCTTTAGGTGCATTGAAGAATTCAGTGACTTTTATAAGTGGCCCATCATCACAATATGTTGTATGAATCAAGAAGTACATAGGGCTGAACTTAGGGAACGTGGTGGTTGTTGCTGGTCTAATATATGCTGAGGAGGGTTTTGTTTTGTTTTTTAAAGAAAGATAATTCAGTAATTGGTTTATTTGAACTGCTGATGAATCTCTTGTGCCTCTCCAAAAGTGAAAGAAAGTAGGCAATTAAAAATTGGATAACTATATAGATGAGGAAATATAAATATTTTGTTGTGCAAATATTAAATAGATATTCCAATTTGCAAAGTGATTATATAAATACATTTTTGAATTAAATAATGTAAACATTAGTTATTTTAATGTGATACACATGACAATCAATATAGATCTGTTTTTCCACAGACAGTTTTTCACAGACAGTCTTCTTTTTCTTTCAATTCTACACCATAGTTCGATTTACAGTAGGAAATAGTGCTATAATGACATTATTTCACAGAATTGCAAAATAGGTTTCAGAATCCCTTATTTTACAGGTACAAGGACAAGTGTTTTCTGAAGCAAATTGTGCTGGAATAATCAATAATCTGATTACAAATTTGATCAACCAGTATCAGAATCTGGAATCAGAATTTGCCAATCAGCGAGTTGAAATTTTTAAAGCAAGTTCTACTTTAAATGGGGTAAATAAATTTTATTTTCTCTTTAAATACTGTATTGATTTACGTAACACATTTTTATTCCTATTCCTCAGATAAAAAAGTTAAAAATGATAATCCTACAGTGACAGGCGTGTATGTATGTATGTATGTATGCATACATGCATGCGTATACAAACACACCCACATGAATACATACATACATATATATATGTAGGTCTTTGGTTATTCGGGTTTTCTCCCGTGTAAAATTGGAAGTGTCTTGGCGACGTTTCGACGAAGTCCCATTCGTCATCTTTAGGCTGGTGCTTTCAGCTTCGTGCTTCGAGGAGCAATGTGTGGTCTTAGCTGTTTCTTCCTTTTAACTGCCAGTGGGAGTATGAACTGATTGGGTGGGAGCTTGGCTGTGTTCTGATTGGGTGGAGGTGTGCTCCGATTGGCTAGGGGCTTGGCTGCGCTCCGATTGGCTGGGGGGGTTGGCTGTGCTCTGATTGGCTGGGGGGTTGGCTGTGCTCTGATTGGCTGGGAGTCGGCTGTGCTCTGACTGGCTGGAGGAGTGCTCTGCTTGGGTGGGGGCTTTGTTGTGCTCAGGCTAGTCTGAGCTGCAGGGGGGTTTAAGATGGTGGGCTGCCTTGCTATTTTCTGGCTTCGCGTTCGTGGTTGTGCCTCATCTTCAAGGTGGGTGCCAGTTTGCTTCATGTATAGATTGAAGGGGTTCAAAGTGGCTAATGATGCAGCTGTGGTTTGGCTTCTGGTTTGTGGTCGTGCCTCATCATCGTTGTGGCATTGAAGAACACAAGAACTCAGTCAAAAAGGAGGAATCAACATCTTCTCTGGTCCAACACCTTAAAGCCACAGGACATGAAATTGACTTTAAAAATACCAGAACTATCGCCAAAACTGAACATTTTAATAACAGAATAATCAGAGAAGCCATCGAGATAGAAAAACGCCCACACAGCATGAACAAACGAGAAAGATAATCTTTCCCATGTGGCCAGATTATGAAGGTGTTGTATGAAAGAAAAACTGGACAACTTCCTCACACACCTCAACAGCCTACACCCCAAAATACAGTTCACCATGGAAACAGAAGCTAACAACCAACTTCCCTTCCTGGATGTCTTAGTCTACAAGAAATCCAATGGCTCCCTAGGACACACCATCTACCAGAAGAAAACACACACAAACCGCTATCTGCACGCTCTCTCACACCACCACCCAGCACAGATCAACTCCGTAGCCAAGACACTCATCTCCAGAACAAAACGCTTAGCTGACGAACAACACCTAAAAACTGAACTACACACTCTCACCAATGTACTAACATCCAATGGATTCCAAGAAATAAGATTACAAACCTAATCCAAAAAGAAACCCCCACTAAAATCCAAGACAAAGAACAAGAAAACGGCAAAGCCCTCCTCCCATACATAAAAGGCACCACAGACAGAATCAGTAAGATCCTCCATAAACACAACATCAAAACAGCATTCTGCACAAACAGAAAAATATCCACCATCCTTAGAAACCCCAAAGATAAAATTGAATTAGAAAATCAAGGAGTATATGAAATCCCATGCACCACTTGTCCCACACATACATCGGACAAACCAACAGAAGAATAAGTGCACGCATTGAAGAACATAAGAACTCAGTCAAAAAAGAGGAACCAACAGCTTCCCTGGTCCAACACCTTAAAGCCACAGGACATGAAATTGACTTTAAAAATACCAGAACTATTGCCAAAAGTGAACATTTTAATAACAGAATAATCAGAGAAGCCATCGAGATAGAAAAACGCCCACACAGCATGAACAAGCGAGATGATACCTCCCGCCTACCAGCCATTTGGAAACCCGCCCTTATTGACAAACGACTCCCTAACACAAAAAATGATACCAGACCCACACTCACAAAAACCACACAGGATGTCACCACCACACATCCACGCAAAAAGCAAACCCAAAGCCACACCGATGATGAGGCACGACCACAAACCAGAAGCCAGACCACAGCTGCATCATTAGCCACTTTAAACCCCTCCAATCCATACATGAAGCAAACTGACACCCTCCATGAAGAGGAGGCACGACCACGAACGAGAAGCCAAAAAATAGCAAGGCAGCCCAAAATCTTAAACCCCTCTGCAACTCAGACTAACCTGAGCACAACCAAACAGAACACTCCCCCAGCCAATCAGAGCACAGCCAACCCCCCAGCCAATCAGAGCACAGCCAACCCCCCCAGCCAATCAGAGCACAGCCAAGCCCCTAACCAATCAGAACACACCTCCACCCAATCAGAACACAGCCAAGCTCCCACCCAATCAGTTCATACCCCCACTGGCAGTTAAAAGGAAGAAACAGCTAAGACCACACATTGCTCCTCGAAGCACGAAGCTGAAAACACCAGCCTGAAGATGACGAATGGGACTTCGTCGAAACGTTGCCAAGACACTTCCAATTTTACGCGGGATAGATAGATAGATAGATAGATAGATAGATAGATAGATAGATAGATAGATAGATAGATAGATAGATAGATAGATAGATAGATAGCAATAAAGGAGAATATTTGTAGTTAAGGGTTGAAATGAGGGGTCCTTGATGCTCTCTGAGCTTCCTTGTTTTCTTGCAGATGTTTCATTACCTAGAGACTAGGTAACATCATAGTGCTATTTGCTGTCAGTTTATATTCTGGTTTCTTGCCTGTCTGGGTGGGGGCGGTCTTAGAGATATTTTTGTTAGGCTGTTTATTAATGGCTCTTTAGCAGTTTCTTGATTGGGGTATTGTTTATTTGATTGTTGATCTGAAGTTAACCTTGGAGTTAATTTGGGTGCCAATTGCTGGTAAAGAGGTGTTTGGGTCTTTTTGCTCCCTTTTGGGCTGGTTGATTGCCTCTTTTGCATAGTCTATAGATGTTGTTAATGTTGATGGGTCTTTTGATGGCTAATTTGTTAGTGCCTGACACTTCTAGCATTTTTGGACCTAGCCCGGTCTAGGATTGTCACATTTTCCCAATTGAAACTATGGTTAAATCTATGTGTTGTGAAATCAAAGAATTTTCATCATGTCTTCTGATTGCTAGTTGATATTCATGGATGCATTCTGCCAGTCTTCTACTTGTTTGTCCTACATAGTGCTTGTTGCAGTTCTTACATTGTGTGTTGTAAATGACTTCTCAGCTTGCATCCTGAATTATGATGATTATTATTTGTTGCACAGTTAGCCAGATGTTTGAATTAGATTTGACATATAAAAATAACACAAAAGTGTCTCAAAACATAAAATCAGACAGCCCAGACTAAAATGATACAATAAGCAACAAAATGAAAAACAAAACAGGGGCTTAAATAATAAACAACAATCCCAGGAAAGAACAGTCCTTATCGCTGAGTAGGAGGGTTACAACAGAAAATGGTACAAGGTGACAGTAAAAGGGAGTTAGCCAAAATAAAAGCTTTGAAACTAGGCATTTTGAAAAGCATGGAGAGAATAAAATAGAAATGTAGTTATCAATAATACAGAATATATATACATAAATATTCATTTTCTTATTTTAATAGCTATATTAATGTTAACTGTTTGTTTTATTTTTTATCCTCATAATCCTTTTATTTCATTTAAAACAAATACATATTTTCAAAAAAATTATGAATAGATACTTATTGAGGTTATACATTATTGTTCAATATAACATTAGTAAAATGACATTCCATTATATTATAGTATAATATATTTTACCTATTATAATCAATGTTATATTATTTATAGTAAAAGAGGCCGTCATCTCTTTCTCCTATTGAGCATAATACAATAATACTACTTAAACACTGTTAGATTTACAGCTGTGATGCATCATTGTTACTACCTTCCAATTGTCTCCCTCTTGATTTAAGTTATACAGGATACATGATAAAAAAAGAATATCCAAGTATTGATACTGCCAATGGAAAATTATTTTTTAAAACTGACATGTAAAAATGAGTCAGAATTTTCTTCTGCAGGCATAGACATATGCAGTTTCTTTGGTTACTGTTTATATAATGTCTACATACACACAGAGAACAAATTAATTTCATTTCATTAAATGCATTGACTTAAATTTTCTTTTATAGGACCTTCGAGCCCTCACTTTACTGCTTTCTGTGCACACCCCCAAACAGTTGAATCCTGCCCTAATACCTACTTTGCAAGAGCTACTAAACAAATGCAAAACTTGTCAACAACAAAAAAGCTCATTGCAGGAACAAGAAGCCAAAGAACGAAAAACTAAAGGTTTGTTTTATTTATTAATAAAATCTATATACCACCCATCTCACCATCCAATTAACTGTGGGCAGTTTACAAGTAGAAAACTTATTTTGGGAGTCATATTTAACTATTCCTTGCTGAACCGTGTCTGTAACTACTACTTGTTCTGAGAACTATTTGGCTGGAAATATTCTGAAATACCTCCCTATTAAACTGACAAAGTAAAACCAAGAGAGTCTTGTAACATCTTGAAAACTAAATATTTCTCTTCTTGTTGAGAGGAACCCAATTTATCGTGTACATTGAATAATAAGATGCTGATAATCATCTTAAAGCTTGGATGTATATAAAATAACTCTAGCACTGATAAGTGAATTAAACTTATAAGAACTTATTGACAAATGATTTTTAATAAAATTTGGGTTGAAATAACTCATGTTTAACATAGAAATTTTTTTATATCAAATGGCTGGGAAGCATTTTAGTTGGACCCAGCAAAAATATTTCCTAAGCAGTGTGCTCCAGCCAGCAGGATAAAGAAATTAGATTAAGTTATTCTTGAAGCTCTCAAACATTTCAAAGCATCTTTGGAAGAGAGGAGGAAAGAGAAATATATAAAAAGAATGTAATATCTTTGTTCTGTCAGTAAAAATAATTCATTATGGCAATCAATTCCTGTATTATTTCATCAGTATCTATTTTAATTGTACAGATGATGAGGGAGCCACTCCAGTAAAAAGAAGACGGGTTAGCAGTGATGAGGAGCATACGGTAGACAGTTGCATCAGTGATTTGAAAAATGAACCTAGGGAAGCCTTGACTCCAACCAGCACCTCAGACAATGAGACAAGAGACTCCTCCATCATTGACCCAGGCACCGAACAGGACCTGCCTTCCCCTGAAAATAATTCTATTAAGGAGTACCGTATGGAAGTTCCCTCTTCATTTTCTGAAGATATGATGCTAGCTACTCATTCACACCATGGGGAGGAACAGCTGGGCAATGGAAGATTTGAAGAATGTAAAGATCTGAAAGAGCCATCAAGCTCCAAGGATTCTCATATTATAGAGGATGATACTGAGTTCCCCTCCACATCTATTTCTGCTGTTCTTTCTGACCTCACAGATCTGAAGAACTCTGAAAGTCAAGTTTCCCAGGACCCTGAGTCTGGCTTATCACTTAGTTGCAGCCATTCCAGAGGATTGTTGAGTCACATGCAGCAGCAACATCAAGACATTTTAGACATCCTTTGCAGGACCATTGAATCAACAATTCATGTGGTTACGAGGATATCTGGCAAAGGAAACCAAGCTGCTTCTTGACAGTAGAGGAGCATGTGTGCTTTTAAAGTCTTTTTTTCTCCCTTTTAAAAATGCTGTTTGTATAAGTTCTGCTTATTTCTGTTTTGTGCTTCAGTTTGTCCAGTGCTTTCTGCTTGAATGGCAAGATGAAATTTATATGCTTAATTGGTCAGGCAGAACTTCAAATTAAAAAATTATTTTGCATCTACCGTACATTTTCTTAAAGGGCAATCAGATAATGAATATGTTTATGTAATTCAAAGTTCACTGTGGTGGCTTTCATTTAATATGCCTGTCTGGGAGAGCAGGGACTCTTTGCCCTGTATGACGTAATTGAAATTTAACTGCATTTTTACGGTGTATAATATTGTGTCCTCTGTGCCAGTTTTGTACCTTACAAAAGAGGCAACTTGCCTCCAATTGCTGTGGTTCTTATTATCAAAATTAAGTTTACTTGTATACTAAACAACCACAAAAAATTGATTCTATAAAGAATCCTCTTTAGCTGTGGCCTGACAGTATACACACACACACACACACAATACACACACACATAATATATATATATATATATATATATATATATATATATATATATATATATATATATATATATATATATATATATATATATATATATATATATATATATATATATACGGTGCTTTATTTAACAGAATACCTGTGATGAAAATAAAGCACATTTGATGTAAAATTGTTTTATTTTTATTGACATGACCAATTGCTATTCTGTGCACTTCATTAAACTGATTGTGATGAGTTTTCATTTGTTTTTATATATGTTGCCTCTGTAGTCCATTATTTCCTTGCCAGAAATAGGAGCTCAGAGAGGTGTGTGCACACTTCCCAGCTGCTCTGTTCCCTGACATCTATAGTCTGTTGAAGAATGGACAGGGCTATTTAGAATACTCTATACTCACCTATATATCCCTGTAAAGTCCCTAGTGAAGTCAGTACTCCTCTGAGTCTCACATGTGGTGATATATTTTACATTTTGGATACTTTTTTTTGTCTGTAACTATTTTTAATAAAGCAATGAATACATCTGAGTGAATGTCAGAGGATGTATCATGCATTCAGAAGAAAAAAATGGAAAATTAATAAAGGATTACAAATACACATTTTAAAGGAATTGCATTATATGTCATAAAATTACATGACAACTTCAAAATGAAACTTAAATATCAGATTATGATAATATTAAAAGTAGTAGCAGTATATTTTAAAATGAGTTTTCAATCCTATATTGAGCAAATGCAGATAGATTCTGAACAGGGCTATATAATGTATGTCAGTTCAGTTCACTATGCTAGTGGTTAATATGTGCATACCTAAAAGTAAGCATAATTCTATTATTTTAAAAAGTATCCAGATTTGAAGCCAAGAAAATCTTCAGTGAAGATGTAAAAGAGACAGAGGGAGTGAAATTAGAAGAGGCGCTTTAGCAGCATAATATACCAAAAGTGTTTTAAAGAGTTCTTGAATACTTTAAAAAATATTTGGATATTTATAAATCAAGAGAAAATAGTTATCTTTTTTCTTACCAGAGGAGTGAATAAAATGGTAAATAGAGTGCATGAGAGGTAAATGTGCATTTTTAATAAGATTTGTTTAATGCTCTGAATTATAAAAAAAACTGTCAAATAAAATTGAATAAGAACATCAATGAAAAAATACTTTGTAGTCTTTATTTAAAAAAGCTTAAACTAAATTGGTTTATAACTACACTTTATAAAATAGACATTTTGAATATCAAAGTATTTAGAATAATTTATGATTGGTAGTATATTATTAATAAATATTCAAGTGTTTGAAATGATAAAGTCAAATAATCCTTCACTGATTAAAGGAAAGCATTCAAATAGACATTCCCCACCCACATGGAAAAGCAAGGATTATGTGATCAACATTACTAGACACCTGCCCTTTGTCTACCAATTTCATTGGAGATTTTACCTACGATAATGTGTTCTCTTTCCAAGCTCTACATTTTCTTTCAAAACTATGTTTTCAACTGTAACAGCCAAGTGATTACAGCAGCAACCAAAACTCATGACCCCCCCCCATTGCCAAGAATGGGTGAAGTTGTTATTGAGCATGTGTGACTGGCAAGCTAGCCACTAGCCATGCATGAGATGAATCATTTTTCTGAGAAATTAGAAATTTATTTAAACTTTTCCGTTTTTTAAGTTATCTTCATTTAGTTCTTCAATGTGATCATTTGCTAGCTTTGTCATAGATCAAAACTAGAATAAGAACTAAAAAAGTCCAGCATTGTAGAATAGCGACTCCCAACCCTTTGGGCACAAGGAACTGGTTCCATGGACTGGTTTTTATACAGACGGGAGGGGCCTGGTTTCATGTGCTATCTGCATCCCACAGGCGGAGCTTCACTTGTTTGTGTGGACTGGTTTCTGGCATGCCATGGACCGGTGCTGGTTCACAGACTCTGGGGACCCCTGCTATAGAATAAGCAGGCAATCTGCAGATCATAGAGAAATGTACCTCTAAACACCTTTTTAATAACCATCTTCTGTGAAATCATACTGTCTCAACAAAGTGCTAATAAATGGAGATTTTTTGTTCATACTCAGTAATAAATAAATGTTAACTGTTTAATACAACTTTAAACAAAAATCTTACTCTGAAGTACAGTAATACCTTCTGAAATCCTGACTGATTGCTCCCCCCCCCCCGCGCCTCTCCCCCTCCAATCCCTCTGTACAGAAAAGTCCTAGTTATCTGAAGCTTGTAAAATACCATTCATGTGATAACAGCATACTTCGGTGATTGATTGAATACACAACTTGTAGTTCATTGTATTACAGATTTCTTGGATTATAGGTAGCTCAGGTTTGCTGTACATAGTAACTGGGTTCTCTGGGCTTGTCCAGAATTTTTAAAATATTTTTTGGGATAGGAATATTCATAGCAACCAATTAATTGATGTCTCCCAGGAAGCTGCCTATCGCCCCCCCCAGCACCCCCCCAAATTAAAATCTTAGACTGTATACTGTATACTACAAGCCAAACCTCACCTCTGAACTGATGCAGTAAGGAACTCTCACTGGGATGGGGTGATACATCTGCAAATCCCATCCCTCTGTCTCCTAAAGACCAGAGAAGCAGTCTGCTAAATTTTCTGTCTGAAGGAAATCGAAGGAATTTCAGTAAATTTTCTATTTACAATTGAGAAGATTCAAGTGTCTGAGCACTAAATGCTTCATTAACTATAATAAATTGTGTAGGAACATAAGCATATAATTTCTCAATTCAAAGCACAAACTAAAATTTAAATTACTGTAGTGTTATAACAGAGTTCGCCAATTAAAATGTGTTCATTAGAAAAAAAATGAGAGGTGTGTGTGTGTGTTTGTGTGTGTAAGGCTAAAAAATAGAAACCCAATAAATCCAAAAGAAGTGAGAAAAAAATGCACCTCTGAGGTTAACTGGTCAGCTATGTATTATCAAACCAGATAATGAAAACAGTTCACAGTGGATAATTGTATTCCATAACTATCATAGAATTGTTACTTTTGTTTAGCTAAGAAAATACAGATGTGTACACTGTAAATGTATCTTAAGTGGTATTAGACATTACATGAAAAAGTAAATCTATATTTTTAAATTTTCTGTCAAACTATCAAGTGGCTTAATATCATTCTTAGAAATTCCTACCTATAGACATTTCAGTCTTCATGAAACAGAAACACCTCTGTACAATAAATTCTAATTTTATCATGCCCTGTGAGACTGTTTCTATTGATAGCTATGTAGTATCTGGAGAAAAATGTGTTATGTGTCATTAACAGTTTGTTAGGAAATTAATTTCCTCAATTCTTTATAGAAGTAGAATATAGAATTTATTTTTTTTTCATTATGGACTCTTTAGAGTCCCACATGGATTCTATACTTGCCTAAAACTCTGTTAAGTCTATTCAATTTTGGCTAACATTCATGCTTTAATTTATAATTTTATTAATATTTTATATTTTATTTTTCTTTGCTAAAGCATAGTTCATCAGGATAGTCATCTAATCAAAGAACAAGCTCAGATGGTGGCAACTCCAAAGTTAGAGTCTTCTGTAAAGCTAAATCTTCTTTCAAGGCTCCTAACATGGCCTAGAAATTGCCATTCTAAAAAGTCAATTGAATTTATTAAATTTATTTGCCACTCATCTCACCACAAGGTGACAACTGAATGTTTCATCTACTACAAGGAACCCTCACATTTCTGCTATATCAAATATCAGCACAGGAAAAAATTGTTCAGTAAGGTAAATCCCATCTAACTCTAAATGGAGTGAAAAGGAATAAAGGCCCAGTTGCAACCCATTCTTGGCATTAATAGTCTCAAGTGCCTCACTACACTGGATACCTTCAATCTGCTGCAACTAATTCTATGTGGTTGCTGTTCTCACCAGGCTATGGTATCTTTACCAGTTCTTTAAATTCAGACTACAGCGCTGGGAAGATTAAGAGCAGATATTTGAGACTGATTTCTCACTTTCTGTGGACTGTGATGGGGAAAACAAAGTCATCTTTGTTATCCATCTCAAGATCATTCAAATCATAATACAGTAGATCATTTCATGATTACTCAATAAGACCAGTTTTGGTTCTGTACCATCTTTCTTTTGTGGGAGATCACTGATTTTGATGGCAACAGACTTATAATACTTAAGATACATAATTCTCATCAGTGGACTCACATTTCTTGGAGCAATCTAAACTGTGGAGGAGCAATAATTCCACACATTTGCTTTCTCTTCATATTTTTTTAGCTTTCACTTCCCAACTGTGCTCCACAACCAAACGTAACAGATTCTTAGGATCAACATACATGGGCAGGTTACAATATAATTAATATATAATCAATGTATACAATTAACATTAAAATCAGAATTAGTTTAAAATTTAAATTTTAAAATTATAAAAATAACATGTCAAAAGGTGAAAAGTTGTGAGATTAGCAGTTAATACAGATGGGAGGGGGGGGTGTCTCAGGAGATTGGTCAGCCTCACAGCCAAGTTTGGCCTCTTTGCAGAAGGCTGAGATTGGGAGCTTTCCTCACCTCTGAGGGCAGGGTGTTCCACAATGCAGGGACAGCACCAGAAAAGACCTTCTTCCTAGGTCTTGACTGATGGGATCTGTAGCATATTTTCTGCCTGAATAGGATGGGCTGATGTAGAAGCTGGTTCCTATGCAATATAGAGATTTATTGGACCCAGAAGCAAACTGGCTCCCAGCCCAGTTCACAGAACAAAGTGTTGCATGTGTCCTTCTTTGGGTACTCTGTATGGCTTGCATGGCTGCATTCTGCACCAGCTGAAGCTTCCGGATACTGTTCAAGTCCCATATAGAGAGTATTGCAATAGTCCAAACACGAGATGACCAGAGCATGAATGTCTGAATGGAGGACACCCCCCACATCCAGGACTGGGTATAAGTTGGGCAAAGGCTCTCATGGCCACGGCTGCCATCTTCTTTTCAAGCAGGAGTTGTGAGTCCAAGAGGAACCTCAAGTTACACACTAGGTCTGCATGGGGTA